GGGGGGGGGCAAAGAAGTGAAAGCCTAAGTGAGATAGATACATTAAATGAGATGTATATCTTCAGATGGACTCGTCCATGACTCACTCATAGCGCCATCTTTCGTTCACTGTAGAATCGGGAGGAAATATCTAGAGCCGTAGTAGCAAGTCCGTACTAGCAGGTACTGGTGTCATATTATCTAAAATGTCCAAAGAATGCAACATGAATAATTTTATGTGTCACTGCCTTTGTAGCAGCCAGGGTTTGGGACAGGAAAACTGTGATTATGTCATTGTCACTGTACTGATTACGCACATAAAAAAATCTTGTCTGATGAAATTTGTTGGGATTGTTCGTTCTAACCCAGTTTGCAGTCTGCCAGTGATAAAGTTTATATGTAACCCACATCAATTCAACATTTGTTGTCGTGTTTTTACTACTTCACTGTGGAATAATCTTTCGAAAGTTTACGTTATACTTTTGATGTTTGATGATCTTGTATGACAAAAGTAAACAACTTCTTTCAATGGAACATGCATTGATATGCACTGACACTGTTGATTGGTATTATCAGGAGTTCCTTGTTGAAACTCCTTGGTATTATACGTGTCACTTTTGTTTTTTAAAGAAACGTACACAATATATTGTTATGCCTAGCTAACATACTTTGCATTAAGAATTGTAATAAAAAAGAGCTCATCATATATGAATGAAAAATTTAATAGTATTAAATAAATTATCAAATATGAAATAAGAATAAAATATGATGGCACATAGAGAAAGACATTGACTTTGTAATATTAAAAAATATAAAATATTAATAAGCATTTATTGTTTTATGTTAGGTTGTGAGAGTGATTGGTAGTCTGTAAACTCCGACGTAGTTGCAAGGGAGGGGCTGGAGGGGGCTTTAACATTAATGTTATTTTAATTATTTAATGTTTTTATCTTTTTAGGAACTGTGTAGGTCTTATCACAGAAATATTACCACAGACTTCTGGGAGAGAAGCAGTGTAAGGTGTTCACTCCTTGGACAGAGTATATATTGTACTGATGCAAGATGTAAAACTGCACACAATTAACACATTCCATTTTTATTGAACCAATTGGAAATATGGCCAAGCAAGTGTCAAATAAAACAACACAGAATACCAGTATAGAATATAAATCTGACACTGCAGTTAATATGCACAAGCTTAACCTCAAAACTAAAGGGGAACTGAACCATAATGAAGGTAGTTGCAGTAAAGGAGAATTTTTGTCTTCCACCAAAGAAGCTGATTTTACTCTGCCAGGAACTGATACTCTGCCAACACTAGATACTCTGCCAGGAACTGATACTCTGCCAACACTAGATACTATGCCAGGAACTGATACTCTGCCAACACTAGATACTATGCCAGGAACTGATACTCTGCCAACACTAGATACTATGCCAACAGCTAATATCACATTGTCAAGTGACATGTCTTCAGTTGACATACTGACAACTGCTGACTTTGACATTGTTCCATTTACTGAGATTATGTCAGACACTGACATTGTATCCAATACTGAATGCAGATCAACAGATGATGCCATGTCTACAGCTGACAATGTGCTGACAGGTGTCACTGCAACAACTGACATGTTGCCTTCTGACATTGCAGGAGTAACCAAAACCTCACCAGCAAGTGCAAAAATGTCTACATCTGACACTGAACCAACAAAACTAAGATCAGCTCCTGACATGTTTACAGCTGACTTCAAACCAACAACTGGTGTGGCACCAGCTACCAAGAAAGGGTATAAGTGTGGCCATTGTAACCAAGTGTTTGTGTGGAAGGGGGACTGTGTGGCGCATGAAATGATTCATAGTGGTGAGAAAACCTTTATTCTGCAACAGAAGACAAACCCCTCTTTTACTACAGAGCTTGGCAATGAACAGGGTGCTTCATATTTGAGAGATAAACGGATTAAAAACAAACCTTTTCAGTGTAATTTCTGTAGCAGATTGTTTAAATGGAGCGGAGATCGCACTGCACATGAAGCGCTAGTTCATCTGGAGGAGAATACAGTGATGGTTAATGTAGATACAGGACGTCTTAGTAACAGCCGTGCCACACGTCGAGGTAACAGGAGGCACAGACAAAACGTCTGCCTTGATGTTGAGAATCTCCATTCAGAACAAAGCCCATTTCAGTGTCAAATCTGTGAAATGGATTTTAAAACTAGAGCTGGTTTTAGAGACCATAAATTGATTCACTCAGGAACGAGACCCTTCAAATGTCAGACTTGCCCCAAAGCCTTCTTCAAGAAGATTCACCTCCAAATGCACAAGATGCGACATAGAGACGATAAGCCTTTCAAATGTTCATTTTGCCAAAAAGGATTTGTCATTCGATATGAACTTGACCAGCATGAACGGGTCCACACCGGAGAGAAGCCATTTCAGTGTTCACACTGTCCCAGGAGGTTCAGACACAAACAGGTCTTAAAAAAACATGAAATGAGGCATGTTGGGGACCTGCCCTTTAAGTGTGATGTGTGCTTTAAAGCATTCCCCAGTACATATGACCGCAGGGTCCATGCCAAGATTCACACAGGGGAGAGGCAATTCCAATGTAGTCAATGTAGCATGGCCTTTGATACCAATGGCAAGCTGGAAAACCACAAACAGAGGCACACTAATGAAAGATTGTATGGCTGCAGTGTTTGTGACAAATATTTTAATACTAAAAGTGATCTTAGCGGTCACATGGTGTATCACACTGGGGAGAAGAAACACAAATGCCAGTATTGTGATAAGTGTTTTTTAACTGTGTCCGATGTCAAGCGACATGAAGACACTCATCTGAAACCTTATAAATGCCAGTTTTGTAATAAAGAATTTGCAAATAAAGCCATATGGACAACTCATGAAAACATTCACAAAGGAATCTTCAGTGACGACATGAAATGTAGATATTGTGATAAAGTGTTTGCAACCAAAGCTTGGCTGGCAAGTCATGAAAGAGCCCATGCTGACATTAGAGAGTTTGATTGCTCCCTGTGCTCCAAAGCATTTGGCACCAAGTTCAGCCTTAAAATTCACATGAGGAGCCATAATGGTGAAACCCCGTACAAGTGTAAGCACTGTCCCAAGAGGTTTGCCTACAGGCAGGTGTGTTTGAACCATGAAATGAGTCACACTGGCGAGGAGCCTGCCAAACCCCACTCCTGTCAGCACTGTGGGAAGGCATTCAGGAGGAAGGCACACTGCCGTGATCACGAGAGGATCCACACCGGAGAAAAATTGTTTAAGTGTTCTTTCTGTGGTAAGGCATTCACACATGAGCAAGGACGTAATGTCCATGAGAAGATTCATACTGACCAGAGACCTTTTCAGTGTCAGTTTTGTGACAAGAGATTTATAACCGGTAAAGATCGTAATAGCCACCAACAAGTACACACAAGAGAAAACGTGTTTAATTGCCCATATTGTACGCAAACATTTGGTTGGAAACACAGCATAAAAAAGCATGTTAGAAGTAAGCATCCAGAAAAAATTGGCCAAGAATCAGATTAAAATGATTTTCAGTTAACCACCATGTATAGGGACTTAATTGTATTCTTTTCCCACTTATTTTAAATTGAACAATGAAAATGAAATTAAAACCATGCATTTATTCACATGTTCAATTTTAATATTTCACAGTGATATCACAGTAAAAATGTCACTGTACCAAGGAGACTTGTATTTGCATTTCACTGGAAGACTGGATGCTAGGCATGATTGAGTATTGGTGAATATCGGAATATGTAACCAAATAATGCAGCAATTATTGAACTAATTGATATTTTATTTACTAATACAATTATTCTTCTGATGTAAGTGTAGGGGAGAGTTCAGCCAGATGATTTTCAAGTTGCCACTTTGTAGACACTGGGCTGAAACTTTCCTTCATTTTCAAAAAAATTATTACTTAATGAAAAAAGGTAGATGTATTCAGATATTCAGTTTTACATATTTTTAAATGTTCCACAGTAATAAACATCAAATTGTTCCTACTAGTTTGTTACTTATTTTGTATTTCACTGTGGATATTGGATGTTATGGATTTATTTTGGTTGAGCATATCAGAATATAAAACCAAATGATGCAGCAATTATTGGACTAATTTTACTGATAAGATTATTGAATAATTGAAATATTAATTTTACTTATATAATTATTGTACTGATGTTGTAGTTCAGTCCTGTGATGACAGGCTCGTTTTTAAGGGACTTTTTTTTATGAGGACATTTGCATTACTAACAACACTATTGCATCAACAAACAAGTCCCTTAAAAAATGCTTTTATTGGTAAGCTTACAAAAATAAAATAAAACTTGCAAGAGCTAAATATTACAAAATACTGGCAAAAAATTACATTTAGAATAAATTTTTTAAAGTTATTGGCACTTCAGTAACTTTTGCATTTCAAAAATGCAACAAAATGTTTGTTAGTGAAGTGTAAATTCAAGCATTAAATGATGGAAAAAGAACCTTTCACAGCAGCAACAGAGTGACGCACAAAATGCTTAATATTTTGACACGTTAAAATGAGAACTACACTACAAGCTAGAAAATGACACCAATTGGTTGTAAGTAAATGAAATTAAAAATATATGCAAGTTAATAAGGAAATAAAAAGATCATTTTGATGTATCAAACAGCATGATAAACTTTCAATCAAGTACAATTCTTCAATTTAAAAAAAAAAAAAAACAGCAGAAAGGTGCAAATTTATACTTTTAAAGTAGAAATATAAAGGCTGACCCACTCGTTATTATAAGTCTCATACAAACTTAACAATACTTGCTTTTTCCATTCCCAATGCTATAATTAACTACACGTAAAATGTGGTTTCCATCTAATTTATGTCACAAACAAGAAAATGACTAGGTTTGACAGCATTTTACAAAACTAATCCTACTTGTAATTGGCCACAGAATATATAATTCAGTTTAAACAATTTTATGCCATACAAAAACATTGGTGTTAATGATGTTCAACATACCTTATTTTGGTAAAATACTGGCTTTTTTGTTCCATTTATAAAAAATTTTAAATTTTCTTAAGTAGAAATATCCTACATTATACATAATTTTTTTTCTAAAGTACAAATAATCTTCATCTTACATGTTTCAATCCATTTACAAAATGGAACATAAACAAAAATTACAAAATTAACTGATATGGCTATTCTCTTTTGTAAAGATAAAGTCTATCTCTTTCTATGAAACAAAAAGACCGGATATACAAAATATGGTACAATTACTCTAAAAAGATAAACTGAAGGACTGTAGACAATAACAATACAGTTAAGATCCATCTTATATTAAGTAAAAAAAGTCGAGTTGCCTTTTATGCCATAATACATTGTTTAAAAGAAAATTTACACATAGTTATGAAATCTCTTAAGCTCCCTTAATTTGCTCTGTCATGTGACTCCAGTTCTAGAATGTTGCATTTTCTAAAAGACTAGATAATTGATTTAGGGATAAACCCCTGTGTGTGCTATCTTTATAACGACCTTCATATGTACTGCTACTGTGGTTATAACATGTAGAATGTTTATTATTATTATATGAAGTGGAATGTTAACAACCCTGCTCCTCATTACATGTGGTGAATTCCATGGTGATTACTATAAGTGGTTTTTTTTATGTTTAAGTTGTGAATTTTTTTCAATATCCGTAAGTACCCTGATGAATCAGTTCTTTGTTGAGTGTTCTAATATGTGCCATGGCCACAGTCTCTATATATGTTGTAGACATAACATACTTGTGTGTTTAATCTGGATTGTCTTGGTGTGGTACTGCCATCTGGTGTCCTGTGAATCCTATTGCACTGCAGACTTGGGTCTGGTTGGAGTCATTGTAGAGGAGAGCTTGGGAGAGGAACCTGAAGAACAATTTATGTACAATATATTAGAGCTTGGGAGAGGAACCTGAAGAACAATTTATGTACAATATATTAAGTCTCTGGGACTGCGGTTCCTTCTTCCTATTATTAAAATCCACTGCACTGTCCAAAGGCCATGAACATGCAATTCAAGCTCTCAATAATTACAACCTTGGCAAACACCACAAAGAATTCAATCTGGAAATGACACTTCATGTAACTTATAGTCTCCCACACAAAATACACCTTTCCAAACACAACAAAGTATATTATCTGGCAATGTCACTTTCATGTCACTTTCATGTTTTAAAGTACACTGCACAAACCAGCATGCACAACTTACAGGACCGCCTCATGCCAAAGGGCCTCCCTGATGGAAATAATACATTTTTTACAGATTTCTGATTATTATTGAAGCCTTTGAGAGCAGAGTCAGTCTCTGCTGTTACAAACCAAACTATAACATGTTCAGTTTGAATTACAAAAAATCTGATACAATGAAATTTCTGTTATAAACTGTAAAGAAGGATGCGTAGGATACACCTTATTAAATTGGTGGATATGCTGCTGTTGCCTTTTATGTGATCATGGGGACTTTTGTTTACAGTCAAAGACATCAAATGTGTTTTTTGCCCAAAGTAATTTTCAGCTGACCTGCACCATTGACCCAGCCTCCATTGATGACTGGCTGCGTAGTGGTGGTTGACGTCCTGCTTCTGTCATGTGGTCTTGTTTGGTGGTCCTTGAACAGTTCCCTGTAAAAACAGGAGAATGTGAACTTGTCAATAAAATGATTTATCAACTTAATCTACTTATTAATACATATCAAGCAGATTTTTTTAGACTTCTTTTATGAAACTATAATTTGTCAAAAATGTTTGTAAGTACTCATATAACCAAAGGCAGAGTGCAACAGTTCAAGTGGCAGTACAGTTGTGGCCAGTCCTGATCTTTGCTGTCATCACTTACATGAAGGAGCGCGCCTGTGTCAAAAACCTTCGAGCCTGGGCAATCTCTGTCCCTAATCTTCTCAAATCATCTCCATCAAACTCTGGCAGGTGAGGGTACTGGAAATGGTGACATATTGTATGAAATCAAGTTTGTCATCAAAGTGAAAGGTGAGGGTACTGGAAATAGTGATATATTGTAATCAATTTTGTCATCAAACTGAAAGGCGAGGTTACTGGAAATAGTGATATATTGAAATCATGTTTGTCATCAAACTGAAAGGTGAGGGTACTGGAAATAGTGATATATTGTAATCAAGTTTGTCATCAAACTGAAAGGTGAGAGTACTGGAAATAATGATATATTGAAATCATGTTTGTCAGCAAGCTCTGACAAACATGATTTCAATATATCACTATTGAAATCATGTTTGTCAGCAAGCTCTGACAGGTGAGAGTACTGGAAATTGGGAACATATTATAATCAAGTTTGTCAGTAATAAAATTAGGAAGAATAGTATTTCAGCAATGATAACAGCATCTAACAGCATAAGCTTTAATACAGACACCATCTATCCCATAATACCTCTGCCTCTTTGAATCCTTCTGTCAGCAACTTGTGGGCAAACCTGTGAGCGTCAAAGTCACTGTGCACTCGGTGGTATCTGCCACTGGTCTCTGCGGCGAGCATCTTCAAGAAGTTGTTGGCAGTGCTGAAATACAAATTTCAAATTCAATTAAAAACAAACTGTTACAGCACCTTGTGAAATGAAGATGTTTGTGATATCCAATGTGATGTAAATGATAATGATGCAGTGGCCGATTTAAGGGTGGGGTCAGAGGGGTCCTGACCCCCCCCCCCCCTTTCGATTTCTGGTCCCCTCTTGAAATTAGAATTTTGACTAGCTGAATCATAGTTCTAAACCGTACAAAATGGCACTGTTTGCGCTCTAAAATACCAAAAAATTTTGGAGCCATTCAGCAGTCCCCAAACCACACACCAAGTGGGTGGGTGGGTGGGGGGTTGGCTTCGCATCCATGGAACCCCCCTTCAAATAATCCTTAAATCCATCCCTGATGATGGTACTTGGTCTGTGACATATTTTACCTGTCAGTACAGTTGAAGGAGATGGTGTTTACGGCCACGTGTCTGTCCGTGTTCATCTTCGCCACCTCTCTCAGCACCATGGAGGTGCTGTGGTCAGGTTTGCCGTCTGTCAGCAGGTAGATTGCCTCCAAATCTTCATCCTCAAATGCTCTCTAGAATGTATCATGGAGATATTACTGTGGTTTTGTTTGAACTGAATTTACCTTGAATTTGTAAAATTTATGTAAGGATATGATTCAACAGTGGCATGTGTCATTTGAATAGGGATAATAAAAAGTTCTCAAGATTGGCATGAGATAGAGAGTGTGTTTTAAGGCAACTCCACCAATTCCATTGTAACTGTTATTATGTGTAAGATATAAAACCTTTCATTCATAAAGAGCACAGTTGTCAATACAACATTCTACAAAGAACTGTAAAACTTACGTCCAGAGCATCCAGGGTGCATGTGTTCCCAGAAGCCACCAGTTTAGACACCCAGCGTATTGCGTCATGACAGGCGGACTCTGTGGCGTCCACCATCTTCTCTTCCCACTTCTCACAGGTGTGAGAGAAACGAATTAAGTTGAATCTGGACAAAATAGTAATAAGTAAATTAAGTGGGGGACCACTTTTGTCAGGAGCTGAATAACACAAAGAAGTTTTACATGTAGCTTATCCATTTAGATTCTTTTTACTGAAAACAGTGGTGTGCACTATACATTATACTTCATTTGAAGAAACATATGACATGTTCAGTTTTATTTTGTGATTCCCACCCCTCCTAGCCTTCCCTCTCTTCTCCCCCCCCCCTCCATCCCATGAGGCAACATTCTCAATGAAAAATGTAATTAATAATTGGCTAAAAGAAAAATGCTGTCCATGGCTCTTACTTTGCCCCCAGTTTATACAACTGATCCCATATCAGAGATGCCAGCTCCTTCCTCAGTTCCTCCATATGTTGGTCCATAGAACCAGACGTGTCAATCAAGATGGCCACCCTCTTGTGACAGATCACTCCAAACACGCGACGGCTGCCTGCAATGGTGGACAAAAAGATATACACATACATTCTTATCTCCAGTGTGTAATAAGAAGCACTGTGAGAATCTCTTAATAGCACAGTTTGTCATGCAATTCAATGTAAAGTACAGTAACTAGGTATGAGACAAGTCTACAAAATTTGAAAAAGCAAATTAAATAACTTTTCAACAGATGCATAAAAATTTTTTGGCAAAAAATCTTTGCAATTGCAGCAACCATTTCACAATTATATATATGAACGATTGCTTTATTCAAATCAGATTCTCCCACTCCAAATTCTATAAATGCAAACCTCTTGACAACATATATATACATATGTCCATAGATAGTGAGAAAACATTTAGCTAATCTGAAGTGATCCCAGACTTATCTTCAGTTACATTGTATGTTACATAATTACAAATAGCTCCCCACAAGGAGTAAATAGCCTCTAACAATGTGAAAGATCTATGTGGTATCTATATGGGTACCTAGTGTTGGCAACAGTTTGAGATCATGACCTCACAAATACTGCCATAAGCCATCATAATATAATACTCAGTTTAGACCAACAGCTTACCACTGAGCAAAAACTGCAGTCTCTTCAGGTACCTCCTTAGCACCTTCTCTAGCATCTCCTGGTACTCCAGGATCTCATGGGGTAACAGCTGCAGGTGCTTGATAGTACCCCCTATGTTCACATGGGGAAAGATGTCACAGTACCTGGAAGGGGGAAGCATTCTTCAGTGAAAAAAATCATAGCTGAAAATTGGTGTAGGTATTGACTGTCACTGGCCTTGTATAATAACATTAAATTTCTTTTAAAATTTGGTTTTTGACTCAAGATACACAATTTATTGTGATGACAAAACATTTTTCATAATAATATTGTATTCAATGATGTATATTTTCTAAGTAACTTACTTTGCAGGAACAATCTTGTTAAGAGTCCTGACTTCTCCCTGAACGTGTCTGCAGTCTTGACTTCCCACCAGCTTAGTCAGGTCCAGCTTTAATTTAGACAGTCCATACAGCCTCAACCACTGAGAGACAAAAGTATTGAATTATTACATCATAATATAATGGTCAGGTCCAGCTTTAGTTTGGACAGTCCACAAAAGTATTCTTTAACTGAGACAAAATCATTATGATAATCAAAGTATGAACTCAAGAAAGACACCTTATTTATAGGAAATTATTTATTTTCACACACTTCCAAGACCATTATCATTACTCCAAAAAACTACAAGCAAGTATCAAAAGAATGGTTAATACGACTGACTGTGAATTATATTTGACATTTTCCAATTTACCAAAATAGTAAACAAACAGTGTTATTTTATGCAACTATAACTGATAAATAATCAACCAATATTACAAATAGTAAATGAAATTTTTCTTACTTCTTTTGTTGTCATAATTTCTTCCTTTTCCGGTATCATTGCTAGTTTGATCTCCTTTCTCACAGACTTCATGTTAGGGTATCTTTTGAATACAACACCTACACAAGATGAAATATTAATAAACACCACTAGAAGAAGAGTAAAGATACAAAACTCAGCTCAGTCTGAACAATACTAAAATCATGTTGTCACAATGCATTAAAGGGTCTCTAGTGCACAGTGAATATGTGGCATGGAGAACATCAGATGGAAAGTTAATCTTACACTGGTAAAGAGACTTTAAGACATAAAGAAAGAAATAAATATAGGAAAACCCTTCCAATGACTAACAAGGTTGACTGACCTATGCCATTCTTATCATCTGTGTAAAACTGCTGTGTGGTTGTCTTCTTATATGTGGACTTCACTTTCATCATGGGATCCTTGGCAGATGTTGGTCTGTTTCCTTTTGGTGCTTAAATAGTGAATATTTTTCATTGATCAAGAAATAAACTTCCTATTTACATACCTTATAAAAGAAACTGAAACCTAAGACTTTAGGTATAAATGTGTCAAATCATTTCGTTAAAAAAATTGAATTTGTACCAAAATATACAGCACTCTTTCTAATGTGAAAATTGTTTTAAAAAATGAAGTGTAGTGGTTGTGCTTGGTCAGCACACTTATTGCAATACTGACGCCATGTACTGACTAATTTGCTCTTACAGTAAAAATCAAGTGTTTTAAAACAAGGGCTGTGGTTTTATCTTATTACAGTTGATTTCAATCAAACAACATGCTCCACATGACTTACGACTGGGTGCTATGCTGTCTTTGGCACTTGAGGGCCTCCAGGTGAGTGCTTTGGGGACAGACTCATCTTGGCTCTCAGATATTTTCTGTAAATGAATAAAAATACCTTAATACGCTGATGCTTTGTGAAGTTAATACAATTCAAACCAGAAAGATGTAAAGAACAAGCTCTGTGTTAGCATTGTGAACCAAAGGCAATGAGGCACCTACCAGTCTAGCCAAGGAGAGAGCGTTCATCTTGGGAGGCGGGAGGGTGTTCTTGTTCTTGGATGGAGTGACACTAGAGGGCAGTGCCTGCAGTTGTTCTTCATAATACTCCAACTTAAAAAGGAAAACAAAAAATTCAGATATCTATGCATAAAAAAGATGATACAAAATTGAAAAAGTTGTCCAATTTTCTGCGTTCATTTTCTGGAGCATAATTTTTTTAAAGTATGATGTCATGTTTTTTATCATATCTAAAATTCTACCACCAGTTTTACACACTTCCATATAAAAAATGCCAAAGCCTATTTCAATTTTTATACCTCTTTTGCTTTATATTTCTTCTTTACAGACTCCACTAACATTGCACATTTCTGGGAGAAGTTTATTGCTCTGTCGATTTCTGCCAGAATTTCTTGAACATCATCACTTTCTATTACACCTGTAATAAATTAAATTAATGTTCAAACTGCTGCAGTTAGAATACCAGAAATTTTTCCTTTAATTATATGACATTAAAGCTAAATAATTTAATAGGCTTTATTTTTCAATTTCCAAACTAAAGATTTGAGGGGCTGATTTTATGTATTATCATAATATAAGACATTTCACTGCTTAACATCATGATGCACTGAAGTTGTTAACATCATGGAAACAAAAAACAAAGAAATTGCACAAAAATTCTGTCACATGAAATATATGAAACCAATATAATCCCTCAGTGAACTACCATCTCTATTACCTGTCTCTCTAAACCAATGAAACCTGCCGCCTGTGCTGTGAGCCAAATTTCTCAGGCTCTCTGCTGTCTTGGTAATGTTTGCATAGCGACCAGGGATAGCACCAGCACTGTCGTAGTCATCCACATTAAACAGGGCGGTGTGGAGCTTGATTCCGCGCCCTGAACACGATTCCTCCACATACTGAGCACAAACGTCATGAGGTTGATCAGGAACACCACTGGTGAACAGGTAAACACCTTCCACCTCTGGAAAACAAAACACACACCATGAAGTTGATCAGGAACACCGCTGGTGAACAGGTAAACACCTTCCACCTCTGAAAAACAAAACACACACCATGAGGCTGCTCTAAAACATGACCATGTTTCACCAACACTGGACAGAGATATCCTCTTGGCGACACTATCTATTGGATGAAACTCTTATCCCATGGGTAAAGTAATATACACTTATCCTGTGGGTAAAGTAATGTTTTCTAAATACTAGATATTTATTTCTGTTTCTAATATTGTCATCCAGTTGATCAAATGGCTGCTATCCTCAGGATAACTGTCCAGAGGTTAGCAATTTTATCCTGTTGTTGATGAAACTGGGTCTTGATTGTCCAAAATATTAAGAATACAAGCATATGTTTACATTCTGCAAATTTGTGATTATTTTACCAATGTGGTGTTTCAGTTCCTCTTCATTCTCCACTGTCATTCTGTAGGCCTCCAAGAAGTTTCTGCTTCCCCCACACTGCAGACCAAGAACCCACCTGGGAACAAATAATGGAATATTTAATCTTCTTCATGCTAAAGGACTTTTACATAACAACACTATTGTGTTCACTGTAATACATTGGTGAAATCATATTCATAAGTGAGATATACTGTAGAAATTTGTTCACTGTAAGACACTGGTGAAATCATTGTATTAGGTGAGATTAACTGTAGAAATTTGTTCACTGTAAGACACTGGTGAAATCATTGTATTCAGTGAAATATACTGTACAAATTTGTTCACTGTAAAGACACTGGTAAAATCATTGTGTTAGGTGAGATAAACTGTAGAAATTTGTTCACTGTAAGACACTGGTGAAATCATTGTGTTAGGTGAGATAAACTGTAGAAATTTGTTCACTGTAAAGACACCGGTGAAATCATTGTGTTAGGTGAGATTAACTGAAGCAATGTGGCTGTCTCACCTCCATGCACTCTGCAGGTTCTCAGGTGTAGGTTTTACCATTGTGGGCCTCCACATTTCAGCACGACTAGTGAAACTGAAATATCAAGATCAATATATCAGATCCTCCCAAAATGTTTTACTAGCGATTTATTCAATGCACATGAAGTGAACGTAACAAAATATCTTATTTCAAAAAAATAATTGAAAAATTGAGGTTTAAGTCAAGAAAAAAAAAGATCAATCACCTAAAAAGTTAACCATCTTTGCCTAGTCTTGGAAAAAAACTCTTAAATAAAGGCATTACTGTAAATAGATTACCCTATAATGTTGAAGTATTCCCTGTTAGATATCTGTTGCTCCAGAAGCAGTCTCAATGAGTGCTGGATGTGAATTAAGTAGTTGGCATTGGGTAGTGACAGATCAATGAGCAGAACCACACTGGAATAACAATAATATACAAATATGAAAGAAAAGGCTCAGAATAATATGATATTTAAATGATATTTACATATGTTGTCTAAAGCTATTATTGTGAGTACAGAAATACTATAAACTTACATAGCTGACACTCATAGCAAAAGCTGACACCCTCTCTATAAATCTGTTACAGAAATAAATTTTCAGGTATACTAAAATTGCAGGTATCTAAACAGCGCCATGAAAACAGAAAAAATGTCATGTCATGATAAACAACTCACTTCTTCTCCACAATGCTCCCAAATATTTTCCTACTGCCAGAGGACAGCCATTCAATTCTCTTCTCAAACACTTTGACAGTGCTTCCTAGGTGTTTCTGGTACTCAAACATCTGGGTGAGGTCCACATGGACATTTCTGACCGTGCCGTCCTGCCAGTGAAACTGTGCCATGGCTTTCTGCAAGGAGAGGAGACATTATACCATCAGGGAGGCTGAGAATATTCTCCACCAAACAAAACAACAAAACTTTTACTGTTTCAGTTTAATGAAAAACGATGAGCCAATGGAACTTAATTTACAAATAACAAGGAAATCTTTATATTCACACAATTGATGACAATATAAAACCTGTAATGACTGTGTACAGATATTATTCACCTTATATACGAAATGTACAGACATGTAACAGGGGTATGAAGTAGTGTAATGGCTCCTTACCTCATGAACCTGGGATTGCACTGTTTTTCTTATCACTGGGATGAACTCCTCCTTGAAGGAGTATGCATTTGGAGACAGAACTTGATACAGATCTAGATGTTTGGCTAAAAAAAGAAGAAAAACCACAAAGATTAACTTTTTTGGTCCTTAAGCTATTTATGATCCAGTAGAACCATCTTTATGATACAACTACTACAAACTTTTTTGTTTACAAAATACTACCTTTCAAGCCATTTTGTTTGAGCCATTCCTCTGATATTTCAGATACAACTACAAACTTTTATATTTATAAAATACTACCTTTCAAGCCATTTTGTTTGAGCCATTCCTCTGATGTTTTAGCCAGGAACTTTGGCATCTCTATCCTCAGGGGGTTACTGTGCCCTGGGGGGCGGGGCAGAAACTGGGACTGGGGGACCTGGGTCACCTCCATTGATATCTGCAAGAGACATATGTTATAGCTTTGGTCACAATATTAACTAATTCTTTTATAGCTAGGGGTTTCTTGTCTATATAATTTCTATATGCTGAGATGAGTTTAAATGGTATTCATGGAATTTTATAATTCATTATTAACAAATAAAGTGGGTAATGTGAGTAAAGGTGTGTTAAAGAGAAGCATACCTCATTCTCAATGCTGACCAGTGCATCTCCCATCATTCCCTTCCTCATCTCTTTAATCTTGTTAATTACATCCTGGGCATTCTTGATCTCCTTCAGCAGTAAGCTGATATCTGAGCCAGTGTAGATCTGTTCCTGATGACAGTAAGTGGAAAACACATTACTACATGGAACTACTCCATTTTTGTATATCTATTGCTATTTAATCTACTCCCCTATCACTGTACTCATTATTACTACTTTATCATCTAACTCCATAATATAACCAGAAACAAATCATTTCTTGTTAGTTTTTTAATGATACATGTTCAGTTAAGTTTGTAGCATTGATTTTGATTGAATTTGATTGAATTTTGATTGAATTTTTCTAAATTTTCCTAATGGTATTTATGGAGCATTGTTTAAAAAAACAAGCAAATGGGCACAATCTTTTAACTTTTCTTTAAATGTATTAAGAAACACATACAAACATTTTATTTGCTTAATCCATTAATTTCTATATAAGCATGTATTGTGTTTCTCCCATAGTTGTAAAAATTAGTATCATCAGATTTAACCCTTTACCATTCATAACTATCATATTAAACACACAACAGAAGACGTGCATCAATATAAACAGAGTTAATGTAATCCTACATCTGTGGGTTTGTGAATCAATAACTTAATGTAGTGCACTGGCCTAATCACCCTCTGCACTCTGGGCTATATTTAATCAATGTTCATTGACTGGAGTTTGTAATAATTAATAAAACCAATGATATCAAAGCAACACTCACCTCTGAAGTAGATGTGTAACAGTGATATCTCCCACGAGATTCAGCTGCTAGGGTCTTTAATGTCAGCTGTAAAGAAAAATTGCTGTATGGGCCACAGATATTTATACGTATATACGTATATATATATATATTTACACGTATATATATTTATATTCTTAAAAATATACACATAGGTTCTTGATTTTTAATAAAAAGGAAACCAATATGTTGAATTGTATAATGCCGAGAGAAAAGTACAAAATCATCACAAGTTCTGACAACATAAACAGTAAGAAATGGAGGAAGAATGCAATTTTTACCAGCAAATGTAATACATATGTATGGCCATATATGAAAGCAAAGTAATACAGACAAGCACTGTATGAGAGCTGTCAGAGTGTCTTACATTAGTGAGGTGGTTGCTGCAGTCAAATGCCACAGTGTGAAGAGGCTCATGTTTTCCTACCCCCATCTGAAGTATATAATCTGTCAGCACCTCAGAACTCTGATCAGGTCTGGAAAGGACAGGAAAACCAACCACATGTCATCAACAGTGATATTCCACTGACAAGAATTGATTCAGAGTATTTGATTAGTCAACATATATGAACTGTAATGAGTAAATAGAATGACACTGTACAAACACACGCAAAATGCACTTTAAAGTGATTTGTTTAACCTGGCAAAACCATGCACATGATAAGGCAGGTAAATAATTAAAGTGTACATACTTCATACGGAGAAAATATTATGTTACCTGTGCACTAAAAACAACAAAAGGATTTAAAATCATTTAAAACAAAACATTAGATTAGTTACCAAACACAGATATCTAGCTGAATCAGTTAGGGGGAGTTTGTGACTCCTGTAAAACTTACACATTGCCCAGTATCAGTACTATCTGGTTGATATCATGTAAAACTTACACACTGCCCAATATCAGTACTATCTGGTTGATATCCTGTAAAACTTACACACTGCCCAATATCAGTACTATCTGGTTGATATCCTGTAAAACTTACACACTGCCCAATATCAGTACTATCTGGTTGATATCCTGTAAAACTTACACACTGCCCAATATCAGTACTATCTGGTTGATATCCTGTAAAACTTACACACTGCCCAATATCAGTACTATCTGGTTGATATCCTGTAAAACTTACACACTGCCCAATATCAGTACTATCTGGTTGATATCCTGTAAAACTTACACACTGCCCAATATCAGTACTATCTGGTTGATATCCTGTAAAACTTACACACTGCCCAATATCAGTACTATCTGGTTGATATCCTGTAAAACTTACACACTGCCCAATATCAGTACTATCTGGTTGATATCCTGTAAAACTTACACACTGCCCAATATCAGTACTATCTGGTTGATATCCTGTAAAACTTACACACTGCCCAATATCAGTACTATCTGGTTGATATCCTGTAAAACTTACACACTGCCCAATATCAGTACTATCTGGTTGATATCCTGTAAAACTTACACACTGCCCAATATCAGTACTATCTGGTTGATATCCTGTAAAACTTACACACTGCCCAATATCAGTACTATCTGGTTGATATCCTGTAAAACTTACACACTGCCCAATATCAGTACTATCTGGTTGATATCCTGTAAAACTTACACACTGCCCAATATCAGTACTATCTGGTTGATATCCTGTAAAACTTACACACTGCCCAATATCAGTACTATCTGGTTGATATCCTGTAAAACTTACACACTGCCCAGTATCAGTACTATCTGGTTGATATCCTGTAAAACTTACACACTGCCCAGTATCAGTACTATCTGGTTGATATCCTGCAGTCTATAGATGTGCTTCATGGCCTTCAGTAAGTTACAGCCTCCACTTGGTCTCAGGTTTGCAACAAAATCCTTTGCCTCATCAAGACTGAAAAAAAAAATTAAATTTTAACTTAAGCTATATTAAAACATTTTGAGTTTATTCAGTATTGGCTGCCAACTTTGAGTAAATATGCAAAAACATTTTAGATATCTTGGTGTATTTTCTTTTTTTTTTTTCTTTTTTGTTCTTTGCAATTAGACCAATGATATAAAATATATCTCCGACCTGACATAATATTAATCATTTGTCTTATTTAAGAGGGGGATTAATTTTTTATAAATGAACAAAGGCAATGATACAGTAAAAGTGAGGTATACTGCAACTTTGTTTCAGATGGAAACATGGACTGTGGCACTACTTACGTCCTGTGGTTGATATCTCTCACATGTTGCCAGCATTTCTCCATGTCTGAACCAAACTTGACCAAGTACAGCTTCTGTTTGCCTGACAACTGCTCATCTATCAGGTGCTGGGGAATGAAGAAGACATTAAACTATTTTACTGATTAACATCCTTTACAACATTACTTGTTATTGTAATTATGTCTGTCTGTATGGACAAACTATTCTTCTGTTTGTTCACATGATACAGTATTTTCAAATTTTAAATATAAAGAGACATAAGTAAGTTTATGTAATGTATGAAACACATATATTGTGTAACTTGTTTACTGTCTGTTATGATGAGTAACAGAAAACACATATCAAGAGAAGAGTCATTCTTCCAAATATCTTACAGAACATACTAAACATACTTAACAGAGAGTGGTATGTGATTTATGAAAATTCTGTAACATGAAATTCACCACATCTCCTTTTAAAATACTCATTCAAATAGCTATACAAGCTTTACAAAGCATCCATTTCTGATAAATCAATTATAACAGTTCCTGCTAACCAGGAAGCTCCATACTTACAATCAGAGCCTCTTGGAAGTTGGAAAGACGACCAAAGCCACAGTTGGCATCTGAGGAATCAATCACCACTGCCACCTTGTTTCCTTTCACTAGTCCAAACATCTTCAATCAAGACAAAAAATGATTGAATTTCAAAATAGACAATTTTATGACATCAACAATCAATAAACCATTCAACTAAATAAACAGGTTTTAGAATTCAATTCAGTAACAAAGTCTGCTAAAAACCATTAAAGTTACAATCTTCTGGTCTAAGTTTGTAACTCACTGACTAAGTGTAGCTTTTATACACACAGTATTTTCTTACCCTTTTACTTCCATTCAGCATCCACTTGATTCTTTTTGTATAATGTTCTATTTGCCTACAAATGCAAAAAAAAAAAAAAAAAAAATCATAATTAAATTTTAAATCATTATTAAATTTTAACCTGACTTTATGTAATGACTATATACAGGATGCAAAATTTATGCGTTAAAATGATGACAGTGACAACTCATCTAAGTACTAAAGTTAGCTTATATTCTGAACTTGCTGAGGACAAGGAAATACTCACATGTGCAACCTATATTCAAACTCATTGATGTCTTTGGCATCAAAAGTCAAGTGTTGCTGCACCTTTCCAGTAGTCCTGTCATATGTTGGCCTAAATGACAAAATATTTAATAGATTACCACATGTTTACATTAAATGATAGCATCAAGATTAAACAATAAATAGAGAGAAATATGCCCAATAGTGCATTTGATTATCACTGATAGAAAATACGGTATGTACAACTTACTTTCCAGGTTTCCCCTTGGCCACCAGGTCTTTCATTGTTAATTTGCTTTCTTCTACACTGTGGTTCTGAAGCCATTCTTCAGATGTTTGTTCCTCAGCTTTAGAAGCAGTATTGTTCTTCCCTTTCTAAAAAAAAATTTAAAAAAAACACTTTTAGCGTCGTTCTCAAATTTTAACTTAAAATAATATGCTTTCTTGATACATGCCCACAAGCAGTGCTGCCTCAGAGCATCACTTAAAATTGTTCTTTTTAACAGCTTTTTCCTTTCTTTCAGAAATATGATATCAATACAGATTATTTTACACATGCATATATTTCTCATTTTATCAGTCTCTTTATTGTAAAACCCAAACCACTAAGAATGCCTAAGAAATACCAATAAAAAGCTTTCATTTTGAATCATAAGATTTACAAGTATTTTAAATAGTTCTTGGATGAATAAATACCTGCTGAAAACACTGGCCTTGGATACTGTGAAATAAATGTCAACTACTTACATTTAAAGACCATGTCTGATTGACGTGTGTCACTGTCAGCTCATGTGGCTCTTCAGACTCTTCTGTATTCAAGAACTGCCATTCTGGTTTAGGTTCAATAGCTAGAAATGTCCTCCCCTTCTTCTTGGGTCTGGAATTAACATTGACAAAACACACATTTTAACCTGCATGTATATGAAATACATTACTTGAACTTGTACATGTAAAATGTAAGTTTTTACCATCAGTAGTGATTTAAGCAGAGTTTTGTGTAAGTTTCATCAGCACATATTAAACTAGAAACATGATACCAGCCAGATGCTTACATTTTTTATAAGAATCAATAAAGAGAAAGAATAGTGGCTTGTAACTCACTTAATGTCAATGCAAAAGCAGAAATGATAAGCCAAGTTAGTAAATTGTATGACTGGAAAACAGCATTACATGACATGCATGATATACAGAATTGATATTGTTGATCCAACTTCACATACCATTACATTATCTACCAGTACTGATAGGTACATGTAGTATGATATAAGTATGACCCATCTTTGAACATTACTAGTACATGTAACTGTTTAAAACTTACCCTGACTTTTTGCTTCGAACTTTACTTTTTCTTCTCTTTGCCCCAGGTTCTGAAGTATCGCCATTTTCTTCGTTCATCCTAATATTTGAAAAAATTCAAAGAAATAAATTCATGGACATGTTTGTTATCAGTGAGTGAATTAGACATTCTTAATGAAAAAATTTACACACATCTATCTTTATTTACTCTAACTATATACCGCTCTTACTCTGTAACCTTTAATGAATCGAATTATATGGGTTATAGTAATACTGGCATAAATCTCTCTCTCTCTCTCTCTCTCTCTCTCTCTCTCTCTCTCTCTCTCTCTCTCTCTCTCTGTGTGTGTGTGTGTGTGTGTGTGTGTGAGAGAGAGAGAGAGAGAGAGAGAGAGAGAGACGTTGCACCGATAGTTTAGTAAAAGACGTTTGAAAATACTGCCACTGCTTACTCTTCGTCTCCAATATCGTCTTCTGTATCACTTGCTTCTGGCGATGACATAACTATGTCTGTTTGTGAAAAATATAAGATATATTAAACGTTACTAAATGCATATATGCTTGAGCAACTCCTTTGAGTCTAACTCGGGCACCTTGTTTGTTGTTGCCAATAGTGGAATGCACTGCAGTGAATAAGAGCCGTCGTTTGATTGGACAATAAAAAGGCGCAAGTTTTGGCTCTCTATATGCATAAGAGAGCATAAGAGTGTTTTAGTGGGATGTAATTAATTTTGTTCTCGCTTTAACTCAAATTATGTATTCTTCAAGTGACTTAACAGGCGTGAGATACTTTGAGCGAAACATCTCATTTAAAGCAGTTTATACTGAGAAGCTATTTTTTCTCAAAACTATTTTTAAACAAACTGAATTACATTTAATAGATAATAATTAACTCTTCGTATGAGCTCTATATTTCACATATAAATATAATAAATTCTATTTTACCACCAAAACGGCAGTTATATAAATTTTCTGAAAACTGTGCTTGTCATCACAGCATGTGACCTCCACAGATAAGATTATTACATCAAAACAATCTTTTTAGAAAAAAAAAAAAAAAAACCGGGACTGACTCTGAATGTAAAAATGGATTCATAAACCATTAGTAAGTATGAAAAAATAGCAGTTTACCTCTGGAAAATTAATTTTTTTTTTTGTTGCCAAAATGAACAGCTATTATGAATTTAAATTTAAATTCCCAGAGCCCTTAAACCGGTAAATAGGGAAAATTGTACTTATAACAAAATTGAGATGAAACACAATTAATATTGGAATTACAAATTGATGTTCATCATCAAGTAAGTAAGGAAAATATATTAATAAAATCACCGAAGAATGAGTCGGGCGTCTTATCCCCTTTTAATAAGTTATAATAGTGAGACAAAAGCCATTATTTCGAATTTTTTGCTACTCGTTTGAGAAACAAATGAAAAAACTGCCTTATTCACACTTAAACTTAAAAATAACTATGTAAACAAGCAGGCCTAAAACCCACGTATGCAAAGGTCTAGAGTACAGTTGGCCTACTAAATAAAAACGCTTTAATAAGGGGTGGAAGTACGTCAATAACTACATATATCCTCCTCAAACTTTAAGATTTACATACAGTATACGCTTTGTTTTTCATATAAAAGTATTCGTTTTATATACTTTGATTAATAGCCTATCATTATGGTTAAATATTTTCATTGCACCCATACATTTAGGCCTATATGTAGGCCCGATTTCACGAGACAGAAAGAGACGGTATGTAATAAATCATGGATGATTTCGCTCTAAATAATATGTACATGTATATCACCAGGCAGACACCACAGTCTTGATTTTATATTTTATGTATTGATTTTATATACATAAACCGTCTATTTAACTTTTTACAGAACTGGCGAACAAAAGCTACATTTTCCCACAGACACTCAACCTTTTGTTTATTCCTGTTCATACATGACTTACCCACATAACTGTAATGTAAGGTCTTTATTCATTGTTCCGCATTTCATCATTATACCCTCACTTTTAAAGATACATTTGAATCGAGCGTGTATTCCCAGTAACGCATATAAACCACTTTTCAAGTTGCTCATACGACTCAAATAAAGTCGATATTCCAAGGAATTAACCGATCGAATTAATCACTCGGTCGGCCATAAAGAGCTTTGAAACTGCAACTTCTACAAAATTTTCTTTGTAAAATGACCAACTAATCTGACCTACTGATACGCTCCGGTTATATACAACGCTAGCACAGAAAGTAAGCAGAAAATATCCGTTCAAATATCATTTTTCGGGTAATATGAAACGATATACTTTTGCATGTCTCTTAGTTTTACTATTTGAATCTATGGTGGCATTTCAGGCATTTGGTAGGCATTTTTGGCAAAGATTACTTAATCTTTAAATGCATTTTAACTGAGTCTGTGGATAATTTTAATAATAAAGGAAGACAGACAGCCACTCACTCGATCTGTATATTTTATCTTATTACATTAAACGCACTCACGTGACGAGGTGTATTTTCATAGTGCCAGACAAAATTTGTAAGTTTAGCGCGACCGACCCTGGTTTTCAGATATTTTTATACTATCCGTTAATTTCAGATAAATAGCTTCATCCCAAGACAAGTGCCTGTTTCCTCTCAACTCAAAAACAAAAGAAATGCTTCAAATCGCCTAAGTGACGCGTAGGGTTCCTACGGGCCACCGTAACAATGTACAAAACGACCTTTCAACGACATATGCAAGTAGCGTCGATATGACAAGTTTAGTATGCATGATACCACAGTGAAGTAATCTGGGTCTGCTGGTATACCGAGCACTTGCTGCACAAATTGAGCAAGACTCCAAGCTGAATTGACTGATATTTTAAAGAATCTAAATATTAAACCGACCGTGCAGGAAGATGTCAGTGAGCGTTCTGTTGGAGAATGTTGCGGGTTTCACTGGAGAGGGACCACACTGGGATGAGACGACTAACCGTCTGTACCACGTGGACATTGGGGGGAGTACTGTCCACCGCTGGGACGCTGGAACACAACAGAACAGCTCCGTTAATGTTGGTGAGTCGGTAAACTTCCTTAAAGTCTGAACGAAATTCCCGACGTTCCACGTACGTAACATATTCAGAAAGATGGGCCAAATCAGATGATCTTCTCCAAACAAGCTCTTAGGGGAAGACGAAAGTCACGAAAGGATGGTTACATGAAATCTTTTTCAAAGATTATAGGCTATATGGAATTTCCTTTATCCTAATTATCAAATTATATTAGGGTATCTATTAATTTCCGATAGGCCTACTTGAAACGGTAATATTCTATCGAGTTCCCCAAACCCAAACCTAAAAATGAATGTTGAAGGACCAAACAAACGGTTATTTGGTTTTCAAAACAACAAAAATAATCTTAATAGAATCATATGCCTGGGACATTTATTTTTCACATCAGGTGGCTATACGGGGTTTGTGATTCCTTCCACTAAGGGCGATTTGATCATCGGTCTGGAGAATAAAATTGCCCGCCTAAACTGGGACACGAAAGAAGTCATTGAACTGGCCGAGGTCCAACACGGACAAAATACGAGGTTTAACGACGCCAAGTGCGATGCCTCGGGAAGGCTTTGGGCCGGTAAGTATTTTAAAAACTTTTTTGGATGTAATAATTATGATTATATATGCTTTAAAAGATACAGAAATTTCTCAGTTAAAGCAATCAGTTATACATCGCCAAATATTAGCAAATTGCTGACAAAAGACGGCGTTTTATAATTAAAATATATTCCAATTTCTAGGTACCATGTCTCGTGAATCGTACCCATCCCAGCCGGAGGATATCAAATTTGAGAAAGGGGCGTTCTATTCTTACAGCGTTGATGGGGTGATTAAACAACAACTGGACAAAATCACCTGTTCTAACGGCATGGCGTGGACCAAGGATAATTCCGTGATGTACTACATTGATTCTATCCCAAGGAAGGTGTACGCCTTTGACTTTGACATAAACAAAGGCACTTTAGGTGAGATTTAACTGAGGCAAAAATAGAACTAAAGCAAAAAAGTTTTGTAAATGTAGTTGTTGTTTTTGTCATCACAATATCAAGTGTATTTTTGAAAGACGATAAGAGCACAAAGATGTCAAAATGTATCCCTTTTATCCGTCTCAATCACATGTCGCTGTGTCCTTCAGCAAACCGTAAAGTGGCTATAGATTATGGAGACGAGAGCACGCTGTCTTCCCTAGGATATCCTGACGGGATGTGTATGGACACGGAAGGCAAGCTCTGGGTGGCATGTTATGGGGCTAGTAAAGTGATCAGATTTGATCCCGAGACAGGTATACATACAGCAACATAACAGAATATTTAAACAGCGAAATGGCACGTTAAATAAATAGGATAGACGTGATAAGTGACCTAGATATCAGTTATGAGATAATTTCTTATATACCATTATATCCGTCTATATGACTGATATAATTAAAGATGCATACAAAGTCAATTTTTTTGTCACAAAACCAACCAAATGCCAGCATATAGTTTCAAGCTAGGATCCAAAATAATTATTTATTTATTTTGGATCCTAGTTTCAAGTAGTATAACTAAGAGAATTACCAAAAGGCATTGTTTAATTTTACCCGAAAATGATGTTTGAACGGATTTTTCTGCAAGCATTTTATGCTGTACATTGTATGTCAATGGGACAGAAAAGTAGGTCACGAAAGTAGGTTAAATTTCCGACCAAAAGTTTAAAGAAAGGAGCAGTCTGAAGCTCTTTTATGACTGATCGAGTGATCTATTCAGTTTATCCCTTGGCATGTCGAATTTATTTAAAGTCGTATAAGAAACTAGTAGAAGTGGTTTACATGTGTTACTGGGAATCCACGCTCCATCGATGCTCGGTTCGTATGTACCTTTAATAGAGTGCCATCGAGTTTACATCTGTTACGGATCGACACGACAATATAAGAATCCATAACTTAACACAAAGTCAATTTTATTTTGATTCATGATATTTAACTTATCCAACTACCCATACTGGGTCTGTATTTACCAAAAACGTAGACTCGTTCGTAACAGTAGTAGTAAGGATAAAATGTATATGGATTATTTGCATTTCAGGAAAACCGCTCCGGGAAATCAAGTTTCCAGATTCACGAAGAATCACCTCTTGTTGTTTTGGCGGTGCCAATTTTGACGAGTTGTTCGTCACCTCTGCTAAGAGTGTAGATCCTGCGGAAGATGTTAAGTTTCCCCTCGCGGGCTCCGTGTTTAGGGTCACTGGGCTGGGGGTGAAAGGATGCCCAGCGTCCAAATTCGATGGATAAAAGCTCAACTGGCGTTCTACGTCATCGAGGTTGTTTACAAACCTTTAATGTAGAAAACGAAAAAACTTTCTCCTTATGTTACCGATAATACAACCCATGGAGATAATAACAATAAAGATTTAATTAGTCACTGCACATATGAAATTACTTGAAAGAAGAAATGATAAAAACCCCATTCAACACTTCATAAAAATTTTGTGCCTCATTAATTTCAAGTTAATGATTATTGGATGTGTAAAAATTTGTATATCTTCTATTAGAAAACACCTAATTAACGCCACGTGCTAAGGTACAAGTATTAAATTCAATCGATCATCTGACAAAATGGCAGCAGAATAATTTTGTCAGTAAATAATGTATACATTAGTAATGTTGTGTCGCATCTCTGGGGTTTTAGTGACTCAGATAAAACGGTTGCGAATTGCGTATTATAACACGGTAATGTTATACAATTTATCCGTCTTTATAGTAAAATCACAAGCCAAAGAGAAGCCAAAATTTAAAACAAAACTCTCTTTAAAGTAATAAATTAAGATATGAATGTCCACCCCTTTTGAGATGACAGAAAAGGGAGACTCGGTGACGATTCTAAAATTGTAGAGGTACTTTGGCCTCATTATTTTCATTTGGCTCTTTTGATCTCTTCCACCAAAAATATAAAACAGGCATCACACCTGAGATAATTTCGTTAAAACCAGTCCCAGGTCCGAGCGTTATGGAACTTTCCAACCCGGAGAATATATACACATTCAGGACAATTGTAACAAATATTGGAGTCCCTGTATTTACTTTTATTGATGTTCCTTTTATGTTGCACAGATACATATCCGCTTACTAATAGATTTAAGGCACGCAATCAGTACGCTTCCCTATAAAAAATGGGCCTCTAAAGTAAAGAGAGAGAGAGATCGTCGCGACTGTCCCTGCCTGCGTGCCAGACTGTAGCCCGTATGTGAGGAATAAAGAGTACTTGAAACACAATATTATCTGCTGTGTTTATTCAAGTCGCCGTTCTCTTCAAAGGAGGGGGGGGGGGGGGGGGATGTCGCGAGTGGAGGATTGATGATTAAATATCGTCATCGGCATTTGGATACGGTTTGTGGGAAACATCACTATTTTTCTTTTACTATATTTTCGATAAAGGAACAGAAAAGCAATATTAATATATAAGAATTGTGTTTATTATAAAGTATTGATTTAACTTTCCCATGTTAATTTCAAATATACACATATAAAATCTCAACATGGTTTGTTCACTCTTATTAGCCTTCAAAGGTATTTTTATGATGGGGAAACAAATGAAATAGAGCAATGTTTAGAACATCAAGTCTATGTCCATGTAATGTCCATGTCTATTGCTTATTGTTCAAACTGAGCCTTATTCTTGAGGAGATAAGCTGCTAGGTATTCTATTGGGTTTGGAGGCCTGAAAGAAGAAATGAAACCATGTGTTTATAAAATATGTGTGGGCTATGACAATACTTCACTTCTCAATACTTATAATAGACAACTTCAAACTGTAGGATATTAAACACACGTTGAGGACATAAACCACTTTATGTAGAACTTATCTAAGTACAAGTTATAACTGTTTGATCATATTTGAACAGATCAATATCACGAATCACTGTAACACAGAATACTAAAATTTACCGCCTCTTGACAAACCTCACAGCCTGTCAATTATCTTGACACAGTTTTAATTCATGAGGAATCCGATAGCAGAATTTGAATAAAACCATCACTTAAACATGGATTATGGACTTTTTCATTTTCCCAAATTGTAACATAGTTATTGTGAGTGTCAGGAAAGAAGGAAGGTTGTATAGACATTACCTTTCTTTTCCTAAGACAGTCATGCCCTGTATTAAGATAGGGACTACAGTCTGGTTTAGGTATGTGTAGAAGATGTCTTACCTTTCTTTTCCTAAGACAGACATGCCCTGTAGTAAGATAGGGACTACAGTTTGGTCTAGGTATGTGTAGAAGACGTCTTACCTTTCTTTTCTTAGACAGACATGCCCTGTAGTAAGATAGGGACTACAGTCTGGTTTAGGTGTGTGTAGAAGATGTCTTACCTTTCTTTTCCTAAGACAGACATGCCCTGTAGTAAGATAGGGACTACAGTCTGATCTAGATAAGCTCTGGTAGGGAGGGACTGGAGATCTACTTTACTCCTCTTGGCTGGGGCTTCCATACTCTCTTTTTCACTTTGGATTATTTTCTGGACAAGGAAAAACAAATTAAAATATTATAAGTAACTTTGGTGACTACCAATCATGCACAATTTACCTGGATAGATAACTTTTACTAATATTCAGATACTTAATTCTGCACATCTTTCTTTCTACTTAAAATAAAGGGATTTTCAACTTATATACAAACCTCACAGCAATACAAAATGTAGCACGAAAATTCATGCGTTTGCACTCCTATTGATGACTCTGATATGTATTGGCTGTGCTAACACAGCCAATGCATATCAGATTTGTCTATAGGAGTGCTAACTCATGAATTTTCGTGCTATACAAAATGAAGTAAATCTTGTGCGGCACTAAAGGAAAAAAATATTCTGCCACTATTTTATGGGACAATGAACAACAACTTATTCATTTATCACAGAAGAATTATTTGTGAACATACTCTAATATTTACACTAATTAAATTTCTATGACACTTGTAAGGGAGAAATTACCAGTATAAAAGACCTTCAATCTCAATCATTTTATACCATCTCATTTTATAAATAGAGAAAGAACTACAGAATCATAATTATTTTGGGTGATTGTGGCACTTACAACCAAATGTAAATGCAAATCTTGACAGAAAAGTTTAGTGAAGAACCATTACCTGGATATTTTCTGCCAGCCCATGGTCAGCTTGCTGTGTTTCTGTGGTCAACTCAGGCTCAACAGAGGGAGCTTGTTGTGGATCTACGATTAGAAAATACACATGGTCATTTTTTCAAACACCAAATGTAATCTGTGTTTTAGTTCGCTTTCTGCCTTTACCATTAGGTTCCTTAATGTAAACGGGTTGAATTAACTTGAGCCAGAGATGTCTTTCATTCCCAAGTCAAATACATGGACATTTGACACAAACTTCCAACTGGGAGGAGCTTCGTGTACACAATTCTACTTCACTCGTAGAGTCGGAATACAGTGCAACGATCCTGAACTAGAGTCGTACACTCTGGTTCACAGGTTCAGCATAACATCCGTAAGAAATGTCGAAACAAACCACATGAAATTTCGATTTCTACTCCAGAGACAAAGCAGCATGTGTAAAGCTACTTAGAGTTAACAACACGATTGTTCAGCAAACATGACCTTTTAAACAGGTGTAGTAATTTGAAATCAAAAGTATATCAGATATCTAAGCTTAATTACTCAAATTTTACAAAGTAGTTCAGATATGAATGAAAAGAAAATACAAACCGTCCGCCATAGTGAAATCTTGTTGTTGGTGATGAACGGGTCTCGTGAATTCTCGTGTACCAGGGTACTCATCTCCAAAGCACAGCCTCGTTTCCATTTAATAACTAGACAACAGCCCTCAATCTTTGGCACATAAATTATAACGATGTAAAATTACTGGGAATCACTTGTCACTATAAACAGAAACTATGCAATGCACCCTTTGTTCTTATGTAATAATTTTTGTTAATCTTTCTTATAAAAATGCACAAAAAAACTCAACAATAATAATATATAATTGTCAGGTTTCAAATTAAATCCAATGTTAGTTTGTACCAAACGAGCCATATCCGTTCATTTAATCAATTCTCATACTTCTTTAAATTTGCCAGATGTTGCTTGAACTGTGTTATGGTTAAGGCATCAATTCAAATATTTTTTAAATTCACTGGAAGAATAACGAGTCAACATTTTAATTTTTGGTTATTCAACTGTTTATTTTGACATGTTTGTCTGTACATGTGTTTAACAATAATTATCAGTAACTACATATACACATAGCAACAGCATTTTGACAATCAACAATAGTACTTAAGTTGGATCTTCACTTGTACACACATTATACACACTGCATGTATTCCACTAGTAATATTTTTTAAGATCTCATATTACACTCTGTATCCCACTGGTAAAATTCAATTTCTTAATTACCAGAAAACTAGCTCTTCTGAATATGACCATTATTGCCATTCTGTCTTCTGTAATATTTCAGAAAAAAAGATATTCTGCAGTCATTTTTTTAATGACGTAATTAAAGCCACATTACTTTTATCATCTAGGAAACATTTCAAATGTATTGCCATCTACTCTTAGTGGTTTCCTTTTGAATTCATAGTAAGGTCGATGGCCACTTAAAAAAAAAAAAAAAAAAAAAAAGCAGCTTTCTGTGAAACTCGATCTTTTTTCAACTCTGCTATATTTAATGAACAGAAATTTCTTTTTAATCAGCTTTTCAGATTTAGTTGATGTGTAAACAACAACTTCATCAATGCTCAGTCATCTGCTTTTGTCTTCTTCTGCCGTGTGCTCTTCCTGACGGGAGCAGCCGCTGCTGTCTTCTTCTTCCCCCCTCTACCCCTCCCTCTCCCTCGCCCCACTACTGGGGATGGTTTATCATCTTTGGCCTCCCCTTCTTCCCCTGGTTCTGTCTCCTGAAGGTGAAAATAAGATACTTTAGCATATGTGGCTTCTGTACATGACAACAAGGCACGACACTATAACCCCTGCCTCATCTTTATTAAACGGGAGCGGGAGCAATTTAATAAAGAAATGTATTAGATATCAGTGTATTGACACTGTCAACATCACAAGAGAAGATAAAACATTAAAATAGATATAAATCTCACAGTGCATATTTGATATACAACAGTGTAAGGATCCTTGCTATAACTGTTCTGTTAGTCTACCTACCTGAGAATCCTCCGTCTCCATGTCCTCCTCTGTCTCCTTGGCAACCACTTCCTCTGTCTCCTTGGCAACCACTTCCTCTGTCTCCTTGGCAACCACTTCCTCCGTCTCCTTGACAACCGCTTCCCCCTTCTCTGCCTGGTCTGCTCTCTTCTGATCTAACTGTTCCCTAACTGATTTCGCCTTCTCTTCCTCTTCCTTCTGCTGCCTTTCCTTTTCCAGTAATTCCATTGCTTTCTTTTCATTTTCCTGTCTTTCCTTCTCCAACTGAGCTTTCACTTCTCTGTCTTTTCTCTCCATTTCTTGTTTTTCTTTTTGTAGTCTTTCTTTTTCTAATTGTTCTCTTGCTTTTTGGTCCTGCATTTCTTTTTCAAGTCTCTTTTGTTCAGCCTCTTTCATTTCTTTTTCAATTTTGTCCTTTTCTATTTTTTGTCTTGCTAATTTTTCTTTTTCCATCCTCTCCTTTTCTTGTTTTTCTTTTCCTTCATTTTCTTCTTTTTCCATTCCTTCATTAGAAGGTTCTTGTTTTTCTTCAGATTTTACTAGACTTGTTGAAGGGTTTGAAGCTGAAGAACAGATAAAATCATATTAGATGTTAAAACTTGACATGCAGGTTATCATTCTCTTTCAAAACTGCATCTACTTTTATGAAGTAAGGGAACCTTTCTTTAAAGACATTTTGTGAGATATCTATTTTCTTATACACTGGTTTTAATTGCATGCATGGCTTATTGAATTTTTTCCTAGCATTAAAATAAATGATAATATAACAGATAAAAAATGTATTCAAATTCTCACTCAAAAGAAAAAAAAAGACTTAGAGAAGATATAAAATAAGACCAGGTATTGAAAAGCCTTATAAGTTTATAACAAAATAAGATGTAGTAACTATAAACCCACCAGGTGGTGCAGAGACTGTGTGCTGTGTTGTGGTTTCTGTTGCAGTAGCTGTCACTGGGGGGACAGTCTTTGTTACACTGGAAGGCTGAGTCTTTACACTGGGTATAGGCTGTGTTTTAACACTGGGAGCACTCTGGGTCCTTACACTGGGAGGTGGAGGTCTATGGAAAGACTGTCCAAGAACACTAATGGCTTGTCCCCCCAGGACACTGATGGCTTGACCCTGGGGCTGTGGCACAGGTTCCCCTGGGGCTGGAGGCTGGGCCTGAAATCAAAGCAAACTTGGGTGGAACAACCACAAAGATGCATGTACTCAATAGAAAGAAATAAGCATTAGATGATGTTTATTTCATTTAAAATGGTAAGAAAAGAATGAATGTAATTTATCAAACCATTAGGTTTTATAAATTTTAGAGTGATATTCAACCAACCTCTGATGTTGCCTTAAGTGCCTTTTCTTGCTGTATTCTCATCTGCTTCTGTCTTTCTTCTTCAAGTTTTTGCTGAAAGTAATCAAATGAAAATGTCTAATGCACTTAATGTAAAAGATACAGTCCGAAAAACTGTTTTCATTAATTAATATATTGATAGTAAAAATTAGGGAATGAACTGAGACTAACAATTATTCTATAAAAGAAATCAAAATCAAGTGGTAAATACAATATAATGTTTTATTTTTATGCAAAGTGATTTATATAATACATTTAAAAAAACTCCAATTGGACCTTTTTTATTATTTAGAATGGCAACTCATCTCACTTTAAAAAGCCGCTCCTTTTCCCTTTCTTCTGCCTCTTTTCTCTCAGCGTCTATCCTCTCCTGTTCAGCCTTAGCTTTGGCCTCAGCTGCCCGTTGCTCTTCCAGAGGGTCTCGCTCCAAGATGGCCGAAATTGCCTTGGGTATATGTGCCCTCTGGTGGAGGAAATGTTTACAGTTTTAAAGGGCTGTTGATATTGTAACTGAATTTTGGGTTAAAACAGATTACTTAATTTATAAAACTTACGTCAGGACAAGCCATAAAAAGTTGATTTATTTAATATTTAAATTCTAACACAGAAAACGGGTTTATCAAAGGAAAGACTTGGTTACATTCCTAGATGTGTGTACACATAATAGCCAGTCCCAGTGAGTGCTGGTTCAGGTTTTATACCTGATGAGGTGTTAGAGCCTGTACATGGTGGAGGAGGGGTTCTCTCAGGTCCGGACTGACTTCAAAGGCATTCTTCAGCTGAGGGGCAGGGAGCTGAAGTAGCACCTGGAAAGATTGGGGCTTGGTCCTCTGGCAACACTTCACAAAACCTTCCCACACCTTCCTCTGCTTCCAAACCTAAAATATTCACAACATGATTAAATATAAAACCTTCCCAAACCTAGTACTTCCAAAACTGAAAACTTCACAACATGATCAAACATATAACTTTCCTATATTTTCCTCTGCTTCCAAACCTGAAATATTCACATCTGCTCAAACTTGAAGAGTACTGCTGTAAATGTAGAAAGGAAACAAATCTTTCAGGGAAAAGCTTGCTTAAAAGATTAGAAGAGTTATAAAGGTATAGAAGAGTGTCCTAGAGTGTGCCACCCACCTGTTTGGTGATCAGCCTCTGCAGTATATTCATGATGAACCCTATCAGCTTGGGGTACATGGTCAGGGACTGGATCACTGTCCTCATCAGTAATGTGGGAAGTGGACTCTGCTCCATCAACTTCTGCATCACCACAGCCAAGATTTCTTGAGTGTAGATGGTCTTCTCAGCAAAACACAGGTTGGTGGCTGAAACAAAGGATCATGTCATTCACAATTGTAAAACCCGAGTTCTCAGCACATAGTCTCAACTGTAAACTTGAGTCCTTAACAAATAGTCACAACTGTAAACTCGAGTCCTCAGTATCCTGGAGTCATTTTCAATAAAGGAATTAATCACCTTGGAATATAATGGAATGACATTTCAGCCAAAATAATTCAATAAATAGATGCACCGATGTTATAGTAATGTAGTGTTATACCAGTGTGTTGGTATCTTACCTTTGATTACTGTCTTCATGTCACATTTGTCAGGATCAATGTTGTGAAGAGAAATTAAAAGTTCATCTGGGGTTAGAGGACTGGAGTAGTCTGTTTCTGCTGAGACTGCAATTGACATGAAAAAACTGTTTTCAAACATAAAAAACACTAGTTATTTGTGTGTATTTGTAAATAAAGGGTTCAACACAAAATATTTCACATAGGCTACAAAATTCTACCTTCATTTTCCCCAATGCAAGCTGTCAGTGTCAAACTACATCAATTATAATTAGCACAGTGGTTTCTTTAGCATGTAACAGTTGTCAACCCATAAATTTTAGTTTTTCTACTCAAACTATAATCACAGTACTGACTTCCCACTCCTAGCAGCCTGTTGAACACCTCCTTCACTACCACTGGGTTCAGCTTGATCAGCTTGGGGAGTGCTCCCAGGACTTCCTTCTGCAATAACAACAGGGAGGCAGGTTTAACATGGGTCAAATGACCGTCCACAAAGTTAAACATGATAATTGTATATGGGGAGGAAATAATAACTTTACTTTGAACAATGGTCAAGGCTAGTCACAGCACACTCTCCACTGATCTGTCCACGCACTAGCTCCACTTTCTGCTGGTACAAAGCTGATCCATACTTTTGTATGCACTTTATTTTTAGTGGATCTAAAAAGACATAACTTTTAATAATTATTACCTTGGTCAGTCCATTGAGGACAGGGATCAAGAACCTGACATATATTACCTTGGTCAGTCCATTGAGGACAGGGATCAAGAACCTGACATATATTACCTTGGTCAGTCCATTGAGGACAGGGATCAAGAACCTGACATATATTACCTTGGTCAGTCCATTGAGGACAGGGATCAAGAACCTGACATATATTACCTTGGTCAGTCCATTGAGGACAGGGATCAAGAACCTGACATATATTACCTTGGTCAGTCCATTGAGGACAGGGATCAAGAACCTGACATATATTACCTTGGTCAGTCCATTGAGGACAGGGATCAAGAACCTGACATATATTACCTTGGTCAGTCCATTGAGGACAGGGATCAAGAACCTGACATATATTACCTTGGTCAGTCCATTGAGGACAGGGATCAAGAACCTGACATATATTACCTTGGTCAGTCCATTGAGGACAGGGATCAAGAACCTGACATATATTACCTTGGTCAGTCCATTGAGGACAGGGATCAAGAACCTGACATCAGATACCCTCTTGTGATACAGATCTCGTACCCTCTCCACCAGCTCTGGTGACGGGGCAGCTGAAACAGTGAAAGTACACTTCATAATACTTGACTGAATGCTGAGTGACTGAGGCAACTTAAACAACATATAACAACTACATAAATGTCAATGAACACAAACCTATCATGTAATGTTACCTTTGTCAGTAAGAATGTGTATTATCCTGGTGACCAGTGTCATATACGTGATAGAAATGTTACCTTTGTCAGTAAGAATGTTTAGTATCCAGGTGACCAGGGTCATATATGTAATAGAAATGTTACCTTTGTCAGTAAGAATGTGTATTATCCTGGTGACCAGGGTCATATATGTGATAGAAATGTTACCTTTGTCAGTAAGAATGTGTATTATCCTGGTGACCAGGGTCATATATGTGATAGAAATGTTACCTTTGTCAGTAAGAATATGTATTATCCTCGTGACCAGGGTCATATATGTGATAGAACTGTTACCTTTGTCAGTAAGAATGTGTATTATCCTGGTGACCAGGGTCTCGGCTCCCTTAGGGCAGTTTTCCACCATCAATAACAGCTCTGGGGACTGCATACCCATGGCTTTCACCTGGAACAACAAATATCTCACAGTGATATATATATCAAGTAACTGCTTTATTTGAGACTAAGACATAAATGTGACAAGTGTTTACTTATAAAATGTACTTTTTAATTATTTTGTGTCTAATTGTTTATATATCTAATATATCAAACTTACTGGAGTTTCTAGAACACGGAAGATGGTCCTCTTGATGTCTGGAGATGTGGCTGTGTACACTAATGCTAGCCTGAAAAGAGCCAAAAATTAATAAAGTTTCAAAACACGTGGATATCTTTAACAGAATTGATCACATACAGTAAAACAACAGCTGTGTAAATACAGACATATAAAGTATTATAACTAATAAAGAAAATGTGGACTTACTCATGAATGAGAGCATCATTGACAGGTAGTATTCCCAGGTATAGGTACAGACATAACTTGGCATTATCGTCTGTCCAGACATCTTGATATTCTAGAAAACAATCAAAATGAACAGTCAGAAATATAATGAAACACACCAACTTCTTTAATACTCTGAAAATTTCTAGGCAGTTTATATCCAACCCAAATCCACTACTACTGTAAACTAGTCTCACCTGGCCTCCCAGTGTTTGGACCAAATAATTTGGCAGGTGGTCGTGGCTGTGTTAAGTACCTCAGGTGGGTCAAAGCATGTTGCTAAAATATAGAAAATTTACAAAATAACTCTGGTAGTTATAGATATTTGGTCCAAACAATATTATTTGTCTAACACGAAAATGGAGAAGTAAGACTAAAAAGTGTTAATGAATTTAATGATCAGGATTAAATAGTATGGTTAAATAAACTCCAGGGGGGTGTTTGTCTAGTTATATCTGATGTCAGTGTATCTAAAGAGTTCAATGGCTGCCAGTTACCTCTATGTGCTCTCTGAGGTCAGGTCTCTCGTACAGTTTCTTGGTTACCCTGGTAGCGATGTTCCTCACTTCTGGTTTCTCGTGGGAGGTAAAGTCCAGCAGGGCGTTGAGGAACTTCATTTTCTGATTGGGTCTCCTGAGCACCAGGTCTCTCACTGTGGACATCCCAAGGTACACTCTAGACTGGATACAGAATAATAAAGTGGGTGGGATTTTCTGTCTTTGTACCATTGTCATACACAGTAAAAACTCCACCATGATCTTATAGTGTTTTATGTCATTGTGTAAGTTCATACAGAGAAGACAAAAAAGAAAAGCTACTGTCAGAGCAAATTGGAGAGATTAACTTAAAAAAATCTCTATGTATATGTGTACTTCATCAATAACTGAGACGACATTCTCAATTAAATCATGCTGTGACACTGTTTCCAAGAACAAATTCCACCCTTGAGCCTCTCTTACCTCATCCTGGCAATACTTCTTCAGTACATGGACAGCATTGTCTGTAATACTTGGGGCTTCTAGCAGGAGTCGACTGAATAACCTAGTGGACAATATAAACAACAACACTTGAAGTACTAAACAACATATATACTTCAAACCACTGATGCCCAAGCTATATATTTCATTTACCTCATTTTACACACAATACACATGCATGAAAAAAAAGGACAGGAAATCCTTTACGGTCATTTGTTTGTGTGATGCAAGTTCTGGGAGAGCGGTGAAAGAGAGTATTTATCCTTCTTTCTGGTTGGTTCTATTCAGTACTAGGAGAGTATTTACCCTTCTTTTTGATCTGGTCTATTCAGTACTAAGAGAGTATTTACCCTTCTTTCTGGTTGCGTCTATTCAGTACTAAGAGAGTACTTACCCTTCTTTCTGGTCTGGTCTATTCAGTACTAGGAGAGTACTTACCCTTCTTTCTGGTCTGGTCTATTCAGAAGACCAGTCAATAGCCTGGTCAAGCATTCATCATAGGCATGGCTACTCTTCTTCTCTCCACTGGTCACTGTGTAACCCTGGTAGTTGGCATACTCCTGGTACAGCCACGCAAATGCCAGGTCAGAGCGGTTACGTAGGTCCTCAAATATGTAGTCTATCAGCACTGAATAGAAAGATAATATGAGCATTATTAGCAAGTCCTCAAATATGTAGTCTATCAGCACTGAATAGAAAGATAATATGAGCATTATTAGCAAGTCCTCAAATATGTAGTCTATCAGCACTGAATAGAAAGATAATATGAGCAGTATTAGCAAGTCCTCAAATATGTAGTCTATCAGCACTGAATAGAAAGATAATATGAGCAGTATTAGCAAGTCCTCAAATATGTAGTCTATCAACACTGAATAGAAAGATAATATGAGCATTATTAGCAAGTCCTCAAATATGTAGTCTATCAGCACTGAATAGAAAGATAATGTGAATAGGATTATATCTATTAGCTAACACTAAATAACCACAATACGTAAAATGACACAGAAAGAAACAACGTGACTTATCTTTTTTTTTGTTTGGTATAAGGGAGTTTAACTTTCTTGATTGCAGCTGCAATTGTCGTTTAACAATTCTTTTGTTTTTAAATGAGCCTTGTTGTTGTTTCTTTTTTTTTCATTTCAGTCAGAAACATTGGACTACAAGCACATGGGTATCTGATGCTGGTTACTGAAATAAACATTACTCAAAATTTCCCAAGACCTCGTTGTTTCAGTTTAGGATCCAGTTGGATCTTACAAGCACACACTGATATAGTTCATAACTAAACCATCATAATATAGTCAAATGTGATCAGAATAAGTACAGCGTTCAAACCATTCCTTTCAGAACACTCCTCTACAAGATAACCAGAACAATGTGAAAACTAAGATCATAGAGCTTCATGTCTCACACCACTTACTGGTCTTCAGCTCTCCTCCAAACTGTGCTACAAGTCCTGCCAACAACTTGTTCCTAGACTGCAGGATGCCTGATGACATAGACTGCTCTGGGAAAACAAGGAAAAACTTGTTTGTAATATCACAACTTAGGGTTTAACAAATGCAGTTATTTCCATCTAGCCTGATAGCAAAATATATCCCTATTCTGTGTATATAAGTTAACACTGTAAAATATACTTTTAAATCTTCATCTTTTAAACAACTTTATTTTAACACTGCAATTTCCAAATGAGCATCAAATAACCACTGTCATGATGCAATTACACTACAGGATTAGAAGAAGTTCAGTATTCTATGAAGCATGGAGTTGCAGATAATTCCAATTTCTGAAACATCTTATGTTGCTTACTGTCTGCTCTGAGAATTCTGGTGATGGCGCTGGCAGCCATGTCATCCAGCTGCTCTGGTTTCAGAGGCTTGGTGACACTGGCCAACTTAAACTGTCTCAATCCTCCAGGAGTTTTCTTTGGAGCAACAGCCTAAAATCATTGGTATACAACAAATCATAAGAAAATACTACAGGAGCTTTCTTTGGAGCAACAGCCTGAAATCATTGGTATACAACAAATCATAACAAATACTACAGGAGCTATCTTTGGAGCAACAGCCTGAAATCATTGGTATACAACAAATCATAAAAAATACTACAGGAGCTTTATTTGGAGCAACAGACTGAAATCATTAGTAGGCAACATATCATGCTAACAAATACTTGAGAGTTTTATGGGATCTTTTTTTTGGGGGGGTGCTAATGACCTATATTAAAAATGTAATATATAAATCCTTTTAGTTGTTTGAAAGTTGTTTGTTGAATTCCACACAGAACAATACACAAAGCTTTGATTTACCGGCAGAGGTGGCAGGAAGATGCTCTTTGTTGCCTCTTTGTCTTCTTTGACTCCTGCAGCAGTGGATCCACCTGGCAAATATACATGGTATTTTAAAACATATATTTGAGTTCACCTGTATTAATACTAGAAAGAAGCAATAAAGAAAAATGTCACAGTACTGATAAATTCAAATGAACAATTAAAAAATGATTTAAATGTGTTGGCTGACTTTACAAGTTTATCCACAGCCTGTCTTACCTACAAGTGTCTGTATAGTGTGTTTTGGTGAAGGTGCCTGGTCTTCGTCCTCTTCCTCCACGTCAGCAGCAGCTGAACTAGAGGCTTTGTCTTTCTCCTGGAGTTTCTTGGCCTCAGTGAAGCCATGTCCATAGCCCGCGGCCACCAGTTGAGTGGCTAGGAGTCTGGACATGTGCTTTATCTGTGCCTGAGTACCAGCCGCAGCAATAGGGGTGTATGTAGCTTGGAAAGAGGCAGGCAAGGTGTCCGGTAACATCACCTGGGAGAGCGAAACAAAATAAGATGAACACAGCAGGTCATCCACAATGTGGTAAACCAAATGGTTATCATTTCATGTCCTCTGGAGTAGGAAAACATGACCAAAATGTACCTACAGAGCCAACAGCCCTCAGGGAGAGGAGTCTTACACCAAAGAACACCATGTCTGTCAGACTCACCTAGTCTGCCTTTAAAAGAGATACCCAAGCAACCTAATCAGGTTGAATAATTGGTTACCAATATTATCTCAGTATAATCAGTCAGCCCACTATTTACCATGCTGAGAAGTACGAGATCTGCCACATTGTGTGGATTCAGCCGCGGCACCAGCTCCTCTGCTGTGACATCAATGGCCGACTGCTGGGATGTGGTCGTCTGCTGCTTCCCACCACCCAATGTTACAAATGGTGTCTCATCAACATCATCATCTTCTATTTTAGTCTAAGCAAAAGAGGGGGGAAATAGTGAAAAATATAGGGTTTTTAAAGGGATATTTTATTTATAAAATCATTCATTCATTAAGTCTGATGCAATACATACTTCATAGAAAAAAAAAAACATTTAATTGATTATATCACAAAAAAATCATAATTACAACAGCAGTAATATTGAAGAATGGTGATAAGTCTCCAATAAAAAGAAATGCTGAATAATGAAAATAATGAAATAAATTATAGGTCCATTGATTTTCCAAAAATTCCACAGTATCAATGAAAAGAAATCCTCCTACCTCCATCTTTGCCTTCTTGGCCTGCTGTTGACCAGCTTCTAGTTTTCTTTTTCTATTTTCATCAATTTTAGGCATGGCTTTTACAACCTGGTTGAGAAAATAAAAATCAAATGTATATCTGACATTTAGCCATTTTATTGTTGCCCCTTTTAGCATTATTTTCTTTAACTTCTTCATAACAAATGTGTCTGAACTAATACTAGGAACAGTCTGAGCAGACGGTTCACTATTATATTTACGACAGCCCAAGTTTCATATCAATACCTCCATCTGTGTGGCCCCGAGGTCAGTGAGTAGTGTGGTGACTTGAGGGTGGTATTCTACACAGCCAGGGTGCTTCAGCAGGATCAACAACTGCATCTTCATGTTCTTACGTACACTGTTCACCTGGGATTTAGCCAGAGTGGGAGGGAGGTTCACTGAAATACAGCAGTCTTTTGTTATAACTCAGGGACTTAGCCAGGGTAGGAGGGAGGTTCACTGAAATATTGTAGTCTTTTATTATAACTCAGGGACTTAGCCAGAGTGGGAGGAAGGTTCACTGAAATATTGCAGTCTTTTATTATAACTCAGGGACTTTGCCAGAGTAGGAGGGAGGTTCACTGAAATATTGCAGTCTTTTATTATAACTCAGGGACTTAGCCAGAGTGGGAGGGAGGTTCACTGAAATATTGCAGTCTTTTATTATAACTCAGGGATTTTGCCAGAGTAGGAGGGAGGTTCACTGAAATACAGCAGTCTTTTATCATAACCCAATCTTGAATTTTGAGCCAATTTCTATGTTTTTTGTAAGGCAAACTGAATGATGTAACACCTAAAGATTAAATTGTTTATCCAGATTAATAGACAGTAGTGTTTACTAGAAAACTAGACTCAGTATAAGTTTGTATAAGTTAATTTCACTAGTCAATTTCTTCCAAAGGAGACAACCAAACCTCAGGCTCACAAAACTTTTCTTTAAATCAAACATTTGCTGGAAACAATTCTGTTCTACAACTAAGATGACTTGGCTTACCATGTAAGGATTCAAAGGCCTGCACTACCCTGGACATAAACTGTGGCCTCTGTTTGGCAATGGAGGTGAGACTTCCCATACAGGCCATTAAGTTCACACTGAGGTCATAGAAATAATTGTCTGGTATAGTGCATACAATATAATGCAAACATGAAAATAGGTTTGTTTATGATTCTGTAACTGTTGACTTTCAACAACCCAAGATCTTATATCTTTAACTTGTTGAATGTAAATGCTGCTAAGAGGTAAAAGAAAACCAAAATCACCCCCCTCCCCCGCCTTTCTTGATAAATTCTTTACCTTGAGATGTGTGCCGAGGCTTGGTATTCCAGTAAGGCATCCAGAGCTTTGTTGCCTTCTTCTTCCAACTTCTTGAACTTGAGATACTTGTGTTTTTCATCTATTTGATCTAGAGAGATGTCACTCTCTGATTTCTTTGGTATTTCAGAGTCCTGGAAGAAAATGTAATGTTCTTATTTTGAGGGAGATGTCACTTTTGAGAAAATGTCAATTTCTGATTTCTTTGACATTTTAGAGTTCTGCCAGAAAATAAATGGTTTTTATTTTGCTTCTTTCTGGTTCCTTTTTACCCAGGGTAACTTTTGTTGAATACTAAGGAAAGCTTAATGTGTGACATATATACATGGACTCAACACAAATATACAGATATCAAGCAAGGGACTAAGTAACATAGCCTAGCCCAACATATAACAACCTTAACCTATTTCAACTTTAACGTACCCATATACACCTACAGTACCTCTGTCAATACAGAGTGAATGCCTAGGTTAAGCCTACTCTCACATTAGAACACACACGCACCCACGCACACACCTACCTCTGTCTTTGCAGAGAGAGTGACTACCAAGGCTTCAATGAACTTGATTGCATGGGTGCGAATACTGAAACAAAAGATAATATCTGAAATAAGTCCCAGTTTGTAAATATGCAGCCAGTCACACTTGCAATGATTTTTAGAACTCTTTAAGTATTTTGTATTTTGGAATGCAGAAATGCAGAAATATTACAAATGTGTTGTTGTTCTTGTTGCAAGCTAAAAAATGTAACTGTAAATAGCATATAAGACAGACACTATTCAGAATAATTGGAGTCATGTTTTACCCATCATTTTCTGAGTCCATAAGATCCACAATCCTGTCTTTGATCCTGACCAGAAACTGCCAGGTTTGGTCCATGGTCTCTGTGATAATCTTAGACTTACACAGCCACTGAAACAAATAACATGCTGGCCATTGACAGATATGAGGACAAAATACACTCACTCAACAGTCTTATTGAAATACTTCAATTACATTTCATGTCCCAAGTGATTATAACCACTTCTTCATATGATACAATACCCAAAAAGTTTGAAAAATTGAAGTTACCTGTAATGCCTCTTTATACAGCTGTATCATGGACAGTATAACCTACCTGTAATGCCACTTTATACAGCTGTATCATGGACAGTATAACCTACCTGTAATGCCACTTTATACAGCTGTATCATGGACAGTATAACCTACCTGTAATGCCACTTTATACAGCTGTATCATGGACAGTATAACCTACCTGTAATGCCACTTTATACAGCTGTATCATGGAAAGTATAACCTTCTTCTGAACTTGGATGTTGTCATCTTGAAGTAAGATATTCAAGTTGCTGACAATCTTGGACAATATTTCTGGATCCCGCTTGCTGAAAGACAAGTTCAATGTGCAATCAATATCTCTGTAATACTTCACCCAGCTTTACACCTCAATAGAAGATTCACGTCCTGTCTATTCCTATCTTTACCCTGGCTAGTAATACCATACAAAGGAGGGGGTCAGATCTTGATTGAATGTCTTGAGAGTAGTAACTGCTGTGATAAGTTATTTTTCCTGACAATATATTCTCTGTGTTAACTCACTCCTTACCATGCTTCCTCCATAAAACCAATGATGAACCTGCGGACATCGGAGGACTTGTCTGTTTGAAATGCAAGCATCTCCTGGAACACAAAAGGTAAACCACAGTTCACACCCGATATATGTATTAACAATTCTACTATACATTATTTTCCTTCACTACAAACATATCTTTTATTAACTACTGTTTTTTAACATGGCATAAAGACTAAGTGCATATGGTTTGACAAAATAATTAAAATATGTAGATTTATATTTCATCAGATTATGAAGTATAACTGGAGATGACAGACAAAATGTGCCTCATAATTTAGAGTATCCACAACTTTAGCATTGGCACCTGAAGATGTATTCATCATGCCAGTCTGTTGGGAACTTACATCTAAGAAATTATCCAGTAGATTTGGGTCTTTATTGATGATCAACTCTTGTACCTGGAAAGACAAAAAGCAGAGTCAACAATACTTATCTTTTCTGTAATCTGATAAGGTACTGAATAAGGTAAAAAAATGTTACTTGTATATGTTTTATAGCCAATTTTTTATTTCTAAATTTCCAACAGTTTTTACTTGAATACAGAGGAACATGCCATCTTTACACATACCTGTTTTAAGTTGCCTATTCTCTGTACATCTTTTTGTAACAATGAGGCCTGGTTAATCAGTTCAACCACCTGTAACGTAATTATTGTTTAAATATGATATAAAATAAAAATTAATATGGACAGATTCTCATACAATCAGTAGAGATTGAAATGAGACAACATGATGTCAAAATTACACATATAAAGAAGCAAGTACATGTATAAACGCATTCATCTGTGACCAGATTGGCAAATTCTATCATCTCCTGTAGAAAAGAGAGAGAGAGAGAGAGAGAGAGAGAGAGAGAGAGAGAGAGAGAGAGAAGGATCAAACAAAATAATTAGATGTGACCTTTGCAAAGGTGTTGCAGCAATATTTTGCACTGTTGTTGTTACAACACGAACATACATAATGTCAACCACACTTGGCATTCATTATCAATATCAAACAATGAGGAATGCTTGAGATATAACTTATAATTAGTATGTCATTTTACCCGGTCATAAGTTGACATGGTCTCAGCAACAGCCGTGTCTTCATCTTCAAAGAACTGTGCAGCTGTACTTCGTCGTAAATTTGTAGCCATATTTTATTACAACAAGAATATATCAATGTGAGTGCAATTGCAACAAAAGCTGCAGCGTGGGCAGCCGGCAAGTGTGACTTCTTTCACAAATGGCCGCTGTTTACCTGATTAGTTCCGATAAACGGGGGTTTTGAAGAAATTCTTTTAATATGATTTTAATGAGAGAACAGTATTCTATATATGCATTTTTATGCAAAAGAGACATAAAGCTACGACTATATATTCCTAAAGCAAGTTTTTAAATATTTTTGTTACTCATAATCTGATTACCGGTTCGGAATTAGTCGCAGTTTGCTGTTAGTCATGTGACGATGCATCAACAACTTTTACCACCTTGCACGTGAGAAAGAAATATATAAGATCGTGGTCATGTGATAATATATCAGAAAGTAGAGGGTTAGAGCTCGTGAATACGCCTCTCTTCTGCCATCGGTTTCAAAGCTACCATGTATCTTAGATTTATCTTGCTGGTTATTTTCGTGGTCGTCGTAGACGAGGCACTGTCCCTTGGTAAGTGTTCTGATCGACTTTCCAAAAAAGGCACAATCACTACTCGTCATTGTTAACATGTTCATTGTTCGCAGTCTTTATGTTTAGTTGTAAAACTGTGCAAGCAATAAGCCGTTGGCAGGGAATTTTTTTAAATTGATGAAGCGTTTTGAATCTTTAGCGTTTAAAAAAAGATTCTAAACAATTAGTATGCATATGAATCATAATGTAATCTCTAATAATTTGAACATATAAAAGCTGAATAAGATACTGATCAGGGGAAAACTGATCAAGCTCCATTTCATGGAACATATTGCACCAGTTTATTGTGATTATTTTAGTTCAGAAGGAAAAACTCATATTTATGTCTAAATATGAGTATTTAGACATAAATATAGGCGGGGATAGTACTCGACTATTAACTGTGAAAAATGCCAGAAAAAATTAAGCAAGGACATAAACAAATCTCATTAAACTGCCAGGGTACTTGGTTGTTTAAGGTACCAAAAGATCGCCCCCTGTGCCTTTAATTTTTCAAATTTTTTTTAGATGAATGCATTTGTAATGGAAATGAATGAATTGTTTTGAATATAGTATACTATCATCAGACACTCTTTAATCACACTCATAACATGATATTAATATGAGTAGAGGCAAATATACAGAGAGATAATATTGAGAGTTGTACAAGTCAGGGGCGGATTTAGGCCGTCTTCTGGGTCTTCAGGAAGACGGTCAGATTTTCAAGTTTACATTGACAGGTATCTATTTTTTCTTTCGGAAGACAGTCAAAAATGGAGGATGTATCAACAAAGATAATTTGGAAGACTCAGAAAATATCTCTGGATCCGCCCCTGCTAGTAGGCTAAGTGTTGTATTATTGTACTATAGTATTATGTTGTCCTAAATATGGTGTCAGTTGTGTACATGTACATATGTTTTTTGGCTTCCTAGGTATAAATCATTGGAAATTTAGAGAAAAATTACAGGAATACAGAAGACAAAGATTACATTTAGAAGTCCACCGTAAACTTGGTGGGAAATTCCCTGATGCTGTTTCTGATATTTTCCCTGCTGAGTACTTGACACAGCCATTGGATCACTTCGATTCTGAAAACAGGGTAAAGTGCTCCAAATTTCTATGACATCAAATCTTTATGTAAAATTTCTTGAATCCATTTAATCTCATTAAGAAGATTGCTTTAGACTAGACTAAGTAGATTCATTTATTTGCTGTATGATGGTCATAGAAAATGTGATTTTTAAGATAAATTTGCACTAAAAATATATATACAGTGTATATAGTCTTTAGTTTGCCTTTATGGCATTGCCATGAATTATTTTTTCATTATATATATTTTAATTCTTAATACACATTTTATGACATGTAGGCAACCTACAAACAGAGGTATTGGGTGAACTCAGGGAGCTGGATGAAGAAGCAAGATGGCCCTGTATTCTTGTTCATTGGTGGAGAAAGTGGACTCTCTGAATTTGATGTTATTATGGGTAGGTTTAATCATATATTTTGGTGAATATTATATGTTTGTAAACGGTTGGTTTTGTTTGAAGTGTTTTCAAAAAAGAACCAATTCATGATGTTATTCTTTGTCACAGAGTTTGATGCATTATTGCTAAATAGTGTTGTATTTCTATACATTTTAATTGATATCAGTCATGCGTGGTACATGTACCTTCTTACACCACACATGAGACAGAAGGGATGGTAAAATTTAATGTGAAATGTGGTTAGTGGAATTATTGGTTAGGTTGGAAGGAAAATCGGAATGTATTTTGTTTACCAGTCTGTTAATTTAAAGGTGGTATTAATTTTCTTTTGTCGTCTTGCTTGTCAACAATATTTTAGGAGAACATGTGCAGCTTGCTGAGAAGTACAGTGCTTTAATTTTTGCTGTTGAACATCGGTTTTATGGAGACAGTCTCAATGATGATGGACTGGAGCTGAAGAACCTCAAGTTTCTTTCCAGTCAGCAGGCGTGAGTGACACTGAATTATAGATTTTACTTTCATGTAAATAAGTCAAGCTTATAACAAGTGGATTTTAGAAATGAGGACAATACATTTGACATCAATTATCAGTTTGTTGATAAATTTTCAAATTAAGTCCTTGTCATCAGGAGTGATGCATACTTAGTTTTTAATTATTGTTTTAACACTTTAACATTATTAGTTTTTTTATTTTGTTATTCATTTTTAAATATTTTTGTGAGAGTTTTGAAAGAAATGAAAAGATCCACAAAAAAGAACTAAAACCCAGCCATAAATGAGTGTTTTATAATAGATGAATTTTGATATTCTTTTTTTAGACTTGCTGATCTTGCATCATTTTATGAACATGCTGTCAATAAGTACAATTTAACAGAGAGAAACACGTGGATCTGTTTTGGTGGGTCTTACCCTGGGGCACTATCAGCCTGGTTCAGATTAAAGGTTTGTTTATAATTACTATATGAACACACCATTGTGTGTATTATAACGTGAAATTCAATACAAACCAATAGCTTTAATTAATATTTTTAAATGTTTATTTGTTATGGCCAAGCTTTAAGTTTTTTTGCAATGTCCTATGTCTTGTTCCAGTACCCACATATTGTGTATGGTGCCATAGCTTCTTCAGCCCCAGTCAGAGCTCAAGCCAACTTTGAAGGCTACAATGACGTGGTGGCCAGCAGTCTAGCTGATCCTGTGGTGAAGGGTTCGCAGGAGGTAATATTTACATACTGCTGTATGCCAGCTTGATGTTGATATTGAACTGTCTTTATATTGACTTTGTCATGGTAGAATTTTAAAATAAATTACCCATTAATAAATTAACAGTTAATTGTAATTTTTGAAAATCGGGTATCAGAACAGTGCTGGTAGCACTACTTTTGTAAAAGGAATGAGTTTATCTGGTTTTATTGATCTTAAGGTAATATATCCTTTTATCTTTTGGTCCTATTGAAACAGAATTTTGATAATCTGAACATATAACATTACAGTGTGCGTCAGCAGTGAGGAAAGCATTCAGTCAAGTTGATGACATGCTCAAAAGAGGGCAGCACAGACACCTTGCTGAGGACTTCCAGTCCTGTGGAGACATCTCCTCTCACTATGACACTGTCACATTTGTGAGCAACCTTGCTGACCACTTCATGAGTGTGGTACAGTACAATGGAGAGATGCCCAATGTAAATATCAGCAGACTCTGCCAGATGATGACAGGATCCAGTGACCCCTATTATAATCTGATGACTATTAACAAGGTAGGCTGACTATGCTCACTCCAATACAGTGCTATGTCCAGTAAAGAGCTTTATCCACCAGTGAACTAAGTAGGAAGTGGGTAGTGAGAACCATTTTGTTCCAACAACTTATGAATTTAGAGTTATTGGGTTTTTGATATCTTCTATTTTCACCTCGTCATATTTCACTGAGGATTACATTTACATATTTGTTTATCAAGTTGTAGTTATTAAAATAAGATATGTCACTTTGTTCTTGGCTATGTCTGAGTTGCAGTTCAGTTTACCAGTGGCCAGCATAACTGTGAAAAGTGAAGTAGAAAAGTATGGATCTTAACATTTCTAGTAATTAAGCAAAGAGCTTTAAACAGATATATAACTCTGTTTCTGCTTGATTTATTTATAAAATGATGGTATTGTTTTTCAGATGATGTTGAATGCCACGGAGGAGAAGTGTGTGGACAACTCATGGGCTAATTACACCAAGAAGCTGAGCAATGTGACAGTGACCAGGGGAGACACAGGGATGATGAGACAATGGACGTTCCAGACATGCACACAGTTTGGATACTGTAGGTGTAGATTATTTTACACNACAGTTTGGATACTGTAGGTGTAGATTATTGTACACAGTTCTCACACTAGATGGACTTCCAGTCAAACTTGTAGTGTGTATTAACACACATATTGTTAACATCTACTCTTGTATTTATTGATCAGATCAGACCTGTGATGTGGGTAGCAGGTGCCTGTTCTCACACCAGATGGACTTCCAATCAAACCTGCAGTCTATATTAATACACACATGTTATTAACATCTACTATTTATTAACCAGATCAGACCTGTGATGAAGGTAGCAGGTGCCTGTTCTCACACCAGATGGACTTCCAGTCAAACCTGGACATCTGTCAGTCTGTGTTTAACATCCCTGGGGAGGAGGTGGCCAGGAGGGTGGACTTCACTAATGCTTACTATGGAGCAGACAGACCCAAGGGAAGCAGAATTGTGTTTGTGAATGGTAAGGAAACACTTGTGTACAGGCTTGCACAGGTACAATTATAAAGTGGTTGTAAAGATGTAAGGTTAATTGTGTAGAGCTATATCAAGTTGTGGAAATTTTTCCTGTTGTAAATATTTGGGAAGCACTTGTCAGCTCTCCTGCATAAATGGCTAAGCTTCTAGTTGTTATGGTTTGAACTACCTCTCTACTGCCTGTCTTAATGAGCTGTATGATTGTAATAAGCTTGCCATCAGTAGGGAAGCCTGCTTTGGGTTATTAAGTTATATTATTTCAGTATCACATCATATGTTTTTAATTCAGGCTCCATAGATCCTTGGCATGCCTTGAGTGTACTAAGAAACCAGAGTTCCACTGAGGTGGCCATCTTCATTAATGGTACTGCTCACTGTGCTAACATGGAGTCTGCAGTGCCACAGGATCCTCCAGCTTTAACACAGGCCAGACAGGTAAGTGATGATGTCTTAACACAGGCCAGACAGGTAGGTGATCAAGTCTTAACACAGACCAGACAGGTAGGTGATCAAGTCTTAACACAGTTAACTTGATCACAGTTCTGTTTTGTAGTTAGATATTAAAAACTATATTCTAGTTACAGAACAAACCTGATTTTCATTATTTTTAGTATATAATTTTTAAGACAACAAGTAGGGAAATTCCATTTTTTATTAAATAGCTTTTAATAAAATTATGATACTGAAATTAATATCTCCATATTTTTTCAATCCAGAAAATTTCCGACATAATTGGAGAGTGGCTGAGAGATGCTTCAGGACATGCAGGCAAGAAAGATCCCAATACTTTATATTTTCAGAAACTCTAAAAACAGATTGAAAAATAATCCTCATAGAAATTGCAACAGCTCCTCTGGAGATGGACCCTGTGATATTTAAATCATACAGATACATTGGAATTATTTTCATGTGTAAGTGATTTGAACTAAGTCAGGTGTTTTAATGATTTTAACCATGTCTATGAAAAGCTACACATTTGCATCAAGATATTCTATAATGAAAGACTCACTATTGAAATATTGTGATGCGCATTGATCATATTAGTATGTCTAGTCTTTCAGTAATGCAGGACTGTCATAATTTGCCATTCATTACCATGATTCATGAAGATTGTCAAGTTGCACTGTGATCAGAAGGTTGTCTGCCTTTCTGTTGACTGTTTAATAGTGTTATAGCATTTTATTATTACTATGCACTTTTTGTGTTTTATAACATAGAGTGAACATTTTAGAAACATTTTATTAAAATTTAAAAATGCATTTGCACATCTATTTATGAAGCTGTATTTATAAAATGCATTTGCACATCTTTTTATGAAGCTGTATTTATAATCTTAAGTGTTCGGAGAAATTTTGTTTTACAAGAAACTTTGAAACAGCTGCCTTTATTTCTTATTGCATGTATAGCATATTAAACCAATGGTGCTTGAAACGCATCTTCATGATTGTCCATTTACTCTTTTATTTGTAATAAAATGTTCTAAAATAGCTAAACAACAGTTTGTTGTTAATAAAATGTAGTAAACTAAAGTTTAGCTTGCAATCTTTTCACCGTTTCATACAGTCAGCTATTACAACTTCAATCTGTAAGACAAATCTCTGCACTATAATATTTCAATAACTAATTTGACACTGTTACATTAAGTCAGCAGTGAACAGCAGTGACCCTGGGAATGAAACTGTGATTAAAATATGCACCACCTCACCAATTTATTACAGACAAAAGCTTACATTCAAGTTATAAATATTATTATATAGAGAATATTTATCAAGGAAAGTGTGGTTCTCTTCTCAATTGCCTATTACGTGTAACTAGCAAGCACATTAAAGAAGTGAAAGATCTCATCTTTGTCAACAACACCAACTTCTGTGTTACATTCTGAGCATTTGACAGGGTAGTAGACATCATCTGTGCTGGGAGCTGCCACTGAGGACCCACTGGGACACTGTGGGACACTGGGGACACTGCTTGGAATGCTGGAGTCTGGTAATGTACTGTTTGTGTCACAGGTGGCAGCACCACTGCCTTCAGATACAGCACCACCAGGCACCACTGCACTGGTCTTTATGCTTCCTATTGACTCATTCCTGTCGCTATTAGTACTTTGCTTTGATTTGCAAACACTAGACAAATCTGATTCTGCAGGGAAACGTTCTGGTTTTGAGGAGTTCTTTTTACGCTTACGACTAGTTGTCATGGAGCTTTTAGGGTAGCGCAGAATTTCAGTTCGGTCCACTTTGCAGTTCATAACAAACATAGCTCTATACTGCTCCTTGTACAGGTCGTGCCTAAAATATATATGATCATTTCTGCCATTACAGTTGGTTCTAATACGTACAAAAACTAGCAGAAAACATTTGTGGAAATTAGCAATGTAATGGTTTTCATTACTCAACAACTTTTACGTAACTTAATTTATGCAGAAAGTTTTTTCACAATTGTTAACATTGATTTCAACCATTTTGGTTCTTAAAGGATAGGTCTGTGGTAGATAATATAACAAAAGTTGACTACTGTATAGAAGTCTGAGCTGTGCCTACCTCTGACAGTCCAAGCAGAGAGAGGTCATACAGGCAGGGCAGTTCAATACTGCATCACTCTTGGGCAGTGGCTTCACTGCAGGTATTTGGCCTCGCTGTCTAGACCCAGTACTGCCACCTTTACCTGCACTTCCTCGCCTGTAACCCCCTGGCTTGGCTACCTTAGAGGCTGTGGGCTGGTATCTCTCTCTAATTCTGTCCACCCATCTCTGATCCTCATCATCCATGCCAGGGTCATAGAGAAGATCATCATTGGACAGCACTGGATGCTTGGGAGGGCCCCCTTGCCCTGCTGTGATACACACATGAAAGAAAAGTTTAAAACTCTTAAGGATGTTATTACAAAATTTTAACTGAAAGTTAAAGCTTTTTGATAAGCATTTTTTCAGTTATTAATATTGGACAATACCAAATACATGCACAACAATATAGGTATTTAAAACATAAATCATTTTTGGCGAGTTGGAAGTAAGAAACACAAGAAATGAATAGATAAACATTAAATACTGCATAATTCCAACTGTTACCTTCGTCTGCTTGCTTATTCTCTTCTTCATCAGAATCAAAGTAAATGTTGTCATAACTTTGCTGCTGAGCTGGGTCAGATGGACCAGCACTTTCTGGAGTTGAAAGTGTGTCTTTTTAAGTATTCATTAAATAATTTATAGAACAAATTTCCAAGTTACAAAAATTAATGTAAAATAAAAATATATAAAATATAAAATAAAATATTATGAAGATAAACAGTTGCAATACATGGTCAGATATAGACACCGCATGTAACTCACCCTTCCTTTCTCTCTCCATTTCCTCCAAGGTTTCATCCAGCTCCATGTTCATTTCTTTCTCAAACTCATCCTCACTAGAAGACTCTTTGCCAAGACTGCGGCGTCGAATGCGTCTCTTCTGTTCTGGCGTGCCATGTAAGAACTGATGGATCTCATCCTCAGAACTGAAATTCATTAATTATACTTTTAAACATAATAAATAATAATTAAATTTACTTGCTAGCAGAACAAAACACTATAGTCCCTTCAAGATAAATAATTACAAGCAATTAGAAGGGCACACGATTATAGTAAGGGGCAGAATAAATACTTTAGAGCTTTAGGAAACTTGGCGGGGTTTGCAAAACAATCCGACTTCAGGTTGCCTCAGTTTTCATCCTTACATGTTAGGTACTAATCACCATCGGGCCAATCACCATTTAATTTTTGTGAGACCGAAAACTGAGCCAACGCTTCAGGGTACCGACCTGTCTGCACTCTCTTGGTCACTATCTTCTTCTATATCGTATCCATCATAATCCACCAGTATAGATGAATCCATATTTTAAGACTGATTATCTAATGATGTTAGAAAAATGGCACAAAACGTAATGGATTTTACAGGGGGAAACCTCGGATAATCTTAGCAGGGCGCAGCCATTTTTACAAAGTAAAACACGTGATGTAATGTCCTGGATAATCAACGCGGTGTGTTTATCAAAATTTAGCAATTTTTTGTATGATTAAAAGAAAAATAAGGAATTCGGTACTCATTGCACTGTTGTGCAAATAGTGATCATTTTCAAAATTATAAATATTTTAGTAACTTTAAACACGTTACAGTATTAATTTACACGCGGTTACAGCAGAATAATATTATTTATTTTTTAAAGTGTACATTAAGTATGTAATCATTAGAAGCTGAACATAAGATAGAAATCAAACATTGATAACAGGATCATAGCAATAATATCACAGTAATGCGAGTAACACGGTGCATGAAAAACTGGCTGTCACGCTGACCCAACATGTACTGCTTATGACTAGTTCCTTAAATATATAAGGAGTAATACAATAAAAAGAATCAAAGTCAATCGTCAAATCTTATATTAAGACCTATAATTTGATCAAAATTATTGATAAAAATACTAAAATAATAATAAATACAATAACATTAATAATTTAATTTGTAAAATAAACAAGAATCTTATCCTCCATTTACAAGGAACAAAGCTAGAAAATCTTGGCAACCGAAGTGCCCGGATGTTGATTAAGAAAATGGCTTCTGGAACTGCACTACACTGAAAACATTTGGAAATTTATGACAATGAGTCTACGATGCGATGCATTGCGGACTCGATGATATCACCGTTAGACATAAAAAACACACGCGCTACTTAAGTGACTAAAAGGCGCATCCTGCTGTAGACAGACAATTAATTCAGTAGCAGTTCAAAACGACAAACATGGCTTTAGATAGAGCTAAGGTACGTATTGTAAATACAGGTATGTCAGTTCGAAGCAATTAAAATAAACAGTTTTACTGTGCACGAGTTACATTTATGTTCCAGTCTGAGAATACTGAGTGCAAAAAACGATGCTTTACTTTAAAAACATCAATATTATAGCTACATTTTTCTGCTTCTGCAGTATATGTTTGGAATAATACAACAAATACCAGTGTGTATTTTTTTAGATGGTATTCCAGAAACTAGTATATTCTGTTATTATTCTTTCATAAATATATGTTAAGCACAGCTTGATTTAAATAGGGAAATGCTATTTCCCTAGAAACTTTGAAACAACATACATTTGGTAGCAGCTTCACCATTCCTTGCTTCTGTGTATTTGTGTAAATTGAAAGAGGATGTTGTTGATTGTTTTTCATTTTTACCTACTATATTCAGTCATTTACTGATAATTTGAGTGAACAAAACATTAAGGGTCCATCCTATCCTTGGAAGGATTACAAATTGTTGTACTAATATGTTAAAATATGTGGATTTATACTTGCGATCTCCTACATGACTTCTTGCTATTTTTGGACACAAGTAACGCCTTGTGAGGCATGTTATATCATTTTAAAAGGACTAATATATAAACAAATATTAGATAGAAGAAATGACAGAAAAGTTGCATGGTTAAGTAATGAATTTATGGGACAGAAATTGTGCACTTAAATCCTGCTGTTGACCATTTTTCATTTTTATTGGTAACATAATTGTGAAAGGCCCCAGGAATGTGTTTATCTTTTACTCTTACTTTATTTTTGTATGTAACATTAATATGTGTCAGTAATGTTGAGGTTCTATTTCCAGCATGCTGAGACTCCACTCCTCAGCTGTAGTAAAACCCGGGGTCTACCAGGCCTCCCACCTTTACCAAGATCTGCACAGAGGGAGAGGTCTGAACTGTACCAGGTAAGACATAATGTATATTGTAATATGGGAAGACATTGACCCTTCTCTCAAATGAAAAAAGTATAACACAGAAGTTGGTGTTTGACAAAGACAGGATCTTTCACATCTGTCTACATCAGGTGTAAATATATGGTTAGAAAGAATTTATAGTTTAATGGTTTAAGAGGTATAGCAAAGTTTACATAATGATAAGATCATTTGCTCGTAAAATATAATGTATATAATGTATATATCTTTAAACAGGTGGTGTTGAAAAACAGTGAACATCCTCCAATTATGAAGGGGACCTCATGGACTCTGGCTGCTCCATTTAAAGAGGAGAAACATTACCGGACTCCCAGTGAGTCCATTGCTAACAACTACACTCCTACAGCCAGTGACCTCAAGATGAGAGAATTACTCAAGAGAAAACCTCCACACAGAGTAGAAGGTAGCTGGAATATTTTTTATCAGACTTAATGTAGAATTGTAAAAGTCCTTTTGCTTATAGTTTGTGAAAGAAACTGATACTTTATGAACTGATATTTCTTTTATGGTTCACATAAAGTATATAGCTGAAGAAATTTTTTAATATTTTATGATAATAACTGTCTTACGTTTGATAAAAAGCTATGTGGGCCCTTATATTAAAACACATGTTGTGAAATCTTTATTTTTGTATTTTTCAAGTTTTGTGTTTAATATTTTTTTATTCCTTTCTTTAAAACTGTCAAATACCCCTATATCATACTTCCTGTGTACCAGTTCTGTGTATTTGTATCATTATTTGTAACTCAAGGCTCTGTCAAGTCTCCTCGCAGACGTGCCCAACAGGTGTCACCACGTGATGGTGTACAGAATGGGATTCAGATTTCACCAAGGTCTGGAAAACAGAAGAAAACTAAAGAAAGAGAAGAAAATGGGTGAGTTATCATTCTATTTGTTAGTTGTTTTTAAGTTGAAATCATTCTCAAGTATTACTTATTAACAAAAAGAATTTAATTAGCATTTCCCAAATTTATTTTGGAAGATCTCTGTCAAATATATCACACAAGCAATATCTGCACATATTTAGGGTTTGTATCTACTTGTATGTATGATGATATGATAAAGTTCTATTCAAAGTAAAGTATAATCTGTATAAGAGAGAGATGGCTTGTGTTGTCAGGCATACCAATGGTGTGGCAGAGGAGCCATGTGGAAGTCGTCCCATTACGCCAGTGGAACAGCTCAATATTATGAAGAATATAGAGGATGAAATGCGGCAGGTTATTGGAGAACCTTCAGATAGAGACATGGAGGTAAGCTGGAGCTGACATAGTGTTATGTGTGGACATAGTGTTATGTGTGGACATTGTGTTATTTGTGGACATAGTGTTATATGTGGACATTGTGTTATGTGTGGATATATTGTTATGTGTGGAGTGTGTTAAGTGAAGCAGTGTGTTTCTATGTATTAAACAAAGTATATACTATGTATTGTCAGGAGTTAGGGATATAAGTTATACATATATTTGTTTTGCAGCGTTATTATTATTACATCAACAAAGGCATTCAGAAGAGCATGCTGGCTCCCCAGCCTCCAGAACAGATGAAGAATGTCCACAAACTGATTCCAGATGCCATCTTGTCCAAGCCTGAGCTGGATGGAATGGTGAAAGACCTTCATGAGGAGGTCACAGGAGACTATGAGCTGAGTCTCAGGAAGTGTATTGGTAAGTGATCTTTTTATCTGTAGGAAACCATGACTTGACTCCAACTTAGTTGTGTTATGGCAGTGAACTATTTGCTGTCAGTATTTGATATGGTTTGAGTGGACAGTAATTGTTTTATATTTTAAACATTAATTGTAATATTACAGTGGACTACATCCTCAAAGATCCCACAGAGAAGGAGCGTCTTCACATTGCCTGGGTACCGCGTCCTTTCCCTCAGAGGATCATCCGTGCTCCCGTACCCTGGCATGATAACTACGCACAAATGAAGGAGGAGTTGAACACACATTTGTTTACAACTAACCCTATCATGCAGGAGTTACAGAATCTTTGGTTCAGAAGGTACAGAACTCACAGCAAGAAGACTAAACACTATGTAACAAAGTGTATGAGTTGCATTCAGCATAGTGCATTTTGAACTTTGTATAGCTTCAAACACAATTACAAAAATTTACCCAGTTTGAATCTTATTGCCACATACAGATCAAACGTAGCACTTTACTTTAAACATATAACACCATTTCTGAGGGTGCATTCCCATAGATTTTAGATCGATCTATCCCCGTGGGGAGTCTCACTAGATTATTGTCAGATAATGTCCGTCCAGCCTACTACAAAATGTAAGGGGGTAATTAACTTCCGTGCGCCTCGCTGACTGCAATTTAGCGTGAACGCCCAGGGAGTTAGGTCAATCTAGTAAGATCGATCTAAATTTGTGGGAATGCAGCTTCACTGTTTGTGCTGTAACCAGGTGTAAATACTTGTGTTTTGGTACTTTGTTACATATTAACACATTCTATACTGGTCCTATATTTGATATAATATACAACACAATTTTACATTGCAGTTTCAGCCACTTGAGGTTTGTGAAGCTTGAAGAGCTGCTGGCAGCAGAGCTTCCTCTGTTACCCACTGAGTTTGAGTCCCTGGTAAAGAAGCAGTGCTGGGATGCCCATGATATCCTGACTAAGAGGTGAGTTAATACACTGAGTTTGAGTCCCTGGTAAAGAAGCAGTGCTGGGATGCCCATGATATCCTGACTAAGAGGTGAGTTACCACAAAGACTAAATACCAGATAAGAGATCTGTACATGCTGCACTGAAGCTTAATGTAGCCCTTGATGCTAAATGATGAGTAGTAAGTCAAAGAGAATTATCCTTTTTTATTATGCAAGCTATTCTTTGTGTGCATACCAGCTTGCACATGTACTACTATTATTTAAAGTCACCTGTTAGATAAGTGCACTGTGTACCTGGACTATTTCAGCTGGATCCCAAGCTGTGCCCAGCTGTTCAGAGAGAGACCTGAACTGTGGGAATATCTGGTGCCTGAAGATGACAATGAGTCTACAGAGCTGGTGCAGGAATTCTTTGGCAGCGTGGCTGCACTCATGTCTCTGCAGCTACGAAGCATGGTGGTCAACTCTCTGGCAGACTTTCTCAAGTTCTTTGAGATTCATGCTGTAAGTTTTAATATACAGGTTTTCTGAGATACATGCTATTTTGTGTTCTTTTGGATTTGGGTTTTTGCACATTCAGGTATTTTGACAGAGATGTGATAGCTGTACATGTAATAACCAGTGCATTGCAGGAAATCATTTTCTTGTGGAGTAGTGGCCTTAATGGGTATACACAGTTTTATCACCAAATCACAGTGTATTTCCAGACATCCAAGAAGGTTGGTCAGATTCCTTCCCATCATTTTACTATGTTGCTCTGTCTATTTCCAGGCTGGCAATGACTTTGATGGGGAGTTTGATGAGCTGCAGTTTGTGATGGCCCAGGTGATGATCATCAAGTTGAGAGTGGAGGAACCCAAGATTTTGTTTGACCCGCCATTTAGGGAGTGCAAGGATATCATCCTTAGATGTTTCTCTGACATCATAGCCAGTGGAGAAGGTATCCCCAGGGTAAGTGCATGACTGGGTTCCCATAGATAAATTGATCTAACAGATCTGAAGGCGTTTCTCACTAAATTGCTTTCAGCTTAACCAGCTTAGATGTCTGGCCTGCCTACTAAAGCTGCTAAACGATAATTAATGACCCCTAGCTTCAGTAGGCGTGACAGACATTTAAGCCCCTTAAGATGATTGCAATTTAGAGAGAATTCCCTTGGAGATAGATCAATCCACATTTAGTACAATAGGGTCTGGAAATGGTCCCAAAGTGTGTTCTCTGACACCATAGCCAGTGGAGAAGGCATTTAAAGTTACAGTGTGTCACCATAAAATGCTTTGGTAATGTACCTTGAATATGTATCTTGATTGTGTAAATGGCACCCTGAATTCTGTTAATATCATCTAACATACAAGCTGACATGGCCTCTTCTAATGCTGATATAATAATTGCAGGTGGAGGTTGAGATGGCCCCAGAAATGAGAGGTCAGAAATTGTTGCTGCGGTCAGTGAAAATAGAAGAAAGCTTGGTGACAGATTTTACAGACAGAGCCATGGAGATCTTCAGAGTGAACACTCTGGGACCACAGAAGTAAGATCAAAGTGATGACAATAAATTCTATGTAAAGGAGTTAACATTTGAGATCTAGCTTTTAAAGTAAATACTATTGAAGACTTGTAGAAGCAGTTGCAGGTGATCAAAAAGACCAATCTAATCTTAACGACATTTAATCTCTGAAATTGGTTTTAATAATTTTTTGTAAACCTTCCAGGTATTTGAATACATACAAAAAGTACAGTGACCTCCTGAACAACAAGGCAGACCAAGACGTTACTGCGTTCCTCAAAGAAGAACATTCTATTCTGGCATTCAAAAAGGTTTGAAAACACAAAGATAGTAATGTGAATTACTGATAATAAATTAACATTAATGAATTATGTTAACCAATGTTTCTGCACAACACTTAAAGGGTTTGAAAGCACATAAATAGAAATGTGAAGTATTGATAATAAATTAAAATTAATGAAGAGGATTAACCAATGTTTCACCAGTTTCACCAATCAAAATAATTCTTTAAAGACAGGATATAAAATCTATAAACCAGCTTCAACTGTGATAAATATACTTCCAGAAAATCCACAGCTACATTGACCTGTGGAATGAGATAGCTCTGTTGAGGATCACAGTGCCACTGAGTATGTTCTGTCTGGACTGTGTGGACCTGAACAGAGAGCTGTGTGACCGCTCCAACCGGCTCAAGGACAGACTGGTCAGTTTTGAGGTCAAGGAGAACAAGGAGCTGAATAAGGGGTGAGTAAACTGGACAATACTTTTAATATGTAATAAAGGGTGAGTGAACTGGACAATACTTTTAATATGTAATTTGTTACTGAAAATTGGGTGGGAAACAAGATACATTATCATAGTTAAGTTGACTTATAATTGACTGTTGTTGTTGTTGTTCCAGAATCATCAGGCAGTATGATGAGATGTCAGAGACACTAAGTGGTAAACTGGAGACTACAGCTGATGTGGTAGAGCTAACACATTACCTGCAGAATGTAAGTCGTCTTACTTATATCACAGACCTATTGGACTCTGTATAACACTGTTTGCTATCATATGGTAGTATTGTGTAGAGAACATGAAGTGATGTGATATTACATGGTTTAATTGTGTAAAGCAGTATGATGTCAGGATATTATACCAAAAAGAAAAATAAGTCTTGTTCAATTGTTTATCACAGGTCACCATTTCAGTTATATTTACAATAAATTTAAATTGACTTGCATGTTTTTATCCTTTCTACACAGCAGTTATAAATACACAAATTTAAATATTTAGATTGATGTTCTAGCTGACTTGTAATATTTCCAGTCTACTGATGTGACAGCCTACAAATTGAAGGAGGAGGTAGACGAGGCAGGAAACAGACTCATGTTTTTGTTGGATTATGCTATATTTGAAGGTAAGAATTATTTTCCTGATTATTATTCATTTCTAAGAGGTAAACTTTTGATTTTCTTATGTTTTTTTTTCTCCAAGAAATACTGAAGTACCTGAAACACAGTGTGTCCTGTACCATGGTATCGCCTCCCTTACTATATCTGCTCATTAATAAAATGTATGTTATTGTAGCTGAGGACTTGAAGATTAACAGCAAAGTGTTCAAGTGGCCCAAGTCAGTGGGTAAAGTGTTTGAGTTGGCCCAGGGACGTATCTCTAACAGACGGGAACAAGTCGAGGAGGCAGTCAGGGCCAAGACACAGGCCTTTGAACAGAAACTCACTGAGTACAACAAGGAAGTGGAGTCATTCCGCAAGAAAGAGGTATGGATTATGAAGTAAAACATTCAAAAATTTCTTGGAAGAATAGTTACAATTTGCTACTGGTAATAAATCCCTTAGTATAAATGAGGGGTCGTACTTATATCATTTTTATGGTGAGTATGAAGAGATAAAATTTTGTGCCTCTCTTTTTGTGCCAAATTGATTTTTGTTTGACTGAAATTATGTTGAAATATCTGTATCGTTTGACTTTGTTATTGACCTATGTTGTTCCTGTTACTGTTACAATGGTGTGTATATTATATTGTAGATTATGAGTCCAGAAGAGATGAAGAACAATGTGGAGACCCTGACCAAGCTTCATGACAACCTGGAGGCCGCACGTGATGAGCTGGAGGCCATTAATGAGGAGGAACGCCTGCTGGAGTGGGAACTGAGCACCTTCCCCATTCTACAGGCCATGTTCTCAGCCAAGGAACCCTATGATAAACTCTGGAAAACTGCCCTCAACTTCCACCAGAAGAATGACATTTGGACCAATGGTAGGTTGAAGAAATATATACAATCTGTAATGCACTATACATAATACTGCACTACACCATAGACAACATTTTACCAGATTGTCTTGCACTGGGGGTAGACCACCTCACCACAGAGATCCAAGCCTTACTGCAGACATTTTCATATAGATCTCATCAAAACCTTTTTACAACTGAAGCTATATGTTTTTAGTAGAACTATTTACAGAACCAGTGAAACTATAAAGACAGTTATGGTTTTCAGGTCCATTCCTTGGTCTGAATGCTGAGGAGATAGAGAATGAGATCAGTGATATGTACAGAACAATGCACCAGTTGACCAAGAAGTTTGCTGACCAGGCAGGACCTAAGAGGATTGCAGAAGCCAATAGGAACAAGATTGACAAGTTCAAGCAGAACCTGCCTATACTGCACACTATATGTAACCCTGGTATCAAGGACAGACACTGGCAGTTGGTGAGTATATTCCACATGTAAAACAAGTGTTGCTATAACAACTATATCCACGGGTGGGTGCCAGCATGAGGTCAGGATTTGTCACATGTTTAATGTTTATTATAGTAATCATACAAATAAAATGCACATCATTGTACATAACAAATGTTTCCATGAGTGAGATATACACTGTGATTAAGTGCTGTATACAGTGGTGTCATAGTGCAGGGAATTATTATTATGGTTGCTTTCTATATTTGTAGATGAGTGATGCTGTTGGGATGAACATCAGACCAGAACCTGAGACCTCTCTTAACCAGATGTTAGAGTATGGACTGACCAAACACATTGAAAAGTAAGTTATTTTTTTCATATAGTACACACTGAAAGCACTATATTATCAGGATGAAGACAAAGAGGGTGATTTGTTTTATATGATCAAAATAATATTCTTTATGCTGTGCAATACACATATTGCTGTTTTTGACAAATTTTCATTTGATACGGTGTCATTGTTTTTCCACATCAAAGCTCTGACTCACATTTTTATGATCAGTTTATGTCATTTGTATCTTCCATTGTGTCTTGTCTTGGCAGGTTGGAAGAGATAGGTGGCGCTGCTAGCAAGGAGTACTCCCTGGAGAAAGCTCTGGAGAAGATGAAGTTTGAATGGCAAGATATGCAGTTTGAGTTTGTGCCCTATAGAGATTCTGTAAGTGATTCATTAGTTTGTTCCTATAGAGACTCTGTAAGTAATTCATTAGTATGTGTGTCTACTTATATTTCATAATTCTATAAGAATATTTCATTGTTCAGGAATTGTGGATGCAGAAGTTTTTGGGTAAATTATTGACAAACAATTTGGCATGGAATAAAGTTGTGTACAGTAGTTAACATTTCACATTTCAGGGTGTGAGTATTCTAGCTGTCAGCAGTGGATGAGGTCCAGATGTTGCTAGATGACCACACTGTAAAAGATGTCCTTACAGTAGTTTACATATCATATTTCAGGGTGTGAGTATCCTGTCAGCAGTGGATGAGGTCCAGATGTTACTAGATGACCACATTGTAAAAGATGTCCTTACAGTAGTTTACATATCATATTTCAGGGTGTGTGTATCCTGTCAGCAGTGGACGAGGTCCAGATGTTGCTAGATGACCACATTGTAAAAGATGTCCTTACAGTAGTTTACATATCATATTTCAGGGTGTGTGTATCCTGTCAGCAGTGGACGAGGTCCAGATGTTGCTAGATGACCACATTGTCAAGGCTCAAACCATGCAGGGGTCACCATTTGTCAAACCATTTGAGGCAGAGATGAAAGAATGGACAGAGAAACTGCTACTTATGCAGGATATTCTGGACTCTTGGCTCAAGGTAGGTACTGAGATGTCTTAGTAGATTGTTTTTTTTCAAGTGTGTTTAAATTGAAGTTATATATATAACAATGCTGATTGGCTGTACCTGGAGCTTATATTGTAGTTGTTGTGATATGACACCCGGTGTGGCATGTAGACAATACATAGACTAATACACTACATATCATGGTGTCTCTTTCTATTCAGTGTCAAGCCACCTGATTGTACTTGGAGCTATTTATATGATATAATACATATGATACTATTTCAGTGTCAAGCCACCTGGGTGTACTGGAAGCTATATATATATATATATATATATATATATATATATATATATATATATATGATATTGTATATATGATATTATTTCAGTGTCAAGCCACCTGGCTGTACTTGGAGCCTATCTTCAGCTCTGAGGACATCATGGCTCAGATGCCAGAGGAGGGCAGGAAGTTTGGTATAGTAGACAGCTACTGGAAGGACATCATGACAGAGTCTGTGAAGGATCCTCACTGTTTGGTGGCCACAGCTCAGAACAACATGCTGGGGAGACTGAATGAGTCCAATGTGCTACTAGAGGAGATCCAGAAAGGACTGAATAACTATTTGGAGAAGAAGAGACTGTTCTTCCCAAGGTAAGTCTGAGATATTAAATAACTATTTGGAGAAGAAGAGACTGTTCTTACCAAGGTAAGTCTGAGATATTAAAGAACTATCTGGAGGAGAAGAGACTGTTCTTCTCTAGGTAAGTCTGAGATATTAAATAACTATCTGGAGAAGAAGAGACTGTTCTTCCCAAGGTAAGTCTGAGATATTAAATAACTATCTGGAGAAGAATAAACTGTTCTTCCCAAGGTAAGTCTGAGATATTAAATAACTATCTGGAGAAGAAGAGACTGTTCTTCCCAAGGTAAGTCTTAATTCCCGAATGTCTGATGATATAAGGAGGGAAGTAACTACCTACACAAACTAGTCAGTGTTATGTAATGCCTGATAATGCTGTAGCAGAGAAGTTAGAGGTCTAGGAACATTAAATTAGTATATAGTAAATTATTAACTGGTGAGCCAAGTAAGATGATGAAATACCCTATTTGCAAATGTCAAGTTTTAGATCAGCAAAAATCAAGGCATCTGCTGGTATAATAGATCTGACCTTTGACCTATAATTTACTTAGGTTCTTCTTCCTGTCCAATGATGAGTTGCTGGAGATCTTATCAGAGACCAAGGACCCGACCCGCGTCCAGCCTCACCTGAAGAAGTGCTTTGAAGGCATCGCCAAGCTGGAGTTTACTGAGGAACAGGAGATTTTGGGGATGATCTCTGCTGAGAAGGAGACAGTGCCTTTTGTCAGTAAAATCGTACCAGCTAAGGCCAAGGTGAGCACACCTGTTTGAATGATTTCTGGCTAAAACGGTGCCATTTGTCAATAAGACTGTACCAGCTAGGTACAGCATATTTTATTATTTATGGCTAAGGCAGATGTAGTATTGGCATCAGATTTATCTGTGAGTGTTGTTATATTATTAAATGCTGTTCAGGTTATAGTGCTGTGTATTTGTAGGGCATGGTGGAGAAATGGCTGATTCAGGTGGAAGAACAGATGTTAAAGAGTGTACGTGATGTGATCAGCAAGGCAGTCAAGGGTTACCAAGAGACACCAAGGAACAAGTGGGTATTGGAGTGGCCTGGTCAGGTTGTCATCTGCACCAGCTCCATCTACTGGACATCTGAGGTGACCGCAGCCATGAAGGAGAAGAATGGAATGAAGGTAATAGTTGTAGATACGCTGGGCTTCAATTAATGGAGTTTGCTGATGTAGCATATCCTCACTTCTTTGTAGATCACAAGGATCTGTTTTACAATCTGTGATGATAGAATTTGAAACATTCCATTCTGTTAACTCGGGTTATATTGCTAATATTTGTACTATAAATTATTATTGCCATTAGCAACCTTACTGTGTTTTGAGTTACTGTCATATTTGATAATGTTCTCAAAAATACCTAGATATGAGAGTTAGTGTAATTTACAGAAGCACACGGACTGCAATATTGAACATCAAATAATGCCTAATTTGCAGAAATATCTAGTGAACAGTTTATAAACATGATTTCTATTGTTTATAGAAATACCTAGATAAGAGTAATGAGCAGTTGGTTGAGATAGTAGAGCTGGTGAGAGGGAAGCTGGATGGGGGTGCCCGTGTCACCCTGGGAGCTCTCACTGTCATTGATGTCCATGGTGAGGATAAGATTTATATTGTTCTCCTTTTTTATCATTGATTTATATTGTACTACTTTCTTATCATTGATTTAGTTCTTATGTCAATTTGATCATTATTACAAAGTAACACATTGTATGAGTATTCAGCAGAATGCATTAATCAGGCTAGGCTAAAAATGAAAAAGAATCTTAAATGAAAACAATAAAATAAGCCATCTTAATCTCTGTATGTACATTTATCTTTCTAGCTCGTGATGTTGTCAGTAGTCTGGCAGAGAATAACGTCACCAGTGCCAATGCCTTTGATTGGTTGAGCCAGCTACGCTACTACTGGGAGAAAGATGTCATTGTCAGGATGATCACTACAGATATTAACTATGGCTATGAATATCTGGGCAACTCTGCACGTCTTGTCATCACAGCACTGACAGATAGGTGTTACAGGTATATTTCTAGCAATAAACATACTAATCTGTATTGAGTGTTAGGCAAATTTTATTAAGTTGTTTGTTTGTGCACATATTCATGTGGTATACAGTGTAAGTCAGTGTATTCAGCTAGTTGTTTGTGTGTGCGTGTGCATTTGATGAGTATATCCCTTGTCTTTCAGGACATTGATGGGCGCCCTGAAATTGAATCTAGGTGGCGCTCCTGAGGGACCTGCTGGTACAGGGAAGACAGAGACCTGCAAGGATTTGGCTAAGGCTGTGGCTAAACAGGTAATTTAATTTGGCTAGGTTGATTTGGATAAGACTGTGGCTAAACAGGTAATTTAATGTGGCTAAGGCTGTGGCTAAACGGGTAATTTGATTTGGCTAAGGCTGTGGCTAAACAGGTAATTTGATTTGGCTAAGATTGTGACTGAACAGGTAATTTAATTTGGCTAGGGCTGTGGCTAAACAGGTAATTAGATTTGGGTAAGGTAGTGGCTAAACAGTTAATTAGATTTGGCTAAGGCTATGGCTAAACAAGTAATTTGATTTCCTTATGCTATGAATGAACAGGCAGTTCAACACAATGTTACTAGTCACAGCTAACACAATCTGCTCTCTGTTTCAGTGTGTTGTGTTCAACTGCTCAGATGGTTTGGACTACAAGGCCATGGGGAAGTTCTTCAAAGGTCTGGCACAGGCTGGGGCCTGGGCATGCTTTGATGAGTTCAACAGAATAGAGTTAGAAGTGCTGTCTGTAGTTGCTCAACAGATCCAATGTATTCAGCAAGCCATTGGCAACAGACTGAAGAGGTTCATCTTTGAAGGCACTGAGCTCACACTGGATCCCTCCTGCACCATGTTTATTACCATGAACCCTGGATATGCAGGGCGCCAGGAACTGCCAGATAACTTGAAGGTGAGTTCACCATGAATCCTGGATACGCAGGGCACCAGGAACTGCCAGATAACTTGAAGGTGAGTTCACCATGAATCCTGGATACGCAGGGCACCAGGAACTGCCAGATAACTTGAAGGTGAATTTATGTATTACTGTAACCAGGAGTCCAGCTGAATATGTTTATGTGATAACTTGAAGGTGAGATCAGCTTCATATATTGTACACCCACCTTTTACACCTTACAACACAGCTCTGTAGATTTATCTTTGGAAATCCGTTCATCCAGTCCACTACATAGTACTCATTGTGTAATTGTATGCTGTAGGTGCTGTTCCGTACTGTGGCTATGATGGTACCAGACTATGGGCTGATTGGTGAAATCTCCCTCTACTCTGTAGGATTTGTAGATGCTAGGAGGTAAGACTGTGGACATACATCTAAACCACTATCACAGCTAACATGCCCTTGACATTGAATTATTAATACAGGTTTATTAAGATAGTTCTGTATGGTGTTAAAAGTTCTCTTTATCAATATGTTTTAACATAGAAGTATATCTGATATCTGTTATAACTCTCCATGGTTATGTATTTCCATAGCTTGGCTGGAAAGATTGTTGCTACCTATCGCTTGTGTTCGGAGCAGCTGTCGTCACAGCATCACTACGATTATGGCATGAGAGCTGTCAAGTCCGTCCTCACTGCTGCTGGCAACTTAAAACTCAAGTACCCAAAAGAAGATGAGCCCGTCCTACTGCTCAAAGCTATCAAAGATGTCAACTTACCAAAGTTCTTGGCACAGGTAAGTGGCGGCTGAATTGAGACTTTCTCTGCTTTATTTTCATTTATATTTTTAAGATTACAAAAGTAGACAAGCAGTATCTTTTGTTGTATTAATATCTGAATGTCTAACTTGATTTATATTTATCAGTTTCATCAACATTGGATATAGGCCAGTAAACANATCTGAATATGTTTATGTGATAACTTGAAGGTGAGATCAGCTTCATATATTGTACACCCACCTTTTACACCTTACAACACAGCTCTGTAGATTTATCTTTGGAAATCCATTCATCCAGTCCACTACATAGTACTCATTGTGTAATTGTATGCTGTAGGTGCTGTTCCGTACTGTGGCTATGATGGTGCCAGACTATGGGCTGATTGGTGAAATCTCCCTCTACTCTGTAGGATTTGTAGATGCTAGGAGGTAAGACTGTGGACATACATCTAAACCACTATCACAGCTAACATGCCTTTGACATTGAATTATGAATACAGGTTTATTAAGATAATTCTGTATGGTGTTAAAAGTTCTCTTTATCAATATGTTTTAACATAGAAGTATATCTGATATCTGTTATAACTCTCCATGGTTATGTATTTCCATAGCTTGGCTGGTAAGATTGTTGCTACCTATCGCCTGTGTTCGGAGCAGCTGTCATCACAGCATCACTATGATTATGGCATGAGAGCCGTCAAGTCCGTCCTCACTGCTGCTGGCAACTTAAAACTCAAGTACCCAAAAGAAGATGAGCCCGTCCTACTGCTCAAAGCTATCAAAGATGTCAACTTACCAAAGTTCTTGGCACAGGTTAGTGGCGGCTGAATTGAGACTTTCTCTGTTTTATTTTCATTTATATTTTTAAGATTACAAAAGTAGACAAGCAGTATCTTTTGTTGTATTAATATCTGAATGTCTAACTTGATTTATATTTATCAGTTTCATCAACATTGGATAGCGCTATCCACTGGATAACACTATCCATTAAGTAATATTGTTATCCTCTGGGCAATTATCCTGTGGGTAAATTAATGTTTACCAAACACTAGATACTTATTTTTGTCTCTAATATTGCTTTCAAGTGGTTAAAAGAGGCTGCTATCCTCAAGAAAACTGTCCAGAGGATAACAATTCTACCCAAAGGATTGTGTTATCCATAGGATAGCGCTATCCAGTGTTGATGAAACTAGACCCAGGACCTGACCACGACATTTTATATTTATTTTTAGGATGTTCCACTATTTGAAGGAATCATCTCAGATTTGTTCCCAGGAGTTTCTCTCCCCAAACCTGACTATGACATTTTCCTGGATGCTCTCAGAGACAACATTGCTAAGAAACATCTCCAGCCAGTGCCATGGTTTATTGATAAGATTATCCAGGTTTGTCACTTGTAGCATTGTCATGAAAACAGCTTTCCAAAAATGTAACTGAGGATAGATGTATACTTCTATTCCAAATTTTATCAGTGGTTTGCCATTCAGATGCATTTACCCATTTTAAAAATTGGACTAAATTCTGTTAACTGTGGCAGAGATTTTTAAAGAATGGCAGTATTTTATACTTGTATGTCTTTCTAAAAAAATTCTTTGTTAATCCTTAGGTCTATGAAATGATCCTTGTGCGTCATGGTCTGATGATAGTTGGTGAGCCTCTTGGAGGGAAGACGTGTTCCTACCAGGTGCTGGCAGATGCCCTCTCTGACCTCCATGCTGCTGGGATGATGGAAGAGAACAAAGTGATGTACCGCATTATCAACCCTAAAGCTATCACCATGGGACAGCTGTATGGATGCTTTGACCCTGTGTCACATGAGTGGTCTGATGGTAAGCTGATGACTTCAACTTTCTTTATTACCACACTTCTACTTAACTAAAAACTGCAAAACAGTTAAATAAACCCATAGTGTCCAGTTCCTGTTAAATTGATTTAAGGTATGAACATGTTTAATATCAGTGGGACTGAAAACAATGAGAGCTGTTTGTGTCTTTTCTCAGGTGTTCTTGCCAACACATTCAGAGAGTTTGCAGTGAACCCCAGTGATGACAGGAAGTGGATTCTGTTTGACGGTCCTGTAGACGCTGTCTGGATTGAGAACATGAATACAGTACTGGATGACAATAAAAAGGTGGGTAACTGACATATATTGACATATGTATACTGACACAACACAAGAAGACATGAGCACAAATAACACAATATGATTGAGAACATGAACACAGCACTGGATGAGAATAAGAAGGTGGGTAACTAACATATACTGACAAAACACAAGAGCAAATGCATCCAAATGATTACAATATCACATCAAACACATTTTCTTACTTCCNGAAGAGAACAAAGTGATGTACCGCATCATCAACCCTAAAGCTATCACCATGGGACAGCTGTATGGATGCTTTGACCCTGTGTCACATGAGTGGTCTGATGGTAAGATGATGACTTCAACTTTCTTTATTACCACACTTCTACTTAACTAAAAAAACTTAAAGTGTCTAGTTCCTGTTAAATTGATTTAAGGTATGAACATGTTTAATATCAGTGGGACTGAAAACAATGAGAGCTGTATGTGTCTTTTCTCAGGTGTTCTTGCCAACACATTCAGAGAGTTTGCAGTGAACCCCAGTGATGACAGGAAGTGGATTCTGTTTGACGGTCCTGTAGACGCTGTCTGGATTGAGAACATGAATACAGTACTGGATGACAATAAAAAGGTGGGTAACTGACATATATTGACATATGTATACTGACACAACACAAGAAGACATGAGCACAAGTAACACAATATGATTGAGAACATGAACACAGCACTGGATGAGAATAAGAAGGTGGGTACCTAACATATACTGACAAAACACAAGAGCAAATGCATCCAAATGATTACAATATCACATCAAACACATTTTCTTACTTCCTTTCAGTTATGTCTAATGAGTGGTGAGATCTTTCAGATAATTACAATATCACATCAAACACATTTTCTTACTTCCTTTCAGTTATGTCTAATGAGTGGTGAGATCATTCAGATAATTACAATATCACATCTAACACATTGTCTTCCTTCCTTTCAGTTATGTCTAATGAGTGGTGAGATCATACAGATGAGTAACACCATGAACCTGATATTTGAGCCAGCAGACCTGGAGCAGGCGTCTCCAGCCACAGTCAGCAGGTGTGGTATGATCTACCTGGAACCTCATCAGCTGGGATGGAAGCCCTCTAAGCAGTCTTATATGGAGCATGATCTCCCTAAGAACCTGACAGCTGATGAGTCTGGGATGGTGAATGATTTGTTTGAGTGGCTGCTGGACCCCTGTCTGGAGTTCCTGAGACATGAGTGCAAGTTCTACATCAATACATCCCAGATCCACCTGGCCCGCTCCATGATGAGGCTGTACACCTGTCTTCTGGATGAGATAGCTCTGTCTGGTACTGAGGGACAGGAACAGTTAACTAGCCAACAGGTAAAAGGATATTTTCACGCCAAAACTGTGACATCAGTTTTGATTTCTGAAAAAAAAAAAAAAGGAATTATGTTTGGATTGCAAGGGTTTAACTGATGTTTTAAAAACATTGACCAAGAATAAAACTTCCACATAATCTATGATTTTATGTTAATCAAATAATTAATGAGAAATCTCTGATAATCTGTGTGTTTCAGATCACCCTGTGGCTCCAGGGGTTGTTTTTGTTTGCCCTGGTCTGTAAGATAATTAACAATCTCTGATAATCTGTGTGTTTCAGATCACCCTGTGGCTCCAGGGATTGTTTTTGTTTGCCCTGGTCTGTAAGATAATTAACAATCTCTGATAATCTGTGTGTTTCAGATCACCCTGTGGCTCCAGGGGTTGTTTTTGTTTGCCCTGGTCTGGACTATTGGAGGGACTTTGACTGGAGACAGCAGGAAGAAGTTTGATGTCTACTTCAGAAACCTGATCAGTGGCAGTGATGAAGCTCACCCTAAACCAAAGAGTGTCAAGATCACTAAGGTTTGGAAATACACATTGTTTATATTGCCAAAGTTTGCTTAGACATAAAGTTAAGGTCCACAAGGTGTTGGCCTCAGTACTGTCTAGAGCACCATTTATTCAGTCTAATATGTAAAGACCATCAAACAAAATAAAATAGTCATGTCATTAAGTACCCAAATATACAGATAGTTAAGTTATTATAACCAACCAAACTAAGTGAATGAAATGACTTTTGAATAAATTGGAACAGAATGGTTGGAATTCTCTCTTTTAAAAATGATGCCCCAATTCGTTTTGTAGAACAACTCTTTCCCAGAGCGTGGCACCATCTTTGACTTTTTCTTTGAGAAACGTGCCAGTGGTATGTGGATAGACTGGCTGGACACACTAGATAAAGGACTGCTCACTGTGCCTCCTGATGCTAATGTAAGTATCTACACACTGTCACAGGCTCACAGCTAACACACTGTCACACTTAACACACTGTCATTGCTAAAACACTGTCACACTCAACATACTGTCAGTGCTAAAACACTGTCACAGCTTTCACACTGTCATAGCTAACACAATGTCACACTCAACACACTGTCACACCTAACACACTGTCCCAACTAACACACAATTAACACACTGTCTCAGCTAACACACTAAATTGACTGTATGTTTTACAGTGTCTTATCTGTTCTCTGTAGACCTGTATGTCATTTGAAATGCTGTGAAAAAATACACAATTCAAGTCACATCATCTAGTTGTATATATATATAATACACATGACTTAGGCCATATCTGGCTACTGAAATGATCTATATTCCAGGTCAGTGAGCTTATCATCCACACTGCTGACACAGCTCGCCAGAAGTTTTTCCTGAACACTTACCTTCACCATCAGATCCCAATGTTGTTTGTGGGTCCTACAGGAACTGGGAAGTCTGCCATTACACAGAGCCACCTGGTCAGCATGCCTAAGGAAAAGTAAGTCAACCACTGGGGATATTATGCTGTTTATCACAGTCAAGTAAAATCCAAGTCATGGTCCTTGTAAATAGTGTCTTTGTAGTCATGAGACACAATATTAATTGATTCTCTTCATCTTAATGTATTGGAAAAGTGCACAGATGCATGATAACTCCTTATGTGTATATTTATTTATGTAGCATGTATGATACAGTATATGTCTGTGTGTGTTGGTATGATATACAATGTATCATATGACATCCTGTGTGTATGATACAGTATATGTCTGTGTGTGTTGGTATGATATACAATATATCATATGACATCCTGTGTGTATGATACAGTATATGTCTGTGTGTGTTGGTATGATATACAATGTATCATATGACATCCTGTGTGTATGATACAGTATATGTCTGTGTGTGTTGGTATGATATACAATGTATCATATGACATCCTGTGTGTATGATACAGTATATGTCTGTGTGTGTTGGTATGATATACAATGTATCATATGACATCCTGTGTGTATGATACAGTATATGTCTGTGTGTGTTGGTATGATATACAATGTATCATATGACATCCTGTGTGTATGATACAGTATATGTCTGTGTGTGTTGGTATGATATACAATGTATCATATGACATCCTGTGTGTATGATACAGTATATGTCTGTGTGTGTTGGTATGATATACAATGTATCATATGACATCCTGTGTGTATGATACAGTATATGTCTGTGTGTGTTGGTATGATATACAATGTATCATATGACATCCTGTGTGTATGATACAGTATATGTCTGTGTGTGTTGGTATGATATACAATGTATCATATGACATCCTGTGTGTATGATACAGTATATGTCTGTGTGTGTTGGTATGATATACAATATATCATATGACATCCTGTGTGTATGATACAGTATATGTCTGTGTGTGTTGGTATGATATACAATGTATTATATGACATCCTGTGTGTATGATACAGTATATGTTTGTGTGTGTTGGTATGATATACAATATATCATATGACATCCTGTGTGTATGATACAGTATATGTCTGTGTGTGTTGGTATGATATACAATGTATTATATGACATCCTGTGTGTATGATACAGTATATGTTTGTGTGTGTTGGTATGATATACAATATATCATATGACATCCTGTGTGTATGATACAGTATATGTCTGTGTGTGTTGGTATGATATACAATGTATTATATGACATCCTGTGTGTATGATACAGTATATGTTTGTGTGTGTTGGTATGATATACAATATATCATATGACATCCTGTGTGTATGATACAGTATATGTCTGTGTGTGTTGGTATGATATACAATGTATTATATGACATCCTGTGTGTATGATACAGTATATGTTTGTGTGTGTTGGTATGATATACAATATATCATATGACATCCTGTGTGTATGATACAGTATATGTCTGTGTGTGTTGGTATGATATACAATGTATTATATGACATCCTGTGTGTATGATACAGTATATGTTTGTGTGTGTTGGTATGATATACAATATATCATATGACATCCTGTGTGTATGATACAGTATATGTCTGTGTGTGTTGGTATGATATACAATGTATTATATGACATCCTGTGTGTATGATACAGTATATGTTTGTGTGTGTTGGTATGATATACAATATATCATATGACATCCTGTGTGTATGATACAGTATATGTCTGTGTGTGTTGGTATGATATACAATGTATTATATGACATCCTGTGTGTATGATACAGTATATGTTTGTGTGTGTTGGTGTGTATGATATACAATGTATCATATGACATCCTGTGTGTATGATACAGTATATGTTTGTGTGTGTTGGTGTGTATGATATACAATGGTTCATATGACATCCTGTGTGTATGATACAGTATATGTCTGTGTGTGTTGGTGTGTATGATATACAATGTATCATATGACAGCCTGTGTATTATATTATTTACTTGATGTTTTTCAGGTACATTCCCAACTGTATGAACTTCTCAGCCCGCACCTCTGCCAACCAGACCCAGGACATCATTATGTCCAAACTAGACAGGTATGGAAGCAAGTGCTACAAAACGCTGTCCTAAATATAACATCACCATTGACATCATCATATCAACAGGTGTAACATTATATCAGAATAATAGTACAAACAGCTAATGATGTTGTATTTCTCTCTAGGCGAAGGAAGGGTGTATTTGGTCCTCCCATGAACAAGAAGTGTATAGTATTTGTGGATGATCTGAACATGCCAGCCAAGGAGAAGTATGGAGCTCAGCCACCTATAGAACTGCTGAGGCAGTGGATAGATCATGGTCACTGGTATGATGTCAAGGATACCACTAAACTCTTCCTCACTGATGTGGTAAGTGGTTTGGTAGGAAAACAACTGTCACACCTGACACATTGTAACACCTGACACATTGTCACACCTAACACAATGTCAAACCTAACACAATGTCACACCTGACACATTGTCACACCTGACACATTGTCACACCTGACACATTGTCACACCTGACACATGATACAAACCACCAATGCACTGAGTCATCAATTCACACAGCTTAGACAGTGTGCACTGTTAAACTGCCAAGAGAAGAACTTAATTCTTCCTTACTGATATGATGATTTGTTTGGTAGTATTAATATATATATCTGTTAAACATTATGCACCTGCTTTGCCTTTTATGTTGTTCTACTGGAGACAGAACATCTGAATAAGTCATATATTTCTGTATATTTCTTCAGCTGTTTGTGTCTCATATTCTACATTAAATTTTTGTGAAGACAAAACCTCTGAATAACTCGTATATCGGTATCTATTTATTTTCAGCTGTTTGTGTCTGCTATGGGTCCCCCAGGTGGAGGAAGAAATGACATCAGCAGTCGGTTCACACGCCACCTGAACATCATCTCCATCGACGAGTTTGATGACACCACCATGACCAGGATCTTCACCTCCATTGTGGACTGGCACTTTGCCAAGGGGTTCGAGGCCAGTTTCACCAGAGTTGGCAAGGTAACCCATCTATAGAAGATTATAGATTGAATCTTTTATTTACAAATGTTATTATCATAATTGAGTCCAGTTTTACCAGAGTTGGCAAGGTAACCCATCTTTAGAGGATTATAGATTGAATCTTTTATTTACAGATATTGTGATCGTTATTTCACATTCCAGAAAAAGTTTCACACACTAAATATTTTAAAATTATATATTTATTTAGCCTTTTAGTTCAATGAGCAATAGAGAATATGGTATATGGAATAATTTTATTATAATCTATGGCAGACAGGTGGATAAATAAGCTGGTAAGTGAGAGATATCTGTGTTAGTTAACTAACCTGTGTGACTGATGTGTTCCAGATGATGGTAGCAGCCACTATGGGGGTGTACAAGGAGGCCATCACACACTTCTTACCAACTCCTTCCAAGAGTCACTACGTGTTCAACCTGCGTGATTTCTCACGTGTCATACGTGGTGTGCTGCTCATACCATCAACGCACATGCAGGATACAGACAAGCTCATGCGCCTGTGGGTGCACGAGGTCTATCGTGTTTTTTATGACCGTCTCATTGACAGCGAAGACAGGTAAGTCATGGAGATGTTAACAGTTGGCAAATCATCTTACTGGCAATTTTTTCTTATTTTGAACAATTATTATGAAAATAATATTTAATATGTTTTATTTGGAAGGCAGATTGATGAGAGTTTTAACACTTCTATATACAGAGTGCTGCAGTGAAGAAGATATATATGCTAATAATTTGATAAAAAGGGGAATTTCTCTTTTGATAATTTTACTGTTGACATTTGCTATGTCATCAGAAGTCAGTTTATGTCTCCATTTTCTTCAGGCTGACTTTCTTCAACATTGTGAAGACCACCTGTCAGGATTACCTGAAAGTCAGTGTGGACAAAATCTTGAGCCACCTGTCACCCTCTGGCAAGGTGATAGATGACCACATCCGTAGCTTGTTCTTTGGAGACTACATGGATGAGCAGAATAAAGTGTATGATGAGGTGACTGACCTCAAGGAGCTCACAAGTACTATAGAGGGGTAAGAGAACAATGTGCAATGAGGTGACTTACTTCAAAGAGTTGAAAAGTACTATTTGAGGGTATATGAAACAGGCAATCAATTATTAGTGATATTTGTTAGGTCAGCTCATGGTGTATCTGATGAGCAAGCTGTTGTCTGTTATTGATGTTGTCATTTGGTTAATTTCAGTTCATTATTGTTTTGACACTACTGTCCACATGTATACTGCTGTTTCTCAGTTTTCTCAGCATGGGGCATTTCCCAGATTATACTCCAAACACATCTTGTGTAAATGTTATGGTATCTCACAATATATTTCATGTGTTGTATCAGCAATTGTGTTTGTTAATGTGAAAACAGTGTCAATGTCCACAGTGTTAATGTGAAAACAGTGTCATTGTCCACAGTGTCTGTATCCAGTGAACACCTGGTGACACACCTGTCCAGCACTGTCCTCTCTCCCTCACCTGCACCTCCCATTTCAGCTACCTGGATGACTACAACTCCATCAGTAAGGCTCCCATGCACCTGGTCATGTTTAAGTTTGCCATTGAACACATATCCCGTGTCGCACGTGTACTCAAGCAGGATAACGGGCACGCACTTCTTGTTGGTAAGTCACACATTGTAGAAATGTTTTATATGCTGTATTTCTATATGGATTATATGAACTATCCTTGAAACAATTGTCATTCATGTAAATTATTTTAAGGGATAACTTTGTTACATTCTTAAAACATTGCCATGGTTTTCAGAGTTCAGTTAGCCTAGTAATGTTGTTAATGGTTTGTTAGATGTGTGACAAGTGTGATATTGTACTAGATGTGAAATGTGTCAGTTGTGCCAGTGAGGACAGTATATTGATATAACTCTGTCTGTACACTAGGTATTGGAGGCAGTGGTCGCCAGAGTGCAGCTAAGCTGGCTACAGCCATGGCAGAGTATGACATGTTCATGATTGAGATCACCAAGAACTACAGCAGGAATGACTGGAGAGATGACTTGAAAAAGGTACCTGGCTGATAACATCTTTTTAATTGTCTATTGTATTTCCTGCGTACATGAAAGCTTCATTAGTAATTATATAACCACATACAGTTATCAATTAGCCAGGGACAGGGTCCTTAATTAGATGCCATTCTGGCAGTGATCAGTGTGTGTGTTGTTCTTTCAGCTCCTCCTGAAGGCAGGCGGTGATGGCAAACCCACTGTGTTCCTGTTTGCTGACACTCAGATCAAAGACGAATCCTTCATGGAGGACATTAGTATGATCCTGAACACAGGGGATGTACCCAACCTGTACCCCTCTGATGAGAAAGCTGAGATCATAGAGAAAATGCAGACAGTGGCCAGAAATGAGGGCAAGAAGATGGATGCTACTCCTCTGGCCATGTACAACTACTTCATAGACAGAGTGAAACAGAACCTTCACATTGTGCTGGCCATGAGCCCCATAGGAGACGCCTTTAGAAACAGACTGAGGATGTTTCCTTCTCTCATTAATTGCTGCACCATTGATTGGTTCCAGGTACGTAGAACTATGTGTTAGCTGTGACAGTGTGTTAAATATGACAGTATGTTAGATGTGACATTGTGTTAAATACGACAGTGTGTTAGATGTGACATTGTGTTAAATATGACAGTGTGTTAGATGTGACAGTGTGTTAAATACGACAGTATTTTAGGTGTGACTGTCATTTATGTGTGACAGTGTGTTGCATGTAACAGTATCTTAAATGTGACAGTGTGTTAGATGCGACAGTAGTCTAAAAAANTCTAGAGGACAGTGTGAGGACCAGTGTGGTCTTCATGTGTAAATATTTCCATGAAAGTGTCCGGAAACTCTCAGAAAGGTAACCACTGCTTTTTTGTGCTTCATGGAAGGCAGCATTGTTTTACATTTGCTTCCTAGTAGAGATGTGTGAAATTATCTGCATTTTTTCATTTCATGTTTTCTTGCGTGCTGTACTGTATATAAATCAATGTAACAATTGAATATGTAACTTATTTTTCTGTCATTTTACACAGATTTATGGACGTTCTCCGCAGACACAACTATGTAACACCCACCTCTTACCTAGAGCTGATATTGACCTTTAAGAAACTGCTGGGGGTAAAACAGGAAGAGATCTTAACACTGAAGAACAGATACATTGTGGGTCTTGAAAAGTTGGAGTTTGCTGCCTCGCAGGTGGGGTATTTAGAATGCATATCTTTAATGTTTGCAGGTCCATGGAAATGTTGAGAGTTTACAGTTTTATATATAGGTAGCAATAGTAAATCTAACATATTCTAGAACAGTTCCAGTGCCCATCTTCAGCCTTTATAATGGCATATTTTGATATGATGAGCTTTTGGTGTTATTCTTGTCCATATGTTTCCTAGGTCTCAGTGATGCAGGTAGAACTATAATGATATGTCAAGTTTTTTGGTGATATTCTTGTCCATATGTTTCCTAGGTCTCAGTGATGCAGGTAGAACTACGTGAGCTGCAGCCAGAGCTTGTCAAAACATCAGAGGAAACTGACAAACTGATGACAAAGATTGAACAGGAGACAGTGGATGTGGAGGCCAAGAAAGAGGTGAGTGACAAAAGAAAGAAGTGGATTGATAAGAGTAATATTTTGTATTTTAGTTAATGACTAACATTGTATATTTCTCAACAGGTTTAGGATGCTTTAGGATATAAATATTAGACCCCATTTCCAGAGATTAGATCGATCTACTTTAGATCGACCTAACTCCCTGGGGGTTCACGCTAAATAGCTGTCAGCCGAGCGGACACGAAAGTTAATTACCCCCTTACAGCTTGTAGTAGGCGGGACAGACATTTAAGCCGGATTATCTGACAGTAATCTAGTGAGACTCCCTGCGGGGATAGATCAATCTAAAAGCTCTGGGAATACAGCCTTAGACTTAAAGTAATTGACGTAAAATAATGTACTTTTATGGTTTCTTTTAACTTCAACACTTTCTCCTAACCTTAATGTTGTTGATTCAGAGTGAATTGCATTATTTGTAGAATGTTGCTGTTGACTTGGAGAGTATTGATAACCATAATGTAAACATTTCACTATTTCTAGATTGTTGCAGCTGATGAGGCTGTTGACTTGGAGAGTATTGATAACCATAATGTAAACATTTCACTATTTCTAGATTGTTGCAGCTGATGAGGCTGTTGCTAACAAAGCAGCTGCAGCAGCTCAAGCCATCAAAGATGATTGTGAGAGTGACCTTGCTGAGGCCATCCCTGCCCTAGAGGCCTCCATCCAGGCCCTGAATACACTGAAACCTGCAGATATCAGCATGGTCAAAGCCATGAAGGTGAGGCTGGAGATATAGAGAATAGGGACTAGGAATAGGGAATAGAACATGGAGCTAAGGTCTACAGTGGGGCTGTAGTCGGAAACAAGTTCACAAATTCCTTAATATCTTTCGACTCTAGTCCACACAGTCTTCATCAATTTTTATGACTGAAGTCAATTTTGGGATGGAGTCAGTGCCTAAGACTTTCCCATGTGTATCTAAAGATCCCCTTTGTGTATATACAAACCTATCCCCCAGAATTCTAGATCATATGATATATTTCCAGAACCCTCCCGCTGCAGTCAAACTGGTCATGGAGTCAGTGTGTGTGATGCTGGGAGTGAAGGCTGAGAGAAAGCCAGACCCAGGAGGCTCAGGAAAGATGATCCAAGATTTCTGGGGACCCTCTCAGAAACTGCTGGGTGACATGAAGTTCCTGGATAGACTGAAGACCTATGATAAGGACAACATTCCACCAGCCATCATGAAGAATATCAGAGAAACGTAAGCTTTAAAAGAATATTAGTGTAACAAGATATAAATAAAAGATCAAATGAAATAAGTGAGTATAACTTAATGAATTCAAAAACAGTGAAATAAAAGTAAGTATTGTATATGTATATTGTGTTGTATTACAGCTATATTAGCAACAAGGAGTTTGACCCCAAGTTAATCAAGCAGGCATCCACAGCCTGTGAGGGTCTATGTCGATGGGTCAAGGCCATGGATGTCTATGACAGGGTGGCCAAAGTGGTGGCACCAAAGAAGGCCAAACTGGCTGAAGCAGAGGGCGAGCTGGCAGTTCAGATGGAAAAACTCAACACCAAGAGAGCACAGCTTAAAGAGGTAGGGTCAGAGGGCATTAGATTGAACAGTATTTCTTACCCTGTACAACCAATACAATCTGTATTTCTGTGGGATGAACTGTATGTCACACCCCACACAATACACTGTCACTCCCAACACAATATACTGTCACACCCAACACAATCTGATGTCACACCCAACACAATATACTGTCACACTCCACACAATACACTGTCACACCCCACACAATACACTGTCACACTCCACACAATACACTGTCACACCCCACACAATACACTGTCACACTCCACACAATACACTGTCACACCCCACACAATACACTGTCACACTCCACACAATATACTGTCACACTCCACACAATATACTGTCACACTCCACACAATACACTGTCACACCCCACACAATACANGGTGGCACCAAAGAAGGCCAAACTGGCTGAAGCAGAGGGCGAGCTGGCAGTTCAGATGGAAAAACTCAACACCAAGAGAGCACAGCTTAAAGAGGTAGGGTCAGAGGGCATTAGATTGAACAGTATTTCTTACCCTGTACAACCAATACAATCTGTATTTCTGTGGGATGAACTGTATGTCACACCCCACACAATACACTGTCACTCCCAACACAATATACTGTCACACCCAACACAATCTGATGTCACACCCAACACAATACACTGTCACACTCCACACAATACACTGTCACACCCAACACAATACACTGTCACACCCCACACAATCTGATGTCACACCCAACACAATATACTGTCACACCCCACACAATATACTGTCACACCCCACACAATATACTGTCACACCCCACACAATACACTGTCACACCCCACACAATCTAAATGATAGTGGGTTTAACAAAACTGTAAATAATAAATGTAAAACATGTTAACCCTTAATAGTATCAGCATTAATATTGTATACAATGTCATTTTAGTTTTAAGTATTCCCAGGAGTGTTAAGTTGTAATATGTAAAGCACTAATTGAGGAATACTTTCCTTCCAGGTGGTAGACAAGCTTCAGGCACTGAATGATGAACTGGAGGCAATGACACAGAAGAAGAAGGAGCTGGAAGACAACATAGATCTCTGTGAGAAGAAACTGGACAGAGCAGAGAAGCTGATTGGTGGTCTGGGGGGTGAAAAGACTCGGTGGACAGAAAATGCCCGTGTTCTTGGCGCCACCTATATTAACATTACAGGTGATGTGCTGCTGAGTAGTGCGGTGGTGGCGTACCTGGGGGCATTTACTGTGGACTTTAGACAGGTAACACTGCAACCAGTTCTGCATGTACTGACTCTTATGTTTAACAAAAGTACATGTTTGTTCATTGTTCTGTTTTGTATTACTTTTTTTAAGTGAGATGAGTATTGTATTAACCAAGACAAGTAATATTGTGTGAGATGAGACAAGTTGTACTTGACATTGTTTTAGATGAGACAAGTTGTACTTGACATTGTGTTAGATGTGACAAAGCACTGCACTGAATGTGTCTGTTGCAGGATGTGACCAAAGATTGGCATGACCACTGTGTGGAGAAGGAAATCCCATGTTCTCCAAACTTCTCTCTTAATGTCACTCTTGGTGAGCCTGTCAAGATCAGAGCCTGGAACATTGCTGGCCTTCCAGTGGACAGTTTTAGTGTGGACAATGGTATCATTGTGGCCAACTCCCGTCGCTGGCCACTCATGATAGATCCACAAGGTACTGCTCTGTTCTTACTTTTTGCAATGTGGACCAAGGTTTTAAATAGCTAACACACATACAGATGTCTGTGACAGGATTATCTGCAGTTTTCTATGGCTTATAGTAACACATTCATCTCTATCAGTTCATGGAAACAATCCCAATCACTGTGTATGGTTCTGATATGGTTGTTACTGTATGTTTTCTTCAGGGCAAGCCAACAAGTGGGTGAAGAATATGGAGAGGGAAAACAATATGAAGATCATCAAATTGTCAGATCCTGGCTATGTGAGAACCTTGGAGAATTCTATCCAGTTTGGACACCCAGTTCTACTGGAGAATATAGGTGTGTTCTGGGTAACTGATCTAGTAGAATACAATAGGCAGTACAGCTGGTGATCAGATGACAATGCCATAATATATTAGTGTTCTATGCTGCAAACCTGAATATATCCAACATATAGGTAATGTAATGTTACCATAAGTCACTGTAAGTATCCTGGTTCTCAGTGTCCCCTAGCAGTAGTTTTACTGTTTCTAAGTGCTGCCATCTATTGTGTATTTCCAGGAGAGGAGCTGGATCCCATCCTTGAGCCAGTCTTGCAGAAGCTGACCTTCAAAGTTGGTGGTGTGGAGATGATGAGACTGGGAGAGAACATGGTGGAGTACTCTCAGGGCTTCAAGTTCTACATGACCACCAGGCTGAGGAACCCACATTATATGCCTGAAGTCTCAGTCAAGGTACAGCTCAGTGTGAACACTGTTTGTTTTCAGTGAAACCATGCTACATATGAGGAATATTTTTATTTTATTTGTACTTTATTTTATCTACAAGGTAGATATTCACGTGATTGTCTGTATTTTACAGGTGTGCTTGCTGAACTTCATGATCACTCCTAAGGGTCTGGAGGACCAGCTGCTGGGTATTGTGGCTGCTAAGGAGAAGCCTGAGCTGGAAGAGAAGAAAAATCAGCTTGTCTTGGAGAGTGCTGCCAACAAAAAGCAGCTCAAGGAAATTGAGGACAAAATTTTGGAAGTGCTTTCTAGTTCAGAGGTATGTAGGTCAAGCAGTAGAAAAAAAACACTTGTTTTATAAGTTGAGATTTTTCATGACACATTTTTTTACCTTAACTCACATGGCAGACCCAATCTTTGCTAAAAACAGTGAAGTGAACACAGTGAATATGTTCACATTTGTACTAATTTCAGGGCAACATTCTGGAAGATGAGACGGCCATCAAGATCCTGTCCTCCTCCAAGACTCTCTCTGAGGAGATCTCAGCCAAGCAGGAGATAGCTAATGTCACAGAGAAAGAGATAGATGAGACAAGGAGCGGGTATCTCCCAGTGGCTGTTCACTCCTCCATACTGTTCTTCTGCATATCAGAGCTGGCCAACATAGAACCTATGTATCAGTACTCACTGACCTGGTTCATCAACTTATACCTACAGGTAAGAGCTGGTTTTACTGGTAAAATACAACATAGAACCTATGTACCAGTACTCATTCACCTTATTTGAGTACTAGTTATAGATGCATACTATTGTTATTCTTAATTTGGCAATGTTTTCCTATCTTTCAGTCTATCATCAATAGTGAACCAGCGTCTGAGTTGGAGGAAAGAATTCATAACCTCAATGACCACTTCACCAACAGTATATATCGTAATGTCTGCCGCTCACTGTTTGAAAAGGACAAGCTGCTCTTTTCTTTTGTGCTCAGCATTGGCATTCTGAATGGAAGGTACAGTGAACATACCTACTTGGTTTGTGTAATGGTGCTGCTGTGCAATAAAACAAACATATACATGGTTTATAACTCCTGGCTACAATGGCAAGAAATAATGTCGTTGTGACTGGTAATCAATTGTCTATATACTACAACCTGACTTGATGTCTCATTTAAATTTTCAGTGGTAAGATAGATGACCAAGTATGGCGTTTCCTGCTGACTGGTGGTGTTGGTATGGACAACCCTCACCCCAATCCTGCCCCAGAGTGGCTCACAGAGAAATCATGGTCAGAGATTGTCAGGGCATCAAACCTACCCAATCTACAGGGCCTCTTTGAACGTAAGTAGTAGATATATGACGTGATGAAATTACGTATTCTGCAGAAGAATGTAATGTATTATATATGATTGATGAGTGTAACTGATTGTCTTGATGGTTAATTTCACAATAGTCATTACATCTTGCATCATTTCAGATGTGCGTGACAACATTGGTGAGTGGAAGAAGATGTATGACTCCCCCAACCCCCATGAGTTCAAGTATCCATCCCCCTATGACACCCTGGGGGGTCTGGATAAGATGGTGGTCCTCAGGGTATTACGTCCAGATAAGATTGTACCTGCTGTTCAGGAGTTCATTGTAGACAATCTGGGCCAGTCCTACATAGAGCCTCCGACCTTTGACCTGGCCGGGTCATTTGCTGACTCCCATTGCTGTGCCCCCCTGATCTTTGTGCTGTCCCCAGGGGCGGACCCCATGGCTGCTCTGCTGAAGTATGGGGAGGACAGAGGCTACTCCACGGGGAACAATAAGATTCAGACCATTTCTCTGGGACAAGGACAGGTAAGACAGAGGAAACTTCAGAGTATGCTGTGAGACTTCTGATACTATATTCCTTGGTCATAGTGAATGTATATTTCAAAAAGCAACAACTGTCCTTCAACAGCTGCCTCTTCTGTGGTCTATTTGACTTTGTTTAGATTCTATGGTTTAAAATATTTTATTACTTCCATAGGGTCCCATTGCTGCCAACATGATAGACAATGCTATCAAGGATGGGAGCTGGGTTGTCTTGCAGAACTGCCATCTAGCAACTAGTTGGATGCCCAAACTGGAGAAGATTTGTGAAGAGGTACTAATGCAAATTAAATTCAAAACAAAGCATTGTTTTCTGGTAGACACTTGATTAAACAGTCGTTCACAATTTTAATGTTTCTTGGTAATTTTCAGAAAGCTATCTCTTTAGGCTATAATACATATAGTGGTTACTACATGTATAAGTGGAATTATCATTCTTCCAGACCATAATTCCTGAGAGCACAAACCCAGATTTCCGTCTTTGGTTGACCAGTTACCCCTCCAATGACTTCCCTGTGGCCATATTACAGAATGGTGAGTAGAAGTCTACCAGTAAGTTAATGTGCTGGCATTATAGCAGTGGAAATATGAATGAAAAAAATCCCTTGTTATTTAGTCTCTTTCTGTTGTGTTCTTAGGTGTAAAGACACATTAATGTTTTGATATTTATGCTGTCTATGTTGTGGTTTCCAGGTGTAAAGATGACCAATGAACCTCCTAAAGGATTGAGAGCTAATCTACTGAGGTCATACCTCAATGACCCCATCTCTGACCCTGCCTTCTTCAACAGCTGTAACAAGGTAAAGATACTGAATACAGCTCTGGTCTCATTAAGAACTTTAAGACCCCATTCCCATAGATATTTAGATCGATCTATCACCCTGGAGAGTCTCACTAGATTGGTGTCAGCTTAATTGGCTTAAATGTCTGTCTCGCTTACTAAAAGCTGTAAGGGGGTAATTAACGGCCGTGAGTGCTTGGCTGACAGCAGTTTAGTGTGAAACCCCAAGGAGTTAGGTTGGTCCGGATGGATCATCTAAATCTCTGGGAATACAGTCTAAGCTACACACACCAAGCTAATTAATTTGATTAGGGCACCTGCTCTTTTATCTATCGAAGATGCCTTTCACCTTGATAATGTGTTTGTTTCAGCCTGAGAAGTGGCACAAGATGCTGTTTGGGCTGTGTTTCTTCCATGCATTGGTCCAGGAGAGGAGGAAGTTTGGTCCTCTAGGATGGAACATTCCCTATGAGTTCAATGAGTCTGACCTCAGGATCAGTATGAGGCAAATGCTGGTAGGTTGACAGTTTTTATATACAGACACTGTAAGTTTGGTCCTCTTGGCTGGAACATTCCCTATGAGTTCAATGAGTCTGACCTCAGGATTAGTACATGTATGAGGCAAATGCTGGTAAGTGGACAGTTAAGGAATTATTGTCAGTAGTTTTACCTAAAGGTTTTAGACATAGACATAAAAATGGGGATTGTGGTTGTATATGATGTAAACTGATTTCTATCTGACTGCAGATTGTAGCCTGATGATAACAGCTCTCTCTCTCTGTTTGTAGATGTTCCTGAATGACTATGAGGAGCTCCAGCTGCAGGCCCTCACCTACCTAACTGGAGAGTGTAACTATGGAGGCAGGGTCACTGATGACAAAGACAGGCGTCTGCTGGCTAATCTGCTCTCCATATTTTACAATGAGGACATCATCTTTGATGACAATTACAAGTAAGAAAACTATTTCAGCAAACACAGTAAGTAAATCTACACAGCACACCTAACACATTGTCACAACAGATGTTAATAGACAGAGCACCTTACTATCTCTTTATTCTTCATTACTCTGTTGTCCAGGTTCTCTCCCAGTGGTATCTACAGTGCTCCACAGGAAGGCCAGTATCAGAGTTATATAGACTACATCCGCAGTTTGCCACTGAATGTGAACCCTGAAGTGTATGGCCTCCATGAAAATGCTGACATCACTAAAGATAACCAAGAGACCAACCAGGTAAAATGTCTTTGATATCTATTACCTGGTCAGCTTCTTCTGCTGCCAGTTTTTATATTAGTTTTGTGACCACGTTAGCACAGTGATCACTGGCCCTTAGAAATGATGTCTCAGCTCTCACAGTTGTCTGCTGTCTTTCCAGCTATTTGACAATATTCTACTGACCTTACCCAGGCAGAGTGGTGGGGGAGGCAAGTCCTCTGAGGAGATGATTGAAGATCTAGCTGCTGATGTTCTGGGAAAACTACCACAAGTCTACAACTTAGAGAAGGTGAGCATGGCAGAAATGAGATCAGTGAGGATCAGTGCCCAGTTGCACACCTTTGTCTCTGAGATCTGGGGGCTGATATTCAAATGATGCCAGTTAATATTTTGGTTAACATTTCAGACAGGAAAATCCCTGGTATACAGTCTCATTAAGAGAACAGATGTTGCTGATGTAACCATCAATTCACCAGAAATATACCTATCCATATATATATTTTTACCTTTCAAGTTTCTTCATGCAGAAATGAAAGGCTCATGAAGACTATGTTTATATTGTGACTTATATATACCCAGTATTGTACACAGAGTCTATGAACACTGTATTTATATTGTTACTTACATATATATATCTATGTATTCCAGGTAATGGAGCAGTATCCAGTATTGTACACAGAGTCTATGAATACTGTACTCAGACAGGAACTTATTCGCTTCAACAGACTTATTGTGGTTGTGCGAGAATCATTACAGAATCTACGCAAAGCTATCAAGGGTGAGTTCAGTAGATAGAAGTAGCAGTGGTTAGACATGTGGGAGAGAGTATGATAAGTGGCAGTGATTTAGTAGAATAGATGTCTGTGACTGGAAAAAGTTTATTTAAAAAGAGATGTTTATGTTTAATGAGTTCTTTTTGTTGAGTTAATTTTTAATATTCATACACAGGTTTAGTTTTTTTAAAAATCTGCCGGGTGGTTCTTCATACTGTAAGTTTATGCTCTGTCCTGTTTAGGTTTGGTGGTGATGTCCTCAGAGTTGGAGGAAGTATTTGACAGTATGTTAATAGGCAAGGTGCCCTCTGTGTGGGCAGCCAAGTCCTATCCTTCCCTCAAACCACTGGGCAGCTATGTAGCAGACTTACTGCAGAGGTAAGGAACTCAAATATCCACATCACACACTGTGTAATACATGGTACTCTAATACAATAACTCAAATCTAAAATTAAAAGAAGTGGAATCATTTATTAATTAACTTTTCACAAAACACTGATTTCTTGCAAATAAGGCACTTGTAACATTATAAAGCAAGATTTCTCATTTGTTTTAGACTCAAGTTTCTTCAAGACTGGATAGACATGGGAATTCCAAAAGTATTCTGGATCTCTGGCTTCTATTTCACTCAGTCATTCTTGACAGGTAACAACACATTGGTTGAGTGAACATTGTTTAATCAAATTATTCATTTTTCTTTTGGCCATCTACAGCAATAAAGAATAAAACTTATTCTAATTGGAGTTATTTTTCAACTTCAAAGTTATTTCCACTTTCATGCGGAAAAAGAAATTATCAGTTTTAAACCAAGACATTGTGAGGTATAAATAATTGCTGACACTTGTATATATTTTGCAGGTGTGAGTCAGAACTATGCCAGGAAGTATAAGATCCCTATTGATATGTTAAACTTTGAGTTTGAGGTGACCCGAGAAGAGAAAGAGATGGAGGAAAAGCCAGAAGATGGTGCATATGTCAATGTAAGAACCCTGCACAACTGACACACTGAACCTGGCACAACTGACACACTGAACCTGGCACAACTGACACACTGAACCTGGCACAACTAACACACTCAACCTGGCACAACTGACACACTCAACCTGGCACAACTAACACACTGAACCCAGCACAACTGACACACTGAACCTGGCACAACTGACACACTCAGCCTGGTACAACTGACACACTGAACCTGGCACAACTGACACACTGAACCTAGCACAACTGACACACTCAACCTGGACATAGCATAACTGACACACTGAATGCTGAATATGTCACCATTGACACACTATACAGGGAACAAGAAATGAAGGGCTAAAACTGTCCCCCCTCTCACAATGTTTTTTTCTGTTTATGTTGGTTTTACTGAGAGAGAGAAGAGAGAGAGATAGAGAGAGAGCCCACTCCCCCTTGATTTTACCTGAGTGTTGAGTGGTTAATGTTAGTAACAAGGTCTGTTGTATCAAGAGACAGACAGACAGGACAGAGAGTTATTCTTTCCAATCTTGATTTTAGCTATGTCAGAGTTGTATAATTTATGTTTTGACAGGGTCTGTTCCTGGAGGGAGCACGCTGGGACAGAGAGAAGATGCTGCTGGCGGAATCACACCCCAAGATTCTGTTTGACACTCTGCCAGTCATCTGGCTGAAGCCTGCCAAGATGGACAGCATTGTGGTAGAGAACAGCTATACCTGTCCAGTGTACAAGACCAGTGCTCGCAGAGGGACACTGTCCACTACAGGTCACTCCACTAACTTTGTCCGCTATATTGAGTTGCCCTCTGACAGGCCACAGAAACACTGGATCAATAGGGGCGTGGCCTCCCTCTGCCAGCTAGATGACTAAATCTTCTCTACCACAATATCACTGAGTACAACTACAGCAATTGCTTTACCAAAAACAATATCAGAGACTACTAGTAATGAAGATACACTGAAAATTTTGATTTTGATAAATAATTGCTCATTCCAATTAAATATTACAAAGAACAAATTTTAAAATGGTCACAATACATTAAATTGTGTAAATTTTTTTGTATAAATATTTGTCTGCCTGATTTCACACTGAATTATTTTTGTATGTATTTACACAAGATCTTGGGTGATGTTTTTTGCCCATTCATTCTATGAAGATTTCCGTCCAATTTACCTTGTTTTGTATATATACTTATGTAAGCTGCCATGTTTTGAAAGAGCGTTGTGATAATATTATTAAGTGGGTTGCCAAATTTTGTACCAGACCAAAAACCTTTAAATGATAAGCTTCTGTAATATAAAGTGCAGAGTTGTGATTTTCTTGATGTGATAGCACATAGATTTATGGTCTGTACTGTGCATAATATTTGATGACAAATTGCCAGAAGTAAACATTTTTTACTGATACTAAAACGATATTAATAGAATAAAAGCTTGGACATTACAGTATATTACACAGTGAAAGTGTGGATATTACATGTCATATAAACTCTAGAGTCCTAACAATGTAATGTGAAGATCATTTCAGTATATCCAATTCCTCACTACTTAGTACTGTATAACTTATTGAGGTGTGACGTGCCCCTTCTGTACATAATATTATCCATGTGTCCAAAAATAAAATAATATCCTTGTAAGCTGTGTTATTTATTTATTCATTCAAGATGTCTGTACATTGGTGCAGCTCTACATCGGCAAAGTGTAGCCAGACCAATACTGCTTCAAATCACTGTTAGACTCTTGTTGTTTGTTAGCCTCCACTGACCTGGTTTTCTGACAGGATTTTTTTTTATCAAAAATACTGCAATTTCATCATCACAATAAGTCAGTACTATACTGATCCCTTCAGAAATGGCCAAATTGATGCTGAAAATCATACTTTCAATAAAATATTGCCTTCAATTCTTGGTAGCTGAAAATTCTGGGTACTGTCTCCAGGAATATTAACGTAATTGTTGCATTCTGTCTGAAGAATATGTGACACAGAAATACATTATCCATTTATACATCATCAAAAGGATATTGGTGGCAAATGGAGATATCTTGAATCAGTGAACAATTTCCACACTAAATTCCATGAGTTATCAGGCAAGAGGTGCAGGAAGAGGGGCACGAGTGGCCGAGGCCTTATGAGGGTGGGAGGAAGGGACTCGGGAGTGGGGTGTATGTGTAAGGGGAGCGGTGGGGTGGATGAAGAACGCAAATTGCTATGGGAATAAGGCCCAGCGAGGGTAATAAAGGGTGCGTAGGGTGCAGGAGGGGACACGGGTCCGGGGGGGGGGGTTGAAAGTATCGGGGTGGGGGCGAAGGTAACAAATATCTAAGCAAAATTTTGGCTGCCACTGTGATGACACGAGAAAATACTGCTAGATCACTGCTTATGGTGCATTTAATCTATCAGAAGAAGAAACGAACAGATAAGACTACTAAAATCTTTTCCCAATGCTGCACTTATCGCATTGCCTGTGATAAAAGGTCATCTGATTGCACAGCGTACAAGGGGAGGAACCATGTCAGCTGAGACAGTTCCTGTGTACACAGCTATGGACGACCGGTACTGAACGTCAACACAGCACAGTTAGTTTACCAGTTCTCTACCATCACCACACTGTGGGGACCTGGCGAGGGAGTTCAGCGGGTCTGAGCAGAATTCCTTCCCATTAGTTGACGATGACGCTCCGGGATTGGTGGAGAGAGCACAAGCATGACCTGCGAACGGTCATCACCGTGGAACCGCTTACGTTCTTATTCACGATATCTTTGTTTCTCACTTTTCCAGCTTCACAGGCGCTGTACATCCAGAAAATATGCCTGGCTAAGTATAAAGATGACGTTGTATGCAGTAACCTGAGCGCATACCATGTACAGCAAGACTATGTCCAGACGGAAACCTCGAAGTTCTTTCTGTACAGCATCAGTGTAGATACCTTGCTGGCCATGGGGTCGGCTTTGTTCATGGGCTCCTGGGGAGACAAGATAAATCGCAAGATCCCCATGATCCTGCCTATCACTGGACAAATCCTGGCCAATGTCAACTATTTTATCAATTCGTTCAACCCGGACTGGCCCGTCCCCGTGCTTCTGATCAGCCCTGTGTTCGCGGGCACCATGGGGGGATTTGCCACCTACCTTCTCTCCGTGTTCAGTTACGTCTCTGTAGTGTCTCAGGGCGCCAAAGAACGCATAATCCGCCTCAGCATAACTGAGGGTATCCTCCAACTAGGCGCAGCTGTAGCCCTGGTCATATCAGGACCGCTAGTAGAGCGCCTTGGGTTCTCTGTCACCTTCGGGGTATCCGTCGCAAGCGCCACGCTATCTTTGCTCTATACTGTCTTCTGGATCAGGGACCCAGCGCTAAAAACAAAGAATACAGACGATGAAGGCGAAGAGAAGAAACGTTCCTTGTGTTCAAAGTTGTTTGAATGCAGCCACATCATAGAATCCGTGAAATGTTACTTTAAAGTGCGGAAGGGATATCGCAGATTTGTGCTGTGGTCATGTTTGGTGATATTCATGGTGATTATGGTGACTGTCGGAGGTAAGGAGGGGATATGATGTGCCAAGGACTTTCTTGTGATGTCACGGTGTTTGGTATAAGATCAGGCTGATTAATGTGATGTCACGGTATTTGGTATGATGGCAGGGTGATTAATGTGATGTCACGGTATTTGGTATGATGCCAGGATGTTTAATGTGATGTCACGGTATTTGGTATGATGGCAGGGTGATTAATGTGATGTCACGGTATTTGGTATGAGGTCAGGGTGTTTAATGTGATGTCACGGTGTTTGGTATGATGCCAAGGTGTTTAATGTGATGTCACGGTATTTGGTGTGATGCCAGGGTGATTAATGTGATGTCACGGTATTTAGTGTGATGCCAGGGTATTTAATGTGATGTCACGGTATTTGGTGTGATGCCAGGGTGTTTAATGTGATGTCACGGTATTTGGTATGATGCCAGGATGTTTAATGTGATGTCACGGTATTTGGTATTATGCCAGGGTATTTAATGTGATGTCACGGTATTTGGTATGATGCCAGGGTATTTAATGTGATGTCACGGTGTTTGGTGCGTTGTCATATTGTTTGGTGTGATATCCAGGGTGGCAATGATGGCTGATGGAGTTTTAACATAAAAGTTGTCGGTATGATGTCAGTTTTTGGTGTGACGTCTGCCGATATTCAAGGTGCCAGGGGTAGCTATCAGAGGTATTTAAGTAAGGTGAGGGTATGATATCACAATGGAATGATAGTATTCAAGTATCATGTAACGGGAGCATCAAATAATAAAGCAAACCTATTTGATAAAATACATTTTATTTGAGCTATTTGTAAAACGTAAAGGCATGTTGTCAGTGTCTTAAACCGCCTTCAGTTTCATTCTGTAGAAAACATGTTTCCCAAATCCAAACATTGTTGGCAAATGAATAATTCACATATATATATCTGTCAGGGTCTTTTGACATCTCTCTGTTGTTCCTGCGTTACTCTATTCCTAACTGGACCCTGACTCTGTACGGTATATACACTGGCCTAAAGAACGCTCTGCAGATGCTAGGGTTGCTGGTTATCCTTCCTGTGTTCAAGAGGTTCCTGGCTCTAGAAGACACCAGTCTGGTCATCATTGGTCAGGTGAGCTCTGTCTTAGGACAGGTGCTCCTCGCTTTCAGCAACACAGTGTGGATGGTGATGTTAGGTAAGGACAGGGTTATGTTCTTTTGTCCAACATATCTACGTATCTAGATTTGCATCATTACAATGATTTCTGCGTCAAGTTGCATGAAGCTATTCCAAATTAGTTTCTTTATGCGTCATTTGTACTTTTTTAAATGTGCATTTCTGTAATGGAAGGAAACCGTCATTTTTCATTATTCTTCTGATTTGCAATTTTCATTGTTAATTTTGGATTTTTAATGACATCCTTCAGTGCCCTTTGCTGGTATGTTGTCTGGCCTCAGCAGTGCTGCCCTCAGGAGTATTGTGGCCAAGATGGTGGGTCCCGATGAGCAGGGGAAAGCGTTTGCGTTCCTTGGCTGTGCACAGGCTCTTAGCATTCTCATGGCTAGCCTAATCTTTAACAACCTGTACCCGGCCACCCTCCACTTCCTCCCCGGCTTGTCCTATCTCGTCTGTGCACTCCTTACGGTGGCTGTTATGGCGCTCACTATGTAAGTTACTCACTGAACATTAATGTCAAGCGTACAGATACTTGAAATATAACTAAAAATAAATAAATAAATAAAATAAAATAAAATAAAATAAAATAAATTAAAAATTATTCATTGAAACTATTTAAAATAAAATAAGGACAAACACAGCTGGTGAAATTCTTGCTCTGTTTCTGTTCCACAGTGTTATGCGGTGTTACATGCCAGTAGAAGAGACCACAAACACCCAAGACGATCAAACATTGGATAAGTCAGGTACCTGCTCTACTTAATTAAATGTTTTAAAGTTAAAATATCAGTTTTAAAATGTGAATGTGTTATCATAAAATGGCATTTTACAAACTTTAATGTGTGTGTGTGTGTGTGTGTGTGGGGGGGGGGAATCACCGTATGCAGTCACTTTACTTGGCAACTATTAACACTCGTTTTTGATTCCAGCACTGGTGATGGGCATCGAAGAAACGGAGCAATACATGGCGTAGTTTGTCACAGGGAGATGGCGGACGGACAGGTGGGAGGCAGACAGACGGGAAGACTAGAAGAGAGGCAGACGGACAAAAAGACCCTTTTATAAATTCTTCAGAAAATGTACTAAGCCAAGTTCACACATATATCATATAGAAAAGGACAAAAACATTTATTTATATTCAAAATAAAAAAAGGCCAATCGAGGATTGTATATGACCCGGGTATGGTGTAATGTATTTATTTCTGTTACCGGGTAGATCAGTACAACGCAGTTGGTTGGTTCAAAGTTTATTCAACCATAAATTCCAATCCAATAAAATAGTAGAATAAAAACAAAACCCCTAAAAGAGATATACAAAGATATTTTTATAATACAGTCGTAATATGATTTCTATGATATAACTAGAGGATCAGAGAGGCGATACCGCCTCCGAATATTGTACCACCAGCTGGAGTAAGCGCATTCGTATAGACCCCCACACACACAAAAAAAGGGACACCACCACCAGTCTTGTGCTTGACAAGCTGTAAAAATGCAATCAACAAGAATTTTCAAAATATGCAAAAAATATGTATTACTAAAAATGGTACAATCAAAGTTTAGTTCATCGTAAGGTAGGTCAATTGTCAATTTCAAGGTCACAGTAAATTGCCAGTATATGACTTCCTATTCAATTTCAATAGTAACTATGGACCTATCTCTGCCAGGTTTGGAATTAAAAGAGAAAGANAACTAGATGACTAAATCTTCTCTACCACAATATGACTGAGTACAACTACAGCAATTGCTTTACCAAAAACAATATCAGAGACTACTAGTAATGAAGATACACTGAAAATTTTGATTTTGATAAATAATTGCTCATTCCAATTAAATATTACAAAGAACAAATTTTAAAATGGTCACAATACATTAAATTGTGTAAATTTTTTTGTATAAATATTTGTCTGCCTGATTTCACACTGAATTATTTTTGTATGTATTTACACAAGATCTTGGGTGATGTTTTTTGCCCATTCATTCTATGAAGATTTCCGTCCAATTTACCTTGTTTTGTATATATACTTATGTAAGCTGCCATGTTTTGAAAGAGCATTGTGATAATATTATTAAGTGGGTTGCCAAATTTTGTACCAGACCAAAAACCTTAAAATGATAAGCTTCTGTAATATAAAGTGCAGAGTTGTGATTTTCTTGATGTGATAGCACATAGATTTATGGTCTGTACTGTGCATAATATTTGATGACAAATTGCCAGAAGTAAACATTTTTTACTGATACTAAAACGATATTAATAGAATAAAATTTTGGACATTACAGTATATTACACAGTGAAAGTGTGGATATTACATGTCATATAAACTCTAACAATGTGACGTGAAGATCATTTCAGTATATCCAATTCCTCATTACTTAGTACTGTATAACTTATTGATGTGTGACGTGCCCCTTCTGTACATAATATAATCCATGTGTCCAGAAATAAAAGTATATCCTTGTAAGCTGTGGTATTTATTTATTTATTCAAGATGTCTGTATGTTGGTGGAGCTCTACATCAGCAAAGTGTAGCCAGACCAATACTGCTTCAAATTACTGTTAGACTCCCTGTTGTTTGTTAGCCTCCACTGACCTGGTTTTCTGACAGGATTTTTTTTTTTTTATCAAAAATACTGTAATTTCATCATCACAATAAGTCGGTACTATACTGATCCCTTCAGAAATGGCCAAATTGATGCTGAAAATCATACTTGCAATAAAATATTGCCTTCAATTCTTGGTAGCTGAAAATTCTGGGTACTGTCTCCAGGAATATAAATGTAATTGTTGCATTGTCTGAAGAATATGTGACACAGAAATACATTATCCATTTATACATTATCAAAAGGTTCTATGTAGACAGGATACTGGTGGCAAATGGAGATATCTTGAATCAGAGAACAATTTCCACAATAAATTCTATGAGTTATCAGGCAAGAGGTGCAGGAAGAGGGGCACGAGTGGCCGAGGCATTATGAGGGCGGGAGGAAGGGACTCGTGAGTGGGATGTATGTGTAAGGTGAGCGGTGGGGTGGATGAAGAACGCAAATTGCTATGGGAATAAGGCCCGGCGAGGGTAAGAAAGGGTACGTAGGGTGCAGGAGGGGACACGGGTCCGGGGGAGGGGGGGGGTTGAAAGTATCCGGGGGGGGGGGGGGAAGGTAATAAATATCTAAGCAAAATTGTGACTGCCATTGTGATGACACGAGAAAATACTGCTAGATTACTGCTTATGGTGCATTTAATCTATCAGAAGAAGAACCAAACAGATAAGCCTAGTAAAATCTTTTCTCAATACTGCACTTACCGCATTGCCTGTGATAAAAGGTCATCTGATTGCACAGCGTACAAGGGGAGGAACCATGTCAGCTGAGACAGTTCCTGTGTACACAGCTATGGACGACCGGTACTGAACGTCAACACAGCACAGTTAGTTTACCAGTTCTCTACCATCACCACACTGTGGGTACCCGGCAAGGGAGTTCAGCGGGTCTGAGCAGAATTCCTTCCCATTAGTTGACGATGACGCTCCGGGATTGGTGGAGAGAGCACAAGCATGACCTGCGAACGGTCATCACCGTGGAACCGCTTACGTTCTTATTCACGATATCTTTGTTTCTCACTTTTCCAGCTTCACAGGCGCTGTACATCCAGAAATTATGCCTGGCTAAGTACAAAGATGACGTTATATGTAATAACCTGAGCGCATACCATGTACAGCAAGACTATGTCCAGACGGAAACCTCGAGGTTCTTTCTGTACAGCATCAGTGTAGATACCTTGTTGGCCATGGGGTCGGCTTTGTTCATGGGCTCCTGGGGAGACAAGATAAATCGCAAGATCCCCATGATCCTGCCTATCACTGGACAAATCTTGGCCAATGTGAACTATTTTATCAACTCGTTCAACCCGGACTGGCCCGTCCCCATGCTTCTGATCAGCCCTGTGTTCGCGGGCACCATGGGGGGATTTGCCACCTACCTTCTCTCCGTGTTCAGTTACGTCTCTGTAGTGTCTCAGGGCGCCAAAGAACGCATCATCCGCCTTAGCATAACTGAGGGTATCCTCCAACTTGGCGCTGCTGTGGCCCTGGTCATATCAGGCCCGCTAGTAGAGCGCCTGGGGTTCTCTGTCACCTTCGGGGTATCCGTCGCAAGCGCCACGCTATCTTTGCTCTATACGGTCTTCTGGATCAGGGACCCAGCGGTAAAAACAAAGAATACAGGCGATGAGGGCGAAGAGAAGAAACGCTCCTTGTGTTCAAAGTTGTTTGATTGCAGCCACATCATAGAATCCGTGAAATGTTACTTCAAAGTGCGGAAGGGATATCGCAGATTTGTGCTGTGGTCATGTTTGGTGATATTCATGGTGATTATGGTGACTCTCGGAGGTAAGGAGGGGATATGATGTGCCATAGACTTTCTTGTGATGTCACGGTGTTTGGTGTGATGCCAGGGTGATTAATGTGATGTCACGGTATTTGGTGTGATGCCAGGGTGTTTAATGTGATGTCACGGTGTTTGGTATGATGCCAGGGTGTTTAATGTGATGTCACGGTGTTTGGTATGAGGTCAGGGTATTTAATGTGATGTCACGGTGTTTGGTGCGTTGTCAAATTGATTGGTGTGTTATTCAGGGTGGCAATGATGGCTGTAGGAGTTTTAACTTAAAAGTTGTCGGTATGATGTCAGTTTTTGGTGTGACGTCACTGTTCGAGTTGTGATGTCACAGTTTTTGGTGTGATATATCCTGTGTGTTTGCCGATATTCAAGGTGCCAGGGGTAGCTATCAGAGGTAGTTAATTAAGGTGGGGTATGTTATCACAATGGAATGATAGTATCCAAGTATCATGTAACGGGAGCATCAAATAATATACAGCATGCACTTCCTATTGTTTTAAGAAAGAAAGCAAAGCTATTCGATAAAATAAATTTTATTTGAGCTCTTTGTAAAACGTAAAGGCATGTTGTCAGTGTCTTAAACCGCCTTCAGTTTCATTCTGTAGAAAACATTGTTGGCAAATGAATAATTCACATATATAGTATCTGTCAGGGTCTTTTGACATCTCTCTGTTGTTCCTGCGTTACTCTATTCCTAACTGGACCCTGACTCTGTACGGCATATACACTGGCCTGAAGAACGCTCTGCAGATGCTAGGGTTGCTGGTTATCCTTCCTCTTTTCAAGAGGTTCCTGGCTCTAGAAGACACCAGTCTGGTCATCATTGGTCAGGTGAGCTCTGTCTTAGGACAGGTGCTCCTCGCTTTCAGCAACACAGTGTGGATGGTGATGTTAGGTAAGGGCAGGGACATGTGGACGTGTTCTTTCGTCCAACATATCTACGTACCTAGATTTGCATCATTACAATGATTTCTGCGTCAAGTTGCATGAAGCTATTCCAAATTTAATTTCTTGATGCGTCATTTGTACTTTTTTAAATGTGCATTTCTGTAATGGAAGGAAACCGTCATTTTTCATTATTCTTCTGATTTGCAATTTTCATTGTTAATTTTGGACTTTTAATGACATCCTTCAGTGCCCTTTGCTGGTATGTTGTCTGGCCTCAGCAGTGCTGCCCTCAGGAGTATTGTGGCCAAGATGGTGGGTCCCGATGAGCAGGGGAAAGCGTTCGCGTTCCTTGGCTGTGCACAGGCTCTTAGCATTCTCATGGCTAGCCTGATCTTTAACAACCTGTACCCGGCCACCCTCCACTTCCTCCCCGGCTTGTCCTATCTCATCTGTGCACTCTTTACGGTGGCTGTCATGGCGCTCACTATGTAAGTTACTTACTGAACATTAATGTCAAGCGTACAGACACTTGAAATATAACTAAAAAGAAATTAAAATTATTCATTGAGACTCTATTTAAAATAAAATAAGGACAAACACAGCTGGTGAAATTCTTGCTCTGTTTCTGTTCCACAGTGTTATGCGGTGTTACATGCCAGTAGAAGAGACCACAAACACCCAAGACGATCAAACACTGGATAAGTCAGGTACCTGCTCTATTTAGTTAAATCTATTAGAGTTAAAATATCAGTTTTAAAATGTGAATGTGTTATCATAAAATGGCATTTTACAAACTTAAATGTGTGTGTGTGTGTGTGTGTGTGTGTGTGTGTGTGTGTGTGTGTGTGTGTGTGTGTGTGTGTGTGTGTGTGTGTGTGTGGTGGGGGGGGGGGGAATCACCGTGTGCAGTCACTATACTTGGCAACTATTAACACTCGTTTATCATTCCAGCACTGGTGATGGGCATCGAAGAAACGGAGCAATACATGGCGTAGTTCGTCACAGAGAGATGGCGGACGGACAGGTGGGAGGCAGACAGACGGGAAGACTAGAAGAGAGGCAGACGGACAAAAAGACCTTCTTATAAATTCTTCAGAAAATGTACTAAGCCAAGTTCACACATATATCATATAGAAAAGGACAAAAACATTTATTTATATTCAAAATAAAAAAGGCCAATTGTATAGGACCCGGGTATGGTGTAATAAATTTATTTCTGTGACCGGGTAGATCAATATAACGCAGTTGGTTGGTTCAAAGTTTATTCAACCATAAATTCCAATCCAATAAAACAGTAGAATAAAAACAAAACCCCTAAAAGAGATATACAAAGATATTTTTATAATACAGTCGTAATATGATTTCTATGATATAATAAATGATGCTACCAATTTAACATGTTCATCTTAAATTAAACTACCAGTCTTACTACAAATCAATGCACAATGTCCGAGAGGGCGTTGTTTAATGACTGAAACGACGAATTACAAGACAAGAGGATGTCTGTAATGTGAGTCTGAAAGAGGAATGAAAAATAGTAGTGGAAACACTTCTATTGTAAATACGGAAATACGATAGGAAATTCAAAAAGATAGAAACTGAAATACTACATTAACCAACTCACCAACACCAGGCACTGTTAGCCTTTCCGCCGTCTCAGTGCTTGAAATTGGCGCGCTTAGGCTTTATATCTATTGAATGGTCACGAGATGTATGACCAGATATCAAGATGACCATGTATCACGTGATGTAAGACCAGATGTCAAGATGGCCATGTATCACGTGATGTAAGACCAGATGTCAAGATGACCATGTATCAAGAAATGGGGAGTACTCGAAAAGTACTTAGAACTGTCACGACAGTCAACACAGAACTATTCAGAAAATATGTCCAATCACACCACACTGGCACATTTAAACCACCAGAACTTAATTCATACTCATCAACTTATGTTAATTTTACGTATTTTATTATAAATTTAGCTGATAAGATTTGGAATGTATGACAAGACATTAAAAATGTATAATGGTGACAAAGGTAATGACTGTACTGACAGTGTTTGTCTTTGTCCCCCAAATTCAAGACATCACATGATATCTGCAGGTGTTATCTGTAACAACCCACTAGTAGATATACCTTGCTCCTGACACCAAGCCTTAATTATCAAGGGGTTACGTGTAGATACACAGAGATCACGAATTACATAAAATATAGCGTGTGCCTGCTCATTGTAAAATAAGGAAATACATAACGAATATTTCTTCTAGCACAGTTTCAACTTAAACTGTCCTTCAATTCACCCCGGTTTGACAGAGTCCCCCATTATAGAGAGTCCGGTTCCCATTCATTTGCACAGGTAAACATTGCCCTAGATTTTGACCCACTTAGGTCAGGCTAACCCTAACCTGTAATTAAATGGAGGGTGGACTCACTGTTACCCTGCAGTTTCGTCACACCGTAGAGAGGAGACGGTTGGTGAAGTGTACTAATATACTTGAGATTGTTATCTCATCTCAAACTAGGAAAGCACTCCGAGAGCGCAGACCTCCGCCAAGGCAGCAATTATTATTATTATTGATTATTGATTAATTATTGATCCGGATCACCACCAAAAACTAATCACTTCTAAGTTAACCCATTTCTGACCTACCCTGAAAATTTCATCAAAATCGGTCCATAACTTTTAGAGTTATGTTGATAATTGATTTTTGATTATTGATTATTGATCCGGATCACCACCAAAAACTAATCATCTCTTCCTTGGCCTACTTCTGACCTACCCTGAAAATTTCATCAAAATCGATCCATAACTTTTTGAGTTATGTTGATGACAGACAAACAAACAGACAGACAAACAGGGAAAACATAACCTCCAATTGGCGGAGGTAATAAACGATAAACGCTCCGATAGAAATATAAAAACCGATATTTTATATGTCTAGGGGGTGTGGGGGGTGTTTTTAATCACTAAAAATAAATATGCATTATTAAATAATAAAATGCACGAAAAACCTCATTTTCAGAATTTTGATGATCATAATCCCTGCCAGTCTCCTTAACCTAAGATCTAATATCCGTTTATTAGATCTTAGCCTTAACCTAGCTCTCGTTATCTCAGTTCCACATTTTGACCCCGTAGATTTTTGCACTGCAGTGACTTGGGTTAATCTCACCTCATTAACAACACGGGACTAAGTTAGTCCTAAGAAATAGTATCATGTGCTCTGTATGTAGTTTTTACATAACAGAATGGGGCTCAGGGTGACGACGTGAAAATATCATCATAGTCAATTCTACTGGTAACAGCGTCCACCTATTGCCTCTACTTCCGGTCAGACGACAGCGTTTATCTTCCGGGTATCACATGGTCAGTTGACAGGAGAGGTGTTCTGATGGCATATTACTTCTTTTAATGAGGATATCTACTTTACTAGCAATTGCTCGATCCTTGATCCTTCGATCCTAAATTAGCTGCAACTTGCAATAGTTCCTCTCTACCAGTTTGGCAAAGGGATATACAGGTAAGATATTCTTCTCAGCTATTACAGTAAATAAATAGATAAGTAAATAAACAAACAAATTAATTAATTAAGTAAGTTATTAAAATTACCAGGATTTTAAAACAAAATAGTCAAAATGAATCTTGATATGGTATCTTAATTAAAGTATCGCGTTAGTGACGGCCTTGTGACCGCATTGTTATCAGTGGTGGCTACTGGCCTGTTACGTCGAGTTAATATCGTAGATAGGATCCATCATGTAGCACAAACTTTCTGTCTCACCACAGCTTCATGACAGTCTTTATGTATTGGTGGTAGCTGTCATATCTGACTACGTAAAGTACTGCTCTGCTCACTGCGGTACGTCACATTCTATTCAAAATGTCTGTACTCCATTGAAACAATACTAGTAGGAGGAAATTAAAAACATGGAACACACTTTACACTTTTATGTAGCAAAAAGTTAACTTTCCTGCATAAAAAGTTTATTTCTTTAATTGCCAAGAGTTTAACTTCTAAGAAAAAATACTGTTCGTCACTATAAGGATAAACCATCCTCCTCCCTTTTCTGAATTACATCAGCGATAAGCGTCGGAAGCAGGCGGCTAAGTTGAACCCTTCCCCCTCAAAAATATTAATTAATAAATAAAACTTGCTTACTATTCTGAATAAAGACATAGTTGACATTACAATAAATATATAAATTACGCACTTAAAATTACTACTTGTCAAGTAACCCAGTGGCTGGTTATCCTAGAAACCATATCCACTATACATACTATTCAACCGACTTTCCACCATATATATATTTTATCCGTAAACTGCGGTTAAAATGCTGATTTATTTGCCAAAAGTTTTCTCCTTTTCAGAAAAAGTACCGACGCTACTGCACTGAACGAAAACGGCCCGAGCTTTTACCCCTTTACAAGTTGTTACATCTACGATTTACGGCTTTTATTTCGAAAAATAACATTTTCTAACTTAAGAATAACTGAACGGGTTTTGTTTTTAGTATTGTTAATTTTGCACCATTACAGAAGTATTTGAAGTTATTTGCATCAAACCTCGACCAAATGCCACCATATAGGTATGATTTTTTTTAGAGAAATACCAAAGGACATTTTTTGATATTTGAACGGACATTTTCTGCTTTCTTTCTGTGATATATATATATATATATATATATATATATATATATATATATATATATATATATATATATATATATATATATATATAACTCTTTGTCGTTTGAGGCAACTCATTTGAATAAGTATATTATTGCGCACGCAGCTACATCCATACATAGACTGCTGATTATATTGCACGCTATACTATGTCATTAAGCGTACTTTTACGAGGTAGAAGGTTTAATAAATAGGCCATACACTTTTAAAGCTATGTTTTGATTGAACGAAAGATTGATTTGGTTTATGAATTGGCATGTGGACTTTATTTTAGTCGTATGAGAAACTAGTAGAAGTGGCATCCTGAGTATACATGTATGCGTTACTGAGAATCTACACTCGCTTCAGTTGGAACTTAAATACCATACTTTCATACCCGTTCACTGGCCACGGTTTGATACACCATGTGACATGAGGGTTAATAATAGATTTCTTTGGAAAATTCTAGAGGAACAAGTTTTTTTGTAGGCAAAATGGGTCAAACAGTCCATTTCTGGTGAGAAATCTGAGCTATAAATATTATTTAGGTCAGTAAATCCATCAGTTTTGGAAAGACAAAATATGTGTAACTATATACAGTACATGTATATAATGGTACCTAAGTTGAATAGGGTGAATCTCAAATGTTTGATTAACAGGTGGTTTCTATGGCAGAAATTGATGCTTAACACACATCAGACAACTTTTTTCACAACAATCATTTAGGTTAGAAAAATGACAATTTTCATAATGGCAGACAAAACGACCAAACAAGAGTCCCATCGCCAACAATTAAAGTCACCATTGATAGGAATATGCCTTTTCTCGTGGATCTAGGATTGTAAAATCCATTTCTCTTAGGTTAGTAATTCCATTTCAAATAGTTTGATTAACTTGTATGCTGATACTTAACTGCCAAGCCAGAATCTCAGTCAGTCAAAACAAGGAGTGACAAGATCTCTCACGTTCTGCTGGATGTAATATTTTCCCTCTTTTTGTCGTATAAGAAACTAGTAGAAGTGGTTTACATGTGTTACTGGGAATCCACGCTCCACCAATGCTCGGGTTTTTATGTACCTTTAGTTGTAGATACATTTTAACTAATTTGTCTGAATTTATATGCTAATCACATTCAAACTAAAACTACAATCAATGGTTCACTACAACCTGTTATAAAACATTTTTGAGATTCCCCCTACCCTATTTTCAGTGAAGCAGCGATGTCTTTACGACAATGGTGGGATGAGCACAAACACGAGCCTCGTCTGATCGTCTCCGTGGAACCTGCCATCTTCTTCTTCATGCTGTCGTTGTTCATCACCCTGCCCAGTGTCCAGGCACTCTTCATACAGAAGGTGTGTCTCAGAGAGTTTCACTCCGAGATGGTCTGTCATAACCTGACCAACAACCCAGAGAAGATGGACTACGTCCAGAGCAAGGTGTCCAGGTGGGTACTGCTGAACACCTGTTCTGAGACGTTCCCATCTATGATTACGGCTGTCTTCATGGGGTCTTGGGGCGACAACGTCAACCGGAAGATACCGATCGTCGTACCAGCCGTGGGANACTTCCTATTCAAGTTCGATAGTAACTATGGACCTATCTCTGCCAGTTTTGGAGATAAAAGGGAACCAATATTTGCAAAGTTCAATTCATGATGAAAAGTAGGTCAAAGGTCAATTTCAAGGTCACATTTAGATTGCCAGTATATTTCTTTCTATTCAAGTTCAATAGTAACTATGGACCTATCTCTGCCAGTTTTGGAGATATAAGGGACTAAATGTTATAATTTTGGAGTTACAATAATGTGCCATAAATTTCCTACAGAAAAAATTAATTAAAATATAGAAAAGGTCATTTTGGTTGAAATTCTTGAAATGGGAGGTGCTCAGAAGTTCCAGATGTTAAAATTTCATGAAATAATGTCATTTTTGACCAGAAGTTGTCTGCCTCGCCAAGCCTTATGTTTTATTTTCCCGGGGTTCAAAATTTATTATCCAATACCGTACTGCACATTTTGCTTTCACCACCAATATGTACTTTTTGATACAGCGTAACTCGAAAACCGTATGGAATACAAAAAAAAAAAAAAAAAACGGAGACCACCTTCAGTGTTGGGCTTTACATGCTCTACAAAATGCAAAAAAGAATAGGTCTCTAGCATTAACGGTTCCCGAATTAGAGACAGTTTTCAGTTTCGGTATCTTATGGCCTCTACTCCCGTGAAAATGCACTGAATGAGCCCAAATTCACGGACATGAAAGATGACCCGAAGCTTAACACTTTCCAATAATATTATTGGTTAAGTCTGTGTAGTGTCTGAATAACAGCGCAAATAATTTTTTTCGTAAAAAAATTCGTTTTTTTGAAAATTTTGGCCCGTTTGACCTTGAAATAAAGGTCAAAGGTCAAATCCAAGGGTGTATTTGAAATCTCCACATATGACTTTTGGAAAGCCGTCTGTAGAAAATTTTCCCATAATTCCTTCCGTAGGATAGATAATTAGCATTTAATTTTGCCATTTTTGGACAAGGGTGCATTGCAATGAATGCCACACCTAGACCCCAATACCGACAAAGCCCAAATTTTACGCGGAACGAGTTGAGATTATAGGTGACCTAAATCCAAGAGATGGGTATGGAGGCCCTTACCGTCTAGGAGGAGAAGCGGTAACAGTAACATGGCGGCGGAGCCGGCGGAGCCGGCGGAACGGACCGGACGGGACTATAACCATGTGTATCGCCAGCGCCAACGCCACTGGTACAATAAATGATGCTACCAATTTAACATGTTCATCTTAAATTAAACTACCAGTCTTACTACAAATCAATGCACAATGTCCGAGAGAGCGTTGTTAAATGACTGAAACGACGAATTACAAGACAAGAGGATGTCTGTAATGTGAGTCTGAAAGAGGAATGAAAAATAGTAGTGGAAACACTTCTATAGTAAATACGGAAATACGTATCAAAAAATGGGGAGTACACGAAAAGTACTTAGAACAGTCACGTCAGTCAACACAGAACTATTCAGAAAATATGTCCAATCACTCCACACTGGCACATTTAAACTACCAGAACTTAATTCATACTCATCAACTTATGTTAATTTTACGTATTTTATTATAAATTTAGCTGATAAGATTTGGAATGTATGACAAGACATTAAAAATGTATAATGGTGACCAAGGTAATGACAGTACTGACAGTGTTTGTCTTTGTCCCCCAAATTCAAGACATCACATGATATCTGCAGGTGTTATCTGTAACAACCCACTAGTAGATATACCTTGCTCCTGACACCGAGCCTTAATTATCAAGGGGTTACATGTAGATACACAGAGATCACGTGTTACATAAAATATAGCGTGCGTCTGCTCATTGTAAAATAAGGAAATACATAACGAATATTTTTTTCTAGCACAGTTTCAACTTAAACTGTCCTTCAATTCACCCCGGTTTGACAGAGAGTCCCCCATGATAGAGAGTCCGGTTCCCATTCATTTGCACAGGTAAACATTGCCCTAGATTTTGACCCACTTAGGTCAGGCTAACCCTAACCTGTAATTAAATGGAGGGTGGACTCACTGTTACCCTGCAGTTTCGTCACGTAGTTTCGTAGAGAGGAGACGGTTGGTGAAGTGTACTAATATACTTGAGATTGCTACTCGTTTACCTGGTATGCTTTGCAACGAGAAATATAAACCCCGATATTTTATATGTCGGGGGGGGGGGTTATTGTTTTTAATAAGGAAAAATAAATATGCATTATTGAATAATAACATGCACGAAAAACCTCATTTTCAGCATTTTGATGATCACGAACCCTGCCAGCCTCATAAAGCTAGCTTTCGTTATCTCAGTTCCACATTTTGACCCCGTAGATTTTTGCACTGCACAGTGACTTGGGTTAATCTCACCTCATTAACAACACGGGACTAAGTTAGTCCTAAGAAACAGTATCATGTGCTATGTATGTAGTTCTTACATAACAGAAACGGGCTCAGGGTGACGACGTGAAAATATCATCATAGTCAATTCTACTGGTAACAGCGTCCAGCCATCGCCTCTGCTTCCGGTCAGACGACAGCGTTTATCTTCCGGGTATCACATGGTCAATTGACAGTAGAGGCGTTCTGATGGCATATTACTTCTTTTAATGAATATATCTACTTTACTAGCCATTGCTCGATCCTTGATCCTTGATTAGCTGCAACTTGCAATAGTTCCGCTCTACCAGTTTGGCAAAGGGATATACAGGTAAGATATTCTTCTGAGCTATTAAATAAATAGAGAAGTAAATAAACAAACAAATTAATTAATTAAGTAAGTAATTGAAAATACCAGAATATTAAAACAAAATGGTTAAAATGAACCTTGATGGTATCTTAATTAAAGTATCGCGTAAGTGACGGCCTTGTGACCGCATTGTTATCAGTGGTGGCTACTGCCCTGTTACGTCGAGTAAATATCGTAGATAGGATCCATCATGTAGCACAAACTTTCTGTCTCTCCAGAGCTTCATGACAGTCTTTATGTATTGGTGGTAGCTGTCATATCTGACTAGTTAAAGTACTGCTCTGCTCACTGCGGTACGTCACATTCTATACAAAATGTCTGTACTCCATTGAAACAGTACTAGTAAGAGGAAATTAAAAACATAGAATACACTTTACACTTTTATGTAGCAAGAAGTTAATTTTCCTGCATAAAAAGTTTATTTCTTTAATTGCCAAGAGTTTAACTTCTAAGAAAAAATACTGTTCGTCACTATAAGGGTAAACCATCCTCCTCCCTTTTCTGAATTACATCAGCGATAAGCGTCGGAAGCAGGCGGATAAGTTGAACCCTTCCCCCTCAAAAATATTAATTAATAAATAAAACTTGCTTACTATTCTGAATAAAGACATAGTTGACATTACAATAAATATATAAATTAAGCACTTAAAATTACTACTTGTCAAGTAACCCAGTGGCTGGTTATCCTAGAAACCATATCCACTATACATACTATTCAACCGACTTTCCACCATATACATATTGTATATATTGTATATTGTATATGTATATATTTTACCCTTAAACTGCGGTTAAAAATGCTGATTTATTTGTCAAAAGTTTTCTCCTTTTCAGAAATAGTACCGACGCTATTGCACTGAACGAAAACGTCCCGAACTTTTATCCCTATACAAGTTGTTACATCTACGATTTACGGCTTTTATTTCGAAAAACAACATTTTCTAACTTAAGAATAACTGAACGGGTTTTGTTTCTAGTATTGTTAATTTTGCACCATTACAGAAGTATTTGAAGTTATTTGCATCAAACCTCGACCAAATGCCACCATATAGGTATGATTTTTTTAGAGAAATACCAAAGGAAATTTTTTGATATTTGAACGGACATTTTCTGCTTTCTTTCTGTGCTATATATATATATTATATAACTCTTTCTTTGTCGTTTGGGGCAACTCATTTGAATAAGTATATAATTGCGCACGCAGCTACATCTATATATTGGACTGCAGATAATACATTGCACGCAATACTATGTCATTAAGCGTACTTTTACGAGGTAGAAGGACGGATAAATAGGCATACACTATGTTTTGGTTTAACGAAAGATTCATTTGGTTTATGAATTGGCATGTGGACTTTATTTTAGTCGTATGAGAAACTAGTAGAAGTGGCATCCTGAGTATATGCGTTACTGAGAATCTACACTCGCTTCAGTTGGAATACCATACTTTCATACCCGTTCACTGGCCACGGTTTGATACACCATGTGACATGGTAGTAGAGTGATTCATCAGAAAGTGTTCTGGTCTTTTCAGGGTTAATAATAGATTTCTTTGGAAAATTCTAGAGGAACAAGTATTTTTGTAGACAAAATAGGACAAACAGTCCATTTCTGGTGAGAAATTTGAGCTATAAATATTATTTAGGTCAGTAAATCCATCAGTTTTGGAAAGACAAAATATGTGTAACTATATACAGTACATGTATATGATGGTACCTAAGTTGAATAGGGTGAATCTCAAATGTTTGATTAACAGGTGGTTTCTATGGCAGAAATTGATGCTTAACACACATCAGACAACTTTTTTCACAACAATCATTTAGGTTAGAAAAATGACAATTTTCATAATGGCAGACAAATCGGCCAAACAAGAGTCCCATCGCCAACAATTAAAGTCACCATAGATAGGAATATGCCTTTTCTCGTGGATGTAGGATTGTAAAATCCATTTCTCTTAGGTTAGCAATTCCATTTCAAATAGTTTGATTAACTTGTATGCTGATACTTAACTGCCAAGCTTGACGGAAGAGCATCTCAGTCAGTCAAAACAAGGAGTGACAAGACCTCTCACGTTCTGCTGGATGTAATATTTTTCCTCTCTTTGTAAGAAACTAGTAGAAGTGATTTACATGTGTTACTGGGAATCTACGCTCCACCGATGCTCGGTTTTTATGTACCTTTAATTGTAGATACATTTTAACTAATTTGTCTGAATTTATATGCTAATCACATTCAAACTAAAACTACAATCAATGGTTCACTACAACCTGTTATAAAACATTTTTGAGATTCCCCCTACCCTATTTTCAGTGAAGCAGCGATGTCTTTACGACAATGGTGGGACGAGCACAAACACGAGCCTCGTCTGATCGTCTCCGTGGAACCTGCCATCTTCTTCTTCATGCTGTCGTTGTTCATCACCCTGCCCAGTGTCCAGGCACTCTTCATACAGAAAGTGTGTCTCAGAGAGTTTCACTCCGAGATGGTCTGCCATAACCTGACCAACAACCCAGAGAAGATGGACTACGTCCAGAGCAAGGTGTCCAGGTGGGTATTGCTGAACACCTGTTCTGAGACGTTCCCATCTATGATTACGGCTGTCTTCATGGGGTCTTGGGGCGACAACGTCAACCGGAAGATACCGATCGTCGTACCAGCCGTGGGAGGTCTGCTGATGATGGTAAACCTGGTCTTGAACTCGTTCTACATGAACTGGCACCCGGCCTTTATTCTGATCAGTAACTTCGTGTACGGAGTTCTAGGGGGCTTCGCCTCGTTCTTAATGGCGGTGTTCAGCTATGTGTCTGTGATCTCAGGTGGTGAAAAGGAACGCTTAATACGCATCAGTATTTGTGAGGGGTTGATGCAGCTGAGCGGCGCTGTGGGGTTTGCTCTCTCTGGACTCCTTGTCAAATACACGGGGTTTACCTACACCTTTGTCTTCACAATGGCCTCGATGGGCGTGGCACTTTTGTATTCTGTTCTATGGATAAAGAACCCACCGCCAGTAGGTGGCAGAGGTGTAGGTACAGAAGAACCCAGGTCTTTGTGTGCCAGGCTGTTTGACTGCAAACATTTCGTCGCCGCCGTGAAATGTTACTTCGTGAGGCGGGAAGGGTACAAACGACTGATCCTCTGGCTGTCCCTGGTTGCCTTCATGATAGGAATGATCACCATAGGCGGTAAGACAACATAAAATTCATGGATTTAGACTTATGAAATAATAAAAAGAGATTTCAACAAAATATAAATTGATTTTTTATTCACACTATGCTGATAACCAGCATACAGGGCTCAGTTTCTCAGTTTTTTATTATATCTCAAATTTGAATGAAATTAAAATATTTAGATAAAAATGAATGAAACGCACATTTTAATATTAAATTATTTGCGTCTTTTCAGGTGGAGCGGACGTCTGTCTTCTGTACCTAAACTACACAATCCCTGGCTGGAACCTGGTTCTGTACGGTATCTACAATGCTCTCAGGATGATTCTGATGACGATCTTCCTACTCTTCATTCTGCCAGTGATTAAAAGGTTCTTTTCCATTCAAGACACAACAGTGGGTATAATAGGACTTGTCAGTAACACAGCTGGGCAACTGTTACTGGCTTTCTGCAAAACTATATGGATGGTTATGTTGGGTGAGTGTTGACTGAATGCACAGCCATTTACTACAAACATCAATACCGGGGTTTGCTGAATGATATCTCCTCTCTCCCTCTGTTTCTGGTGGATGACATCTTTTAAATCACTTTGTCACACCCGACAAAATACCGTTAACAGACTTTTGTCACACTTAACACAATGCCCTTAACAGTTTATTGTCACACCTGACACAATATCTAAAGCAGTCATTTGTCTCACCTAACACAATATTCTCAGCAGCATTTTGTCTCACCAGACCCAATCTTCTCAGGAATCTTTTGTCTAACCTAACACAATCTTCTCAGCAATCTTTTGTAAACAAAAACATTCAACTAAAACTGTTACTACACCACAGATTTAACGATATCTTTAATTCCTTACTTCCAGTCCCTGTTGTTAACATGCTGGCAGGCGCAGGGTCCACTGCTTTAAGAGCCATCATTGCTAAAATGGTCAGCGTGAATGAACAAGGTACCTAATTTGGTATCAGTAACATTTAAAATTTGTTTTTGTCTAACCAGGATATGTACAGCTAATTTGTTTCGTGGAGTTTATCACTTTTGAGTAAAGAATCGAGTTAAAACACATTGTTTGAGTTTCTCACTGTAACAAGTTATTTTGTCTTAATATAGGTAAACTATTCACAATTGTGGTTTGAGCAGTTTGTATTTTATTTTGTTTTTACACAGGTAAGGTGTTTGCATTTGTGGGTGTTGCGCAGTCTTTGAGTATGTTAATAGCCAGCCTCATATTCAACAACTTGTACCCAGCGACGTTACACTTTTTCCCTGGTCTAACATTCCTGGTCTGTGCCTTTCTACTGATGGTTGCCGTAGGACTTACCATGTGAGCTGTCTTTGATAATTTGAATAATTGGATTAATTTGTGTTCTTTTGCTTTGTAATATTTAAAATTACTGTTTATGACCAGGGATTAAAAATTATCTTGCATGGTAAGTAAGTTGTGTAATATGTAACTAAAAGAGCACCAGAAGCTAGAGCACAAATCTCAGCCAAAGCAGCTCTAATTTCTTTGTTATTAATGATTTATTAAGTGGATAATAAATTAAATTATGTTAATCAACCCATCAGTTAATACATAGTCAATTGGAACTAGAACAGCACTCAGGCAATCAACTGTTAATCAATTATTGTTATCAATGATTTATTGAGTAGATAATATGCTTTATTATCTTTTTCAACCAATCAGTTAATAAATAATCAATTGGAACTAGAACAGCACTCAGACAATCATTAATTAATTAATGGATCACCACAAAACTCTAATCATTTCTTTCTTGGCCCCCTACCAATAGATTTTGAAATTTCATCACATTTACCCCCATAATGAGACTAACAAAGAGAATTTATTTATTGCTTAAATAATAAGTGAACAGATCACCACCAAAATGTTACCGTTTGGTACTTGATCCCCTTTCTGCAGATTCTGAAAATTTCAAAATCCGTCCACAATTTTGCTTAAAAATAGAACCAAAAGCAAAACGTTAATAATAGTAAGTAGAAACATGATGTCCCTTAAAATTAGTCCAGGCTACATATTAACCCTCCAACATCACAGTTTCAAAGTTTCAAGTGTCAGTTTTACCTCCAACTTTCAGTATAATCCGTGTTTACATCCCAAAGGAAGGAATACAGATGTCCCAATATGCTTCACAGGAAAAATCCCGTAAGTGTCACAACGAAAGATTTTCAATTTTAATAGTATTCCTGCTGTAGTTGATATTTTTATTTTGCTGAGAGAAATTGCGTTTTCTCACACACATATTCAAAATATAAATGTATAACAGTTAAAGTAGTTGATATTTCAAACAGTTGATATTAAACTAGTCATTTGCCGTAATGGGTACAATAATCAGTATTAATATACTTAAAGTGACTATTTTATTTCAGCACTCCTAGTGAATGAAGACACAAGTTAGTTCAAGCTCTTTGTAGAGTGTACAAGTTGCATCAAATTTGCATGCTGCACATTTGTTACACTTAATCAAAGTATCCAGAACCAACAATCGTATAAAGCACGGCATAATTCTGTTCCTCATGTGTCAGAACTTGGTCATGGACACTTCTATGGCATGTAGGGGACTGGCAGTTCCTACATTATATTATTTTGCAGACCAGCATAAGGATTTTCCAAGTTGTACGTTTTATATTTATTTTCAAAGTTATTTAAATTAAATGGGTTTAAAAGGGCTGCAGCAGAATAAATTTTATCTCCTCACTTATGTACTGCCATTGTTTTTGTGAAATGAAAACTGACATTCAAATTGTTGTCCAACAGAAATTCTGCAATTAACCTCCCATCATATTTTGCAAATCACAATAATTTTGCAGCACAGAATATTTCGATTTTCATAGCCGTCACTGCAGTCCAACACTTCTTGCAAATCAACCTTATGGCATCTTACACTGTATGCTTTCCACAAAAGGGTATACAGAGTTCACCTGAACCCCAGGACACAGATGGGAATTTACTGGCACAAGATATGTATTACAGCTTTTTCTTTTTAATTCATTTTAGTGTTAAAACGCTCCATACAATTTTCAGATCATTTCCCCCTCTATAGTTCTGTCAGAATAAAAAGATTACAATGAATTCAATGCAAATTTATTACAAACTGTGCACCATTTTGGCATGAAGCCATCCAGTCCATAGCAGTTTGTGTATAATTTCAAATAATATGCAACAAAGAAGTTTTTACTTCCATTTTTTTTACTAGAGTACAGCTTTCAACATCTTTATCAAACATGGAGAATAAATTAGTATTAAGGATGCTATTTTTAAAAATTAAAGTCAACTGTTATCAATGACATGGTTATCCACAGTAGATACAGCATGCAATCACAAGCCATGTTAGGGGCATGACATCCAGAAACTTTGACTCCTCATCAAGTCCAAACTGTATGTACACCAACATTTGTCATATGGTTATTTGCCCTGGTTGTGAGACAATTCTTGTGCCGGTTATGTTGCAAACAAACTATGATACAAAGTCCTTTTTACTGCAATTTCTCAACATTTCAATCATTACATCTCTGATCATATTTACAATGCCAGTGTTAGAAGAAAGTCCAGCATCAGTAGGAGTGTTTACTTAATCCTGTACAGCATCTTCCTCTGCATCCGGTGTTGAATCTCTCCTCTCCTCAGCATGGCCTGCAGGACCTTGTAGATCTCACGCTCGGGGTATTTCTAAAAGAGAAACCAAAATGCATATGGAGTTTATGACAAATATGATTTTCTAAATGTCTTCTTTAATTCTATAAAAACAATCAAACTTGGAGTATCAGTTCCCAGATTGCTTTCTGTGCCCAGTACACATACCTGTTAAATAATGTCCTGGACAATGGCATGCTCTGACACCTGGGAGTAACAGTTCCCAGATTGCTTTCTGTGCCCAGTACACTTACCTGTTTAGTGAAGTCCTGGACAATGGCATGCTCTGACACCTGGGAGCCGATCACAAATCTTCTCTTGATTTGTTTTTCTATGCGAGCTAACATTTCACGATCTTCTTCTGTTGTGAAGCCTTCGGCACCTGGATAGCAATAACAATGAACCTCGGGCATTATCTTAAGTGTGATTTCACTAATATTTTAAAACCAATCTATTATTTCAGAACTAAGCACTTCACTGAAGCGACCATATTATACTAATTGGTGAGACAAATTNTGCAACAAAGAAGTTTTTACTTCCATTTTTTTTTTTACTAGAGTACAGATTTCAACATCTTTATCAAACATGGAGAATAAATTAGTATTAAGGATGCTATTTTTAAAAATGAAAGTCAACTGTTATCAATGATACGGTCATCCATACTAGATACAGCATGCAATCACAAGCCATGTTAGGGGCATGACATCCAGAAATTTTAGACTCCTCATCAAGTCCAATCTGTATGTACACCAACATTTGTCATATGGTTACTTGATCTGGTTGTGAGACAATTCTTGTGCCGGTTATGTTGCAAACAAACTATGATACAAAGTCCTTTTTACTGCAATTTCTCAACATTTCAATCGTTACATCTCTGATCATATTTACAACGCCATTGTTAGAAGAAAGTCCAGCATCAGTAGGAGTGTTTACTTAATCCTGTACAGCATCTTCCTCTGCATCCGGTGTTGAATCTCTCCTCTCCTCAGCATGGCCTGCAGGACCTTGTAGATCTCACGCTCGGGGTATTTCTAAGGTAGAAAACAAAATGCACATGGAGTTTAGAATAAATATGATTTTCTAAATGTCTTTTTTAATTTTATAAAAACATAATCAGACTTGGAGTATCAGTTCCCGGATTGCTTTCTGTGCCCAGTACACTTACCTGTTTAGTGAAGTCCTGGACAATGGCATGCTCTGACACCTGGGAGCCGATCACAAATCTTCTCTTGATTTGTTTTTCTATGCGAGATAACATTTCACGATCTTCTTCTGTTGTGAAGCCTTCTGCACCTGGATAGCAATAACAATGAACCTCAGTCATTATGTGTAGTGTGATTTTACTAATATCTTAAAACCAATCAATTATTTCAGAACTAAGCACTTCACTGAAGTGACAATATTATACTAATTGGTGAGACAAATTAATAAAAATAATCACCTTTTTTAAACAAAGTTTGCAAATATGAGGAACTGTTTGAAATTATTTTGTTTGCAAGAAAAACCTTCTCACCTGCCAGGTTACCAGACATGGCGGCATCCAGGGTGGAGACCTGGAACAACCTCAGGGCCTCGTCTACGTCTGCCTCGCTGGCAAATGGAGAGAGGCGCATCTTTGCCAGGGACTCAGATACACGGATAATGGCCTCCAGTTGTCTGGAATAGAGAAAGAATATGATTACTTGTGTATCTTAGCCAGGGACTCGGATACACGGATAATGGCCTTCAGTTGTCTGGAACATGGAAAGGATACAATTACTTTTGTCAAAATCAACCAGGTATTAACACAGAGAGCATGCTTCTGTGTTGTCATGGATACATCTTAATCTCATAACCAGTGTTGATATAAACTAAGACTGCATTCCCACCTAACTCCCTGGGGGTTCAAGCTAAATTGCTGTCAGCTCAAGAGGCTTTACTAGGTGTGACAGACATTTAAGCTGGCCAAGTTGACAGCAATTTAGTGAGACTCCCCAGGGGGATAGATCAATCTAAATATCCATGGGAATGGTCTCTAATTCAGAGTTGGAAACAATGAACTATTGATATGAAACTGGAGCATTTGTCAGCAGTTTTTTCAACACCATCCAGCAAAATGGCCATTTTCCCATTTATTTCTTAAATACCCAACTGACAGAAATGCTGGTATGCTTTCCCATGTCTCTTTCTTGTTCTTTATAAACATCCTGATCTAGATACACAATAATATATACCTGACAGTGATAGGAATACTGGTTTTCTTCCCAGTCTCTCTCTCATGTTCACCAGCTCCATTCCTCATCAACACATAGCGGTTCTTGAGTTTTTCCGCAGCCTCTGCTGACAGACGTGGTCCACATTTGCTGAAAGATAAGGAAAATATAAAAATTCTTAGTTCTTAGGTTTCTTTTTACCAGAAACAAAAGTGAATGTGTATACAGAAGCAACTGGATACACAGATGTGAAAGGTTTTAGTTATCCACCCTCCATAGCAGAGTAATGGAGGCAACCTGCTATTTAAAATACCAACCATTTAATTGTTTTAAGAATTTTCCCTCAGAAGAGTTTAGAAAATTCAGAAATTTCTCACCTTCTGCAGTATGAGATCAACTTCTTCAGTGTGGGCAGGTCCACCTCCCCCTCTCTCTGCTCCTCTGTCGTCTGCCGGGCATTCACATGGACATTCATCACATGCTTGGCCAAAGTCTAGGAAAAAACATCAAATATGATAGGTCAGTTTGTTTTATGGGATATTCACAAGGATATTGATGGTCCATGACTGTGAAGAAACATAGAAGTATGTCAGGTCAGTTTTTGTAGTACAGCAGAGGCCATCACACTGGGGACAGTAAGGGATTTTCATCTGTTCTATAGCTGAATAATGAAAATAAAATATTTTAAGTTTATATTTGTGTGCAGTCTTTCATTGTTTAGGAATTTCCTCAATCCGCAGATACTCACAATGTCCCTGGCTTCATCATGCTCATCTTTGACCACAAATATCATGTCAAACCTGGACAAAATGGTGGGCATGAAGTCAATGTTGTCTGCTCCCTTGGTGTCATCCCAACGCCCAAACACGCTGTTTGCCGCGGCCAGCACGGAACACCTTGAGTTCAGGGTAGTGGTGATACCAGCCTGAAAATTGACACTTTTGATGAGAAAGAGCACACAGAGAAAGTCAGGTTGTTCTGAAGTGAAGAAATAACTTTTTAATCAGGTAACTTGTAGTGAAGCTTTTGAAGCCTTCACACATTTACATACAGACATTATACACACCCTGCTGAAGTATTTACTGTAGAAAAAGAAATTTAGCAATAGAAATGGTCTGTATTCAGTGAAGAAATACCTTAGCAATAGAAATAGTCTGCTGCTCCATAGCCTCATGAATAGCCACCCTATCATCTTCTCTCATCTTGTCAAACTCATCAATGCAGACGACGCCTCCATCAGCGAGAACCATGGCGCCACCTTCCATTACAAAGTTACGCTGGAAATTAAACAGTGTCATATAGATCCTGCCTCATCATATTGTTCAGAAAAATCTTAGCCCTCCAGAAAAAGACTAGAAAAGTCTGATCTGTATAAACGGAGAAGTGACTTACAGTTGCAGGGTCCCTGGTGACAGAGGCTGTAAGACCAGCAGCACTGCTGCCTTTGCCTGATGTGTATACACCCACTGGTGCACAGTTCTCTACAAACTTCAGGAGCTGACTCTTTGCCGTCCCTGGGTCTCCTAGCAACAGAACATTGACATCACCTCTTCTGGTCAAACCATCTGGAAGTCTGCAAGAAGACATCTTTTTAAATATGAACTCTCCACAATTTATTGTATACCACTTGCACTAATTTCATTTAATAATAATAATAATAATAATTTAAACAGACCTTTTCCTGGAGCCCCCAAACAACAAACAGGTGATGGCCTTCTTGATGTCCAAGCTGCCATAAATAGATGGCGCCACACTCTTGGCAAGTGTTTCATAAATATTTGGGCTAGCTGCCAGTCTACGGAACTCATCCTCTTCCTCAGGGGTTATTGGTGAACCTGTGTAATTATAAATCTGTACATAGTATCTCCTTACATGAGCACTGTGCACACACACAAACAGACTATTCTTATATGCATTAATATTTGCCTGTAGTCTTTAGATGAATGAACCTAAATGTTTAACTAGACCGATGATGAAAACAAGCTGGACCAGAGAAGAGTGAATGTTAAGTTCTCTGCACAATCTCTGTGCTCCTCCTTTCACAACTTTATGTAGATGTTTGAGCAATGTTTTAACACCCCTGTCAGCTGACTGGTTTGTAGGTCTTACCTGTACTTCTACCTGGTCCCTCTGTATCTACCTGGACACCTAGCACACGCAGGTATGGTGCCCTGATACCAACATTTACCTTATCTCTGCCAGGGGTCTGAAATATACACCTTGATATTGTGATCAGGTTAGAAATAAACATCCGTTTAAAAAAGGGAATCTTTTACAAGATGAAATGCTCAGCTCAATTACTCCTGTAATATTCTGATGTCCCAGGTTTAAGGAGCCCAAAGCCACCTTGAAGCTGTGAGCAGGGATGTCTGATGTTGATTTAGGCACAAATAATTACTATGGTCCATTGACAAATCACCACAGCTAGGATTATATTGTGCCATATAATTATTGAATTAGTTTGTATTTCATCCACAGGTAAATCACAGTTAGGATTATATTGTGCCTTTTGTAATCAAAGACCTCATTCCCATACTTAGATTGATCTAACATGATTGCTCCATCTCTGAGGGGTTTCTAACTAAAATACTTTCAGCTTAAGCACCTTAAGATGTCTGGCACGTTTGTTGAAGCTGTTATGAGGAAATTTACTTTCGTTTAGCAGCTTCAGTAGGCGTGCCAGACATTTAAGGCGCTTTAATCTGAAGGCAATTTGGCGAGAAAACTCTCGGGATGGATCAATCCTGTTAGATTGATCTAGGTATGGGAATGAGGTCAAATTGAGAGTAACAATCAAGTGAATCACAGCTAGTGTTACATTGTGGCATATTGTAATCAAAATGAGTAACACACGGGTAAAGGATTATATGGTGCTATATTGTTATCAAGTTGGCAGGCCACACATAACTGTAGACTAGTAAAAAAAAATTGCATCTAGAAGCACGTTTTTTTTTTGCTCATGTTAAGTCTTCCCCTCACTGGGGTAGCGTTAACACTCGCCAGTTTAGCCAAATACTAAAACTGACTTAAATTGGCTAAAGAAAAAGGACTTGATTTGACATGTTTTAGCCAAATTATAACCATTTTGGTAACAAATTGACAAAAATGTGGTGATTTGGCTAGCGATACCCCAGCCTCAATTAATCAAAGGCAGACTCAGCTTAGACAGTGAAGTCAAAAAGAATCTTTTACTAGTACCTATTAAGCTTAAACAACCCTGTCGAGTTTTAAAGAGGTATACAGTCAGATCCAGGTGCAAATGCCATTCCAAGATGCTACCTTACCTTTGAAGGCTTGGAGGTCTTCTTAATAGAGTAGACACCAATTAATGTAACACGATTGCCTGGAACTACCCTCTCACACAGATACCTAGAACATAAACAGAATGATGCTTGGAACTAACCTCTCACACAGATACTTAGAACATAACAGATCATTAGAACATCAAATATCAAACAATATTCATCTACAATTTGTAAAGCCTCAAAGAATATGTAGTATTACAAGGGCTTCTTTCTGTGCAACTTTTGGGGAACCTAGATGTATTTTACCAAAATGTCCACCTCACTTCCTTATTTTGATACCTACTCAAAACTGGCATCCAATTTTAAAGTTTAAGCAAGAACGATCTCCATGTTACAAAGCTAGAGGAAACCCTGGCATAATGATTTAGCAAAGTTATATCACGTAGATTGGATAAAAAGAAAACTATTTTCTGTTCTAGGCTTTCTATTACAATACAAGTGGGAATTTTACCTGTCACAAAACAGCTGCATGTGCCTGGGCATCTCTCCATGGGGGACTGCTTCTGGAGATTCCTGAAGTTTTAGAATCTGGAAATCCACACACTTGCACTTGTCAGGCACTATGAAGAATGGATCCACTGGACATTTAGGTCTGCCAGCCTGCTCTCTGTGAAATACAATGATAAAGAATGAATTGATAGAAATTTAGGTCTGCCAGCCTGCTCTGTGAAATAAAATGATAAAGAATGAATTGATAGACATTTAGGTCTGCCAGCCTGCTCTCTGTGAAATAAAATGATAAAGAATGAATTGATAGACATTTAGGTCTGCCAGCCTCCTCTCTGAGATATAATTAATGTATTGATAGACATTTTGGGCGTTCTTATTACTGATCTGAGAATTTGATAAAATGCTGATTGTGGAGCACAGTGAAAATAGTGTACTATTCACTAGGTTATTAAGGCCCATGATGTTTTCAAATAGGCATGCATTAAACTAGCAGCATAGTGAACACTTACGTGGGGCACTTTCTGGGCAGTGCGTACCCCTCCAGCCCTGGCTTAACAGGGATATCGTTCATCACGTTCTTACAACTACGACACTGGATACTGATCCGTGTTGCTTTGGCTTTAATGGCAGACGCAGCTATAATGATACCAGGAATCTTCACCAACCTTGACATCTGGTCCGACTGAAATTGTGAACCAACTGTCAACAAACCTGAGCTGATATTTTACAGCAGACATCTACCACTCAGTTCATCGAAAGCAAACCAGAACATAGTGTGTTTAAATCAGTGGAAACATTTCTCTGGAACATTCTTCATTCAACCTTTATACAAAAATCCAATTTCAATTAAAAAGATATTGCAAAGTGAGGAACCTTCTTATCATTACAAAATCATCAGATATTCAGAATTCATACAAATCTCTCTCCTGTTGGTTTACCAGATGAAAGCAACATTTAAGCATAAAGGAGCTTCCTTATAGTTACACAATTCATGGAGTTTATAAAACTGTATAATTGGCTACCTTGAGGTCTCTTATGGCTGCACAATTGGCGGTGGAGTTGAGGACAACTTGAATATCTTGAACTTCTTCCTCTCCCTCAGGCCGTGGATTGGTTACTTCATCTGCCACTTCCTTCGCAGCATCCTCAAACTACAACCACAAACAGTGACATCTATAGGACAAACTTGGCCAATAATTTCACATAAATAATCAGTGACAGACGGCATTAACTTTAAAATGGAATACTTCTGTTTGCTGAATACAGGGATGAGACTACCATTTACTGAAAAAAGTTGGAAAATACGATGTCTAGGGAGCCTCTGAGATCAATATTTTTAGCTCTCAAAAATAGGTTGAAAATCTGCAGATAGTCTTAAAAATCTCACCCATGAGAATGTGTCTGTAGAAGAAGAATACAAGTTCTCAGATATATAACTGAATATTTAACACAAAAACTGTTAAAACCTAACAGGTTTGAGGGTCAAATGATAATTCAGACATGCTGAAACTGTCGGTCCGATCGGTCATGACCGAGAAAATTTGTCTGGACCAGTAAAAATTTGGATTTGGTTGGTCTAAAGGACCGACAAGAGTTTTAAGAGCCACAATTTTGAATTCACAGTCATCATTCGACATACTTCACTAACAAAATTATATAAAACCCGTAGCGTTTTTTCCCTTCCATTTCAAACCTATCACATTCACAAACAAAGTAAGCTTCCTTAATCGCACTGGTAGTATCGGTCTTAAACAAATAGGGTTATTTTCGGTCTGACAAAAATCCATTTGGTCTGACAAAATTTTCATTACTGCCGGTCCAAATGTCCGGCCATTCTGAAAAGTTTTCAGCATGTCTGATAATACAAGTGCTATGTAATGTAACGTGTAATGTGATGGACAAATTTTCCAGGGTCAACTTCTACACCAGATCTCCTCACCAGTGGCATATGGTCTGCAGGAACTTTGGTGAGTTTTTCTGCCAGGTTTTCATCATAACTTGCAATATCTTCAATATTGACATCCACCCAGTACTGGCACAGGTTATAATGGCGCTTCAGCTGGTCACTAGAAGTTCACAACAATAACAGTTCATTGTATGGTGACAAGTATTTGGTCTTCTGTTTTTTAGACAAAAATAATTTGCATAAGTACTAAAATGGGCACATTAACAGGTATGACCACTTCCAACAATTTAAAGAAGTTATATGCAGCAGTTATATAGTTTAAGGAGCATATATTACTCCACACATGACGGCGACAACGACATCTCCAGCTGCACATGAAAGTCAGCCAAGACCCGCTCAAGGCTGTCAACATTTTCAGCTTATTTACTAAATATTTTAGTCAATGGTTGTTCTAAAAACAATATAATAAGAGTACTTTTACTTTAAGTCAATATCTTGTTTTAAAATGGAAACAGTGCTAATATCGGCGCCATCACGATGTCAACTGAGTGATGCCATTTTTAAATCCCACGATAATAACAAGCATGGTGAAGTGAAATCTCTTACCGATATATGTACGAACTTCCTTCTCGAAACTGCTTCAGAAAGTCTTTGAATTTCTTCTTCACCTGTTGGCGGTTAATCTGAACCTCATCTTGCTGATCTTCAGACCCAAAGGTATCGCTGAAGAATATTCCGGGATCGTCGAAGCCTTCCATCGCTGCAATGTTTTTGTTGAGTGGTGTCAATTTGGCGCGAAAATTTCGCGCTGCATTGGAGAAAAACTAGGTCACGAGAACTGATTTCTTTTTTAGTTTTTTATAACCCAATCATTGATATTGCTCTATTTCTGTGTTCTCATTTCTATTTTACTCATTCTACAATTACATCATTTAGGTTAATCATTTTTAAGTAGCAAAAAATTAATGGAAAATACACATTAATGTGATTGGCTAATGTTGGACACACCTCCAGAGAGGTCAAACAGTGTCAAGGACATTTGTGTTTAGAAAGCGGTTGTGGCTGGTGACTGCTGAATTTAGAGCACAGAAGTGGCGAATATGTTCATTTCTTCGCTCTTCAGCGGAATTACAAAGTACTTTGTCAGCCAGACAAGAAGTCTGGTAAGACTGTCAAAGGATAAAGTCGGCGTAATAGGCGTCCCTTCCTGCAAAGGACAGGTAAGCAACGATTGCGAGGACTTTTTGTAGGAACGCAGTTTCTTGTACATGTATTTGAAGTTGAGTAAGGCGTGAAAAAAAAAAAAAAAAGAGAAACGTACAGTGTTAGAAAGAAAGAGCAAATAAGTTTTATAGCACTTGATTTGAGCGTCGTCTGATTATCTTTGTGAGTGTATTTACACTGGTTATTTGGTTTCTGTTTCATGTTTTTTTATGGTTATTTGGTTTCTGATTCATCATGTGTTTTATGGTTATTTCCGCGGGTTTCTGAATCATCATGTTTTTTTATCTTAGTTCAAGGTTCACAGGATGTATATACAGTACAGGGCTTAGTGTGCCAAGTTTACTGCAATTTATCTTTGACACAGATTATATTTACTTAGATGCTATTGATAAATGGTTTCACTGCAGGACATCGATATGGCATTGTATCATTTTTATAATTTATATGGATCAGAAGATTCATTAAATTATTTAATATATGTAACAATTGCCCAAAGTGTGCCCAGTGAACCCATTGATAAACATTATATTAAATACATATTAAATGCATTATATTATATTATATTATATTATATTATATTATATTATATTATATTATATTATATTATATTGAACACATTGTATTAAATACATCATATAAAATGCATTATGTATAATTTTATTTTATTTGGTTTTTAATTCCAGAGTGCAGGCGGAGTACAACATGGACCCAAGGCACTAAGACAGGCGGGCATTATTGACAAACTGACTCAGTTAGGTATGAAATAAGTCAACATGTCTTCAAATGATCCCATATCAAATTTATTGTGTAGAATGAGAACCATGTCATGATGTGTTATTGAAATATCAGAGAGACTATAATTAAAAAGAAGAATATTTGTTTGTGCTTTGTTGACGATCAGTGATTGTAGAGAATTTTAATTCTTTAAAAAGAAAAAGTTATTGAATAGGGTTTAATATATTTTACATTAACTGGCCAGAATTAACAGTTCATTGGGAAAACCAACAAAGAATCATTTAGATAATTATTTAAAGGTTGTATGTTTTGAGCCTGATAATATTGAAAAAAATTTAAGAGTTTGCTGCTATTGCCTGAAGCTAAGTTTGTAAACTTACCCAGAGAGATAACAATCTTCTTGGGTGCAAAATGGGTGACAAAAGTAAAAAAAAAAAAACAACAACAAGGAAGATGTAAACCAACGTCTCTGGAACCTACATGTATGTGTTAACTTCATGTTTGTTTTACTTAATCTAGGTGTAGAGGTTTATGATTATGGGGACTTGGTATTTGAACAGTTTGATGATGACACACCTATTCTGGGTTTGAAGAACCCTAAGAACATTGGACTGGCAGCTAAAAAGGTAAAACTATGTGTACCTGTATTTTGTGATAAATTCTTTGTAATTTACATTGACTGAGCTTATGTATTAATGAATGCAGTTATCAGTAAGACAGGAAGATTACTGTGCTGTAACATATGGTGATTTCTTTCTTGATTTGATGTAAACAATTAATAATGCTAGTTTACTTTGATTGAACTGAAGGACATGATATATTGTTTTGCATGGTATGAGTTTGAATAATGTTATTCATATCTCTAAGACGGTTGTGATAACATATATTACAATTGTTATATGTGTATGTGTGGAGATCAGCATATATAACAATATGTGTGTTTTTGTGTGTGTATGTGTAGAGCTCAGGGCACTAACATATTACAATCTATCAGATATCAGATCAGGTGTCCAGAGTGATCAAGGATGACCAGATAGCGCTTACCCTGGGGGGTGACCACAGTCTCTCCATTGGGACCATCCACGGTCATGCTGCTGCAGAGAAGAACATGTGCCTTGTGTGGGTGGACGCACACGCTGACATCAATACCCCACTCACCTCGCCATCAGGCAATGTCCACGGGATGGCACTGTCCTTCCTGGTCAAAGAACTGAAGGAGTACATACCACAAATCCCTCACTTTGAATGGATTAAACCTTGGTAAGTTAGACACACAGTAACCCACATGTTATGAAAGCAGAGTATGATTTGGATAATTTGGATAATTCTCATATACACAGAAATTTTAGTGAAGTTGAAAGGAGTACACGTAC